CTTCGTACAAGGCTTGGTCAGATTGGGGCTCGGCCGACAAGACACCGGCAAGGCACGTGCAAGGATGATGTAAGGCACGTGCCTTGGAAGGCACTCAAAAAATTTTCCGACATAGGAAGTTTAAAAAGATACTTCGTCGCATGTTTGAACGAGGATTTCGAATAGAATTCTGAAGATTGTCGTTGGTCGCTCTTGCGTATAGGTTCAAGAGACGGAGTTGAAGATTGGATATGGATTGCTGAGAGTCCGAATTGTGGTGGTGGGCAGCGACTGAATCAAAGATGCCAACAATGATGCCTGTGACATGTCAAAAAGTCACATATTCATGGAATGTAGTTTTTCAGCATTATCAGTGCTAGTATACTGCTTGCATGGAGCTAAATAAATCTATTTACTGTCTCTGATGAATGGAATAGAGAGTTTTTCTTCAATTTTCTGGTTCTTAGTGATGGTGCTGTTCATCCTGCAACATCAGAGGCAAGTTTGCCAAATCTGGCTCTATTAGGATGAAGTATATAGACAAAATCACGTCTGTACCAAAAATCACACTGGGTGCAATGTCAATGGCGGCCAGCAGATGGCAGTGTGATTGACACCCCATGTGGCAGACCACATGGCAGACCCAACGGCGGTTCCAACGGGAGCCAGATTTCTTTGTCTGAACTCTTTGTTCAAAATACCTCAAAGAAGAGCATTTCATTGACACCAACAAGATAGACATGTAGTATAGATATGATGCTACAGAAAAGAACGACAGAAGCGCTCGCTCTCGCACCCCTGCGTCGTCAGCATTGATATATGGTGACAATGGTTAAAAAAGGAAGGGTTTGCGCACTCCGATGACCGCTTTGGGGACAGCGGACCGGGGCCGCTATCTGCGTGTGCCTTTCCAGTCTAAGCCAGAATGGGATGCAAGCCTGTTCTGCCTAATGACACCGCTGCCCCGTTCGCCTCAGGATTCCACCTGTTGCAGGACGCGCATGTTAGCGTTGCGGCCAAATTTCCAGCCCCGAATTGGACTCTGCGCGTCATCTGCGTGGCACATAATCTTGTGTCTCGTGCACGCGGCTCGGAAGGAAATGAAGTCAAAGGTGAAGGAGCCTCCGGGCTTTAGCGCGTATAGTGTCCACTTCTACGACCAATACTGCAGTAAGATCAGCAGTGCGTGAAATACACACACCTTTACTTTACTTTCAAGTTCTAGGACGCTGTTGAGGGGGGAGAATCAGGCGAGCGAGCAGTGGGAGACAACCGCTAGCCCGTTCGCGCTGAGGTTTACAGCGTTTGGAGCCATACCACGCCTGCACCAAACGCTGGAGTTTGGCGCGAAATGGTGAGGGATTCGGCGCGGGGTAAGCGGGGGAAGTCGGAAATGGTAAGTGGCGGCGGGCGGGTACACGTGGGACGATGACCGCTGTTTGCACGGTATTTGAAGCGCTCGGGAGGCAGAGTAACAGGGCGCAGTTTGGTGGGATTCGGCTGGGAAACGCGCCCGGGGTGGCCAAGGCAATTTCGAGCCCACCTCGGACACTGTGTCGGCCGACGAGCGTCAACGACGCGTTCAGCAGTCTCGGCTGTCGAGATGTGGACAGGGGAAGGTCGTCCCGGACGCTCCTCAAAGGATGGAGGGGAACGGCCAAGAATTGGCTGTAGGAGGGCGGTGACAGTATTTAGTGAGCTGGCTGAAACTGGGTGGTTTTTACCACTCACCTTCCGTCCCCAGCTGTCTCTTCCCCTCTTCTATGCTCCCCCCACATTATTCCCCAGCATTCCTCCCCACATCACCGCCCTCCTACGCGCGCTGTCGTCTGAGGTGGTCACTGGGACCATAGAGGTTGGCGTGAGAGGCCGGCTCCGATCCGGAGCGCCGGTCACGCGGCCAAGCCGTGGAGGATCTCCGCTTCTCACACGCGGCAACATGTGGTCGTGTGCAGCAGGCAAGCTGTGCCGCCGCGCGTTACACTTGGGAGCGGGTGGCGGTTTTGGTGGTGCTAGCGCTCCGGCTGATATGCGTCATCTGCGCCAACGCAGCCAACAGCGCCCATATTGCGACTGATTCTGGTCGGCAGAACCACAGAAAGTGGTCTGCGCAACGAGCGCAAGTGCCTTCCCGGCTGTTCAGCGGCGGGTGCTTGCATGCGACCCCCCCCAGCGGGCGCCAGGCATGGACTGTTGCGAGGCACTTGTACCTCTCGGCAGCGAGAATTTGCGCGGACGAGCAAGCACAGGCTGGAGGTGCGGAACCGCCACAAGGACAAGCAAACAAGCCGGCTTTCTTTCGACGGCTCTGACTGGCGGGCAGGTGTGTTGGTCGGAGGCAGAGAGTGTGTGAACCTTAGACTAATCACGGAAGCTGATCCCGGTCCGAGTCCTGCGACAATGGTTTATAAGCCGCACTGAGGAGGCCTCGCATTCAACACAAAGTGATATTGATATGTACTATATTATGCAATTGGACAAAGCATTGGACAAAGGAATCTGGCTGCCCATGGAACTGCCTATGGAACCGCCGTTGGGTCTGCCATGCGGCCCATCAGAGATACTGCCTATCATACTGTCATCTGGCAGCTGCCAATGACATTGCATCCGGTGTCAAGCCTGTGCGACTCCGGGGTCATGCAGAGTTTTGGTCAAAATTGTTGCGTCACATCTTGTGACGCAACGCGATAAATTGCTTCGACGGCTGCTTTCACAGCATATCTTGAACTGCTGAAGGCTCAGAAAGCTACTCACATGATTACTGGCACATCAGGGCCCTTGAGGGAGACCCCCAATAAAGTTTTCAGAGGAGTATTGGGAACAGGAGGAGCAGGAACTTGGAATTTGTATATAAAATTGCAGAAACTATAGACATCCCCATGTAAAGACAGCCTAGTAATAACATTTTGACCTTATCCGATGCCGACTTGTCCACGCACAAAGGCGCAAACGACGCAACCATGTTTTCACCGGTTATCATAAGTAGCCGGGTGAGTCAGCAGGCATCAATTGATGCATCGCTGCCCACCACCACGAATTGCCGTAGTGGTCATAGTGGAAGACAAGGTGCACCGATCTATCGCTTTCTGATGATTAGAAATTCAAAGAAGGTTTGACATCTTGGTACTGAGACTACAATTGCTACTGGTTTGTTTGTTTGTTTATAGTACATGGTAGTAAGTCTAGCCTGATTATACAATGGACTAATGAAGGGAGCGAGTGCAAACCGAGTTGGGAAATGCATATGACCCGAATGATAAAAAGAAATAATCATACCTGAGAATTAGTGCCCTCGGCCTCCTTGTAGACAACATCTAGAACGGAGTCGGCGAGCTCAGCGCCCTCCGTGTAACCTTCGAAAAACGTGTCAGCACATGGTCAACTCTTGGTCAACTGCAAAAAGAAGATGGAACTCACGTCCTTTCGCCCAGTTGTTACCAGCACCACTTTGCCCAAAGACGAAGTTGTCTGGTTTGAGGAGTATGGTACCAGGCTCGAGGTCAATCAAGACCGCCCGAGGGACGTGTTTGTTGCCGCCAACCTAGGAATGAGACGCACTGCGCAGTCTGTTCCTGACGATCGCGAGTGTCCTCCCTTAACCACACCGCCCTCGCCCTCGACTTCGCCGCGTCAGCTTGTCTCATGGTTGTTCGTCGCAGCAGGTCCAGGTCGTCATTGGCAGGCGGTGTCAACGATGCAGTCGACCGATTCAGATATCCACTCGACTCAGAGCTGTACATCTTTATTGCCGTTGTAGACATCATCGGCACCAATACTGCGCTCGTCCGAGTTGGCTGTCCGTCAATAGGGGAGTTGGTCGCGTCGGGAGTGAGAATCCTGGATCTGTGGATGCTCGGGACTGCAATTGCTTGCCGTTGCTTGATGACCTTGTCCGCCTCGATAAGGTCAGCTTGAAACTTGATTGAAGCAGCCTTCTTTTGCTCAGCCTCTTGTTGGTCGGCAACCCTCCGCTTGAGCTTCTGATGGCGTTGTTGCTCTTCGAGCTCGTCCCGCTTCTCGTTGTAGAGGCGCACATAGTGATTGATGCTAGGACACATGAGATTGGGTCATCATTGATCAGATAAAACTCACAAGTCGAGATAATGTCGAGGGGTTACATAGTTATGGCGACCTTGCCTGCGACTGAGCCGCTGATTGATTTGGTGTAAGGAAGAGTGAACATGAACGAGTGCATTCACAACCGCCGTACGATGCAGAGGTGGCATCGCCAATCCACGATAAGCGATTGGGAAGTTGACTGGTGGGTTGTAGGACGGCAGATCCAAATTCAATGTGTTCGTGAATTCGATTCCAACTTGATAGAAGGCTTGGTCGGACCAGTCACCGAACCAATCAAGTACACAACGATTGAACAAAGCGGGTGAAGTGGCTGCTCTTGAGGCCAGTCCGTTTTCAGGTGGATTCATGGTGAAGACAACATGGAGATTCTTGGCGACTTGCTGTGTGAACCAGCGATAGAGCTCTTCATGGGAGTCCAACATTAAGCCATCCCGTTGGGAACCCTCTTTGCACGCTGTCATGAGAGCAGCATGCTCATCGCCTTCGAAAAGACCAGGAACTTCGGCGTTGGCAAGAAGTGTGTTCATGCGCTCGAGGAAACCAGAGTCGAGAGCATTGGATTCGTCCATGATAAAACAAATCTTTTCACCTTTGCATCCAGACCGACGAAGGACTGTCCGCAAATCCTCGTCGAAGTCTTCGCCGGTATATTTGTTGGAGACCTTCTAGGCAACAAAGCGGGACAATGTAGTCTAGGTAGAAAGTAAGCACGAATATCGCACAAACAGACCGACAAACCTTTCCGCTTCCACTGACACCAATCAACAAAAGATGGCCTTGAACTTGTCGGAAGACACGGTCAATACGATATATATAGTTCTTGGACGTCCAATTGGAGAACAGAATGGGCCGCCCCAGAGCCTCTTCGCGATTGATCGTTGGGAAGTTTTCCATCGCATTCGAATCGAGGTTCTCGTCGGTCCACAATTTCTCTTCTTCCGTTACAAGTCGATCTTGGAACAATCGAAGTGCTTCATGAGCCAGACACGAACAAGCCCTTCGACTGCCAGGATTTCCAGAGGCCGGATTGCCTCGTAAATACCACGAACCCAACGAGTCAGTTCACGTGGACTGTAGACGTAATGGGCTTGCACGTCTGTAGTGAAGCGTTTCTGCGACGCGAGATAGAATGCGACCATGGCATCGGTGAGAGGCTCCGCGTAAGCCCGTAGATTGGGAACAACTTTGAGAACCGCGCGGTTGTAGGTCCCGTAGATTTGTTTGAGGGAAACTTCTCCAGGATAGTCGACCATGACCAGTGGCGCATGACGGAGGAAACGATGGGTGAGCGGAACTCGACCAGGATCAGTGGGTGGGTTACAAGCCCCAACAAACTGGATACGCTTCAGCTTGATCCAAGCCATATCGGAAGTTCGCCAATAACCACCACTTTCAACCAATCGACGGATGAAAGAAATAACGCGCTGGGTCCCATACTTGTCCGGCGCGGGCAAGTTGATCTCATCGCAAAACACTACAAGCCAGCGGCCAATCTGAACCGGGGCGAGAATCACACCATTGGGAGTCTTGCGGTATTCACAATATTGCTCGAATGTCTTGAGTATGAGTTCAGGGGTTGTCGCACTGGAAAAGTTGAGGCCAGCAACCTCCATATCGGGTAACTTGCGAAGAGCGCTGAACAGGGTCATGGTCTTTCCAGAACCAGGAGGACCGCAAAGCATCAGTGGCTTGTGCTCCGACAGCCACGAGTATAAAACCTCCTCGTGACGCACAGTGTCCATCGTTGGAATGACCACGTCAGACGCGGTGACCGCATAGGGTTCAATGTCGATAACAGGAACTTTGGATTGCCAGGCAATCCACTCGCCATTGGAGATTTGGACATCGAAGCCAATGAGCGAGCTACCCTGTTAAAGAGGCGGAAGGTCGATGCTGGTTTGCTTACGCAGGAATTCGCCCATTTCAGCGCGCAGGTCGAGTTTGGCATCGCCAGAGAATGCCCAAATGATGCTGACTAAGAGTCGCTTGGTCACGTATTGCTCGACGCGGTCATGTGACAACGGGAAGTCAGGGTGCTGGATGTTGTACTCGATGATATTGCGAACTGTCTTGTTGAGAAGCGAGAAGAGAGTGCTGAGAGCACGAGTCACAGTGAAGTCCATGATATGTTCGATGGAGTCTGCAAATGTCAAAGCGTTGCTGACCAGTTCTCCATCCTCGAAGTATTGCTCTAAGATGGACGCGACTTCCTTTTGTGTCGCCAGGTTGTCGGCTTCGCTTGCTGATGGATCGACCCTGCGCTCAATTATATCACCCGCGTCTTCGTCGTCAGCGTCGAGGGGAACAGCGGCGAGTGTCTCGAGATAGTGTCGATAGACCATTTGAGGATCGATGACGTCTTCGCTGAACCAAATCATACCGCAACGACTGACGGTGGCCAAGGTCGCATACTTGAGATGCTCAACTTCGAACATAATGCGCACGTTAGGAGGCAAATTCAGACGTTCACCATTGGGAAGCGTTAGAAGCTTGTTGTCGTCGAGGACACTGACCAGAAGACGTCAGACGAGAAAGAAAATCAACTTCAAAACCGACCTGTTCAGATTCTCTACCCATTCTGGGTCAACATCTCCATCGAAGATGATCCAATGGCGTTTGCCACTTTCGCCACGTACGTCGTCCACGATTTTACGCAGAATATGCCTAAACAGACCATCATTCCATTCACGTGTCGTTGCATCCAGAGTACCATAGAGCGCTTCCTTATCCATGGCCTTGGGATCGATGACATAGGGTACACCTTCAACCCCATCCAGTCGTTCGAGAGCAGCCAGTAAGACCTGCCATGCGTTCGTCTTGCCAGTTCCCGATGGCCCCACCATCATCAGACCATGCTGAATTTTCTGGATCTGATATAGTTGCAGAATCTTCGCGATCCATTTGTCGCCAGGTGTGAGACGGCGCTCTGCACACACTAAGAGAATTTGTTCGCGTAGCTTATCGAGATCGACTGGTAGGTAATCGACGCCAGGGAAAACGTCAGCCAAAAGGCTAAAATCGGATTAGATTCGTGATAACAAGACAAGCCAAACAAGACTCACTTAGTAAGAAGGGGAACATCGCCTGCGACCAACTTGGGGACAATCGTTTCGGTGACACTTTGGATGATTTGCTCCCAAATCCCATCCGATAGCTCAACAACGGTGTCATCATTCCCCGCATCGGCTCGTGCGCTGAGCAAACGTTCACGTTTGAGAATAACAGCACTAGCTAACACAACCTTCAGGGCTCGCAAACCGAAGTCGTAATGAGGTTGCGGTGATAACTGTTCGTCGCAAAGGTTGAAGAAGGGAACAATTTTCGATGCGAGGGACTCCGCAGTACGGAAACCTTGCGAGAATAACATGACTTGAGCAATAAGCTCGCGATCGGGGCGTGTCATAGCCATTCTGCGGTTCCATGAGACAAATTTCGAAGCGAATAGGGGATACTCACGGCCGGAAGAGTTTGATCAAATTGGGAGGCAGTTGAGAACGACCTGCATAGTTGGGAATGGTGGTAATGAAGATGCCTACACAAATGGGTTACCATTTACGACACAAGAGTGGAAACAAACCCATGTTCTTGTTAATCTTCAACTTCTTGCCGACCAACTCGATCTCCGTGTCGGGGTTCCTGACGAGCGAGGCAAGACCTTGCTGAATGCTGTGGACTTGTTGTGAAACTGCGCTGAGAATACGCTCTTTGAGTCGATTGAACTCGTCGAAACATCCCCAGGCACCGACTTGACACAGACCGATGAAAATACGACCCATTGCCTGGAAGTCAAATGTTTCATCGCAACAGAATACGAGCACAAAACGCCCAAGTTGGACACCAAGAGCTTTGACGGACTCGGTTTTACCTAAAAAAATGTCAGATGAAAGTGAAGGATGTAAAAAATGGGCTCACCTGTGCCAGCAGGACCGAATGGAGCGCCACCAAGTTGATTGTCGAGTGCTTGCGTGAGTGTTAGGTAGACACGGTCCGTGAGTGGTGTCTGGACGAGCCGATCTGGGACACTAAGGTATTCCCAACCATAAGGGAAGGAAGCGTCCGCCACCTTGATAGCCAAACGTTCGAGAGGATTCTCCACGGAGCGATCCAGGTAAAATCGCATTTGGGATAACCATGTAAAACCAGCTGGGTCAAGCACTTTATCAGCAATCAGTGTTCGAGTGACTCTCGTTGATGGACCAATTCTGTGATAAGGTGCTCGCACTTGCGACGAGTGACAGGTATAAGCTCTTGCAAGACGATGTCGGCGAGCAAATCAAGAGCCTGCGTAACAGTTTGCAGCGCGGCATCTGGTGCAGTCCTCGATTCGAGCGATGACTGGACAGCAGCCGTCCAGGCAACTTGAATGGCAAGAGTCACCAACTGCGCTGGGTATTTCTCCATCCAAGCCATAAATTGATCCATTGGAAGAGACGATCCGGTGCCGTAAAACGATTGTAACTCGCCAACAGCGTCTGTGAGCAGGTCCGCCAAGGAAAGGCGCATCATGGATTCGATTTTTGCGAGCCAGCCAGTCATTGATCTTGGGGAAATCTTTCAGCAGAATGGGTGTCGTAAACGGCACCTCTTCGCCCTCTCTCGAAGCCATGCCTTGGATTTGGGTCAGGTCTTCGTCCAACATAACCGTTGAGATTCCGGCAAACATCTTTTTCAGATGCTTCATGATGCGGAGGATATCCTTGCTGTTACCAATCATCTCCAGCAAATCCTCGTCACCAACAAAGTAAAACCGGGGGAACGAAGACCGCTCTCGTTCGAGGTATTCTCCCAGTGCCTTTTGAATCTTGTTCAACAGGTCTGCGAGTCGCTCCAAACTCTTCTGAACTCCCTGAATGTTCAAGACATCCAGCACGAAGGGGGACTTGTAGACTTTCTTCATGACGGTGAGGAACTCCGCGTTGATGTTTGAAAGCGACCGCTCTCAACCGGAAGCAGATGCTTGATATCGGTACTTCCAGAGAAAATGCCCTCGAGATATACCCACTGGCGCTGAACGTCAATCCACACATCTAAAAATCGAATCAGTAGCGAACATAGCATCATGCGATGAACAAAGTACCGAACAAGACATGGATTCGGTTGAGCTTCTCTTCCCAAGACGCAGCCTCCTCCTCAAAAACTGCAGTACCATTATTTAATTGGACTGGGACGGGGAAATAAAATGACCTTTATAATAGGGAGAAAGTTTCATGGCGGTAAGCGAGTTGAGGTTCTCGCTACACTTGGTGAAAAGATCGTCCCAACCTCTAAGGAGTGTTTCAGAAAATGTACATGTTGACCGGAAGATGATACACATACCTGATCCGGCGACACTTTGTTTGATAGTTGACCAAGTCTAGCGTGTAGCTGGTCTAGGTCTCCTTGACTTGCTTGATGTATTCCTCGAGAGCCATCTGGAAAAGACTTGAGCATATATCAAGCGAAAGGTTGGAGAAATCTACCTCTCCCTGCGCTTGAATGATAACTTCCTTGATGACGCTTTCGTTCTTCTTGAGGTCCATATCGTAGACGTGGCCAAGGGTCATGCTACAGAATCTCGGTAAGAGAAGCTACGGACGAGCATAACGATGAGCGAACATTGGCATTGGAATAGCAGCAGGCATCCGGAGTGCTTTGAAAAGCTACTTCCAGTGTCTGTCCTTCATAGCCTCTGATTGCAGCTCTGAAACGACAGAGTTAGACTTGAGGAGCCCCTTCAATACGTCCCGGACATATTCGAAGGCTGCATATTGACGCATCCGCGTTGGCATCTTGCCCGTTGACTGAATCAGCCCGTCGATTTGTTGTCGCAATTTTCTTGGCTGGACGGTCGACCAAAGCATCTCCCGAAGCTCAGAAATCTGGCTCCACACGCCGGAGAGGGCGGTCCAAACACTTGTGAGGTCACGTAACTCTTCGAAGACAGGCTCGAGACGCGTGTGGCGGACAAATTCAAGGTCAAGGGCTTCTTTCGCCCGACAAAGGAGGTCGTAGTCGTCCTGTACTCGATTAAGCTTTCCCTCGAAGACATTGATTTGATTGTGTTCATGGCGATGTCTGCGCGCATGTTGCCCTGGACAGGACGAGTTTGCTCCCACTCTGAAATAATGTCGTTGATCTTGTTCTCGACGATTTTGTCCTCGGCGACGATCTTGAGTTGCAGGCCGGCTATTACAGCATGAGTAGACGAGTGGGAGGGACAATTGGGGACGCACCGAGTTGCTCCTGAATGGAGTCGTTCTTTCTCTTCAATATCTCATTGTAGGCGCTCCACTCCCCACGCAGTTGGTCGCTGTACAGCCAGTCATCCGGGAACTGATATCTGAACCGGTGTAGTGTCTTCTCCCCACTTTCACAGAGGTCTATAATGGGTGCTTATGTTTTGGTCTTCTTCTTCAGGTTCTGGACGAAGGTAATGAATGTGACGGCGGCTGCCGTCGAGGAGTTGCCAGGCGCAAAGGCCTAATAAGAGTTAGTAGACCGAAAAATGTGGGTACTGGAGGGACTAGCCTCCATGGTCGTTTGTGTCTACGCGTCGAGGCGTAAAGAGTTGGTTGGCACGTGCTTTGACAGGCCTTCGCTCTCAAGTGTCCAGCGAATGTTAACGTTTGCGAGGGAGCAGGGTGCCGACAAGTTGTACCCTGGCCATGGAAAGGAGCTTATAGAGACCTATATAGCCCACCGCCAAGACCGCGAAAACCAGCTTTTAGAGCTGCTGAAGGATGGGAAACCGTGGAGAGGGTAAGGATGCTGAGCAAATGCTGAGTGGCAGGTTGTTCAGACCAAGTACATAAATTGTCTAGTATACAGTGGAAAGTGGTACAGACAGCAATACAATACCTATTGTAAATGTGAATAAAAACTCTGGCAAGTGAGACGCAAGTCAAATCGTCTCGCAAAGAACTCTTGCTCGCTGATCTCGCCGTCCTGGTCGAGGTCAAATTCATCTATCATCGCTTGTCTGAAACAAGTCAGACGCGCGAAGAAATAAAAGCAGGCAAACGTACAGCTCGTCATCCTCCAATCTGTCTCCAATTTCCTTCGCCACTCGACGCAAATTCCTCGACGATATCTTCCCAGTGTTGTCGTCGTCAAACGGCTGGAATGCTCGTCGTATTTCATCCATAGGGTCACGCGCAAGTATGCGGTCCGCCACTGAGCCAGTCAATCTAGGAGAACAACAAGAGAAGGAACAACGCACTTATTCTCGCAAAATCTTCAAACTCCATCACGCCCTGGCCGTTCTTGTGGTGGTCCCTCAACAGCTTGAACACCTCGGCCTTCTTCATGTCGAATCCCAACGCCCGCATCGCGACTTTAAGCTCGTGGTAGTCGATGGCCCCATCCTTGTCTGTGTCAAACAGCTCAAACGCCTCTTTTATCTCTTGGCTTAGGCTACTTCCAAGCCCTTGTTCCGAACCGAACTCAGCAGAAAAAAAATTGCGGGTGAGGCGGAAAGCTACTATGTACATCGAGGTTTATTCCAGTGGAAGTGTACAACACGCTCGTACTTGGTCTAGTCATGGACTTAGGAAAGCTTGGAGTGGCTGGCTCGCCATGTTGAGCGAAGTCCATGTTCCCAAGACCACATGGAAGCGCAAGCCGAATGTTCCTCATCCGCCAGGCCTTGGCACAGAACGTGTTCCATGACAATGATTTTTGTTGGGGCATCGATTGAAGCAGGTTTGAGCAAGGACCACAGGATGCCAATCTGGTCCGGCCGTTGCGGCAAATTCAACTGCCGTATGACTATAAGGCGAATGGCCTGAAAGGAAAGGGCGTGTGCAAGAATTTCGACAAATTGGTCGCCAACCAAAACCTGGATCCCCAGATCAAGGAGATCCAAATGTCGGAGTCGAGTCCCCATCAAGGAAGGCAAAAGCCTTACTTGACCGCCAATAAACTCCATATATGCGGAAATATCCCCAATTAGACGCAAGAAAGTGACGCTATGAAGGCGAGTTTTATTTAGCGAGAGAAAGTCGTCCGTATTGTGCACGCTAGCAAGTCGCAATGAAAGGGCCCGTAGTTGCGGGGTGTACATCGGGGAGATCAACGATCCGCAAGCGTGAGGGTAGAGCGTGTTGCAAAGAAATGTCAAGTGGTTCAGGCGAAGAAGAATGATTGGATGGTGGGAAGTAGACTTGGCAACGAGGGGCTCATTGATATCGAGAGCAAGGGTTTCGAGGCTGGGAGTCTGGCGAAGGCAGTCGAGTAGGTCCATAGCAAAATCGGAAGCGACGGGGCCATTGACATGTGTCAAGGCCAATGATGTGATATGAGGGGCAACTAAAAATGGGCGAGGAGATGACTCATTGAGATGGCAAAATCCAACGGCAAGACCCAACAACGGAGGGGGCTCGATGTCAAATTCACATTCACCCAAAGAGATCGGAGTGGCGGAGAATTCCTCGAGCGAGGCGAAGGTTGGTTGAGGTTTGACGGCCAATAAGTGGTCAACAAAGATGTCCCAGGCGGAGTGGGAGCAATACTGCAGGGAGATATGTGTGACTGTCTCCGCTTTGGCACCCAGCAGAGCGGCAATCGAAGACAAAAACATGATATCCAATTCCGAGTCCAGGTCAAGGTCGATGCGCAATCGTTTCGGAGCTGCCCGGGCAAGCCAAAAAACCTTGTTGATGTAGTACTGAGGCATTCGCGGGACCAGAATTATGTGCGACCATAAGGTGGCAATAGACTCCAAGGCGAGTTTCCAACACCCGCACACCGCTCCAAGAGCCATCTTTTGCCGAACGTCGTTCTGCCATGTGATGGAGATATCCAAGGCGAGGCAGGCTTCGAAGATGACCCCAAGGATGTCGAACGTTGCCAAAGCTTTATTCGTTGCGGGTGTGGGAGGTGAATTGACGCAAGGCGCCATGTTTGAAGTGGGCGATTCGGTTGGGACGATAAGTTTTATAATGTAGGCGCTCTCGACATTCGATCTGCCTGTTTATATGGACCAGAGCGAGTTCCGCGCTTCGAAAACTTCCGGTCTTCGAAGAGTTCCGCTGTCTGGAGAGTTCCGATAGCATGATCATGCAATTTGCCATAGAGGCCCGAAGACGCGTCGGATAGTCGGTAAATCAGTGAGCAAATTACGAGGGACAGTCTATGTGAAGTCAGATGTTGTCGTCGTTCATTGAGTTAGCACTCACCCAGCCCAAACTAGTTATGCGTAATAGACGGGCGATGCGAGTTCACGTACGATAGCCGGGAGGAGGTTTTTGGCAGACTGGGGATGGCATCTGGAGTAGATAGTGGTGGTGGTCGCAAGCAAGTTGAGACAAGAGATTATGTTTAATTTGAAGGGGACGCGGGACCCGCTCGGCTTCCTCAAGGCAAGCGAAAAACACTTCCGAGGTTTTGCTTGACCCAGCTACGATCCTATTCGTTGCGATTCAAAGTGAATTTCTGGACCTCTAGCCATGGCTTTGGTTCGTGATTGCGCACTTGTTTTCTTTCGCCGAGACCCCATCATCTTGCCTAGTTGCGGTAAACGGCCAAGAGGTGGCAAATCCGTCCAGCCTGCCCGAAAGTGAGCAGGGAAACCCACTGTTCAACATTGAGCGGATGTCGGAAGGCGGCCTGTCACATGATCATATCCGAGTCGTGACATCACAATTCCAAGGCTTCGTGCAAACGCCCAAGGTCCAGAGCGCGACCCTCCAGCGGTTGTCGTTGGACGAACCAAGAGCGAACCCACGTTTGGTTCGTCACGGTTGCGCAGCAAGGCTTCGTCCTTTAATCCTGACGCTAAATTCTCCCACAAGTAAGAGTTGTCCTTGTTGAATATCCGCCGTCGCTAATTCTGGCCTAGACGTTCTCGCAACGCCTCAGTCTACTGCCACATCGTCTGCTGATATCTCGGCCAGCAGCTCTCCCCATGCGACGAACGGCGGGTTTCCCTGTTCACCCCCACCAAGGACAATACTTCGTGCGTGCTTAATTCTCCACTTTTAAATATCTAATGCGCGCTCTCAAATCCAGTGGGCCTCGCGTTGAACAAACATTCAATGTGCTCTGAACTAACGGAGTCCATATCGACCGACAATACTCTCGCGCTTTTAACATCCAATTCTTCACACCACGGGTCTCTTTGCTCAAGTCCAGAGTACGACCCTCCAGCGGTTGTCGTTGGACTAGCCAAGAGCGAACCCACCTTTGGTTCGTCACGGTTGGGCAGCAAGTCTTCGTCCTCCAACCCTGACGCCCAATTCTCCCACAAGAGTTGTCCTTGAGAATATCCGTTGTGGCTAATTCCGGCCTAGAATTTCATGCAAGCTCGCAACGCCTCAGTTTACCGCCACGTTGGCTGCTACAGACGCTCTAAATGCTGCTTCAAATCTTTTGCGCGCCGTCCAGCGCGTTTCCCTGTTCGTCTCCACCAAGGACAATTCGTGCGTGTTTTATTCCTACACTTTGAAAAATCTAATGCGCGCTCTTAAATCCAGTGGGCATCGCATTGCGTGGATCACAATATGCTCTAAACTAATGGAGTCCATAACGGCTGCTCGCGCTTTCAATTCCCAAGCTCTTAGTCTGCTGCTATCTCAGCTACCAGCACTCCCAATGTGGCGAGCAGCGGGCTTCCCTGCTCACCTTCAAGTCGGGAGAATTCCACGCAAGCATCGACCCTTGAATTGATTATCGATTCCGCGTCTGCCTCCATTCCTTGCCGTTGCCTGTCTGATGGTAAAGAGAAAGAACGGAACTCGAGCGGAATCCGAACCCTGAGAGCTTAATCCTGGCCAATGGCATCGACTTCTGCCGCCTCGATGTCCGGTTTCCATCACTTAATCAATCAAGTGCGCCCTCCCGCCGCTCACTTTCCCATTTATTTGGGCCTCATATATAACCCCCAGCCAAACTGTCAGCACCCTCGTCCAACTCAGCCATGCGACAAATGGCCACGCGAAAAATGGCCCCACGAAAAATGGCCCCGTCAGGGATGGCTTGCACCAGCTGTTCGGATGCTCACCGACCCTGCAGCCGCTCTCGTCCTGATCAAGTCTGTGTCAGGTGCAACGAGATGAGAAACGGACAATTTTGTGTGCGTCCACCTGGCTGGAGGTCCCAATTCAAGCGCAAGAAGACCCCCAGTAACGCTCAAGCCCCTGGTGTCCCCAAGCGTTCTAAAGCAAGCGTCCAGTCCCAACATATCACTGTCGCGAACAATGCGACCTCCACGCAGACCATCTTGCCAGACCCCTCCCGGGAAGATCTGGCTGGGTTCCCACCAGTTTCCGCCCCCTATGCACCAATGCTCGTCACTGTCCCCTGCTCTGAGCCTATTCTTGAACGAGCCTTTCAGCGTTGTTCTTGCCCGGGGGTTGTGCTTTTGGCGTGTGACAAACGAGTGGGGCGGAATACAGCGACAACGTGAAGCTGTCGTCAGCCCAGGGCTATCGGGCCTGAGATTGTTCCACGCTGCCATCGACACCGAGGTCGCGGTTGCCAAACGGCGACAAGATTTTCAAAGACGGGGCCGATTGGCGGGACGAGTTTGGCGGTGCTGATTGGCGGTCTGGTTTGGTGAGTTTGGGGTCTGAAACGGCAACGGCAGCGACTGACCTAGCTAGTAGACTAGTCCGCGCTGCCTTTGTAGTGATGTCGGCGAAAGCAAACGACACCGGTGGTCCAGCGCCGAGCAGGCCTGCGAGACGGCTGTCGCAGTCTGGAAACGACGACAACGCTTGGGATTCTGCCCCGAATGGCCCTCGAACGGCAATAACGAAAACTACAGCCCCCCATCTATAGTAACCGCACCACTCCCGCGGCCGGCTAAAACAACTTGAAGTACCCCCCCCGGCCTCACCGACTCAAACTCTGCAGCAAACTCGTTGCGGACTGCGTCGGCAAAATCAATCCGCGGATTCCACAACGACACGGCTACAAACTCACTGAGTATGTCGTCTCAACCGGCAGCAGCAGCCTCATACGCGACAGCAACTTGGCGCCATTCAAGACTACTAACACAACCTCGCGTTGTCGCTCCCTCGTTTGTCGCCAGCGACACTTGTTCAAGACGACTTCAACAACGGCTACAAACTCACCCCCACCGTGAAGATGAAAGACGATCGACCCTCGGTTTTGGCCATCTCTTAGGGCAAAGGCGACCCGTCATTACCGTTGTCTATCTCGATCCACGCGGCCGCATGCGAGAACAGACCCAATTGGACAATCTCACTGTCGGCAAGTTTCGCGACGACTTCATCGACCTTCTTCGCAGGCGCCAACCAGATGTTATTGGCATCAGCGGCTTCAACTCTAGTCCAGCCCCCCAACGCACCCACAATGGCAAACGAATCTCCCATCCCCGCGCCACCGCAGGGCCCAGTCTCCCCCGACCTGACCGCCTTCCTCTCCCAGCTCTCCCTCGACCTCTCCGCACACACAGCACTTTTCGCAGAATACGACTTGACCTCCCTCGCTGCCGTGCGCCATCTGTACAAGTTCGCGCCCAATGATCGGCGGCAGGCGCTCCGGCGCATATTCTGGGACCCGTGGCACCGCGCAGCCGACGACGAGGCAGACGAACGGGCAAGAGAAAGAAGCACGCGGGGCTCACGTGGCTCGAGGTCACCGCGCTCGCGAAGCGCGAGAAAAACTTGAATGTTAGTGCTGGTGGTCGCGTTTGTTTGAAGAAATTGTGTTTGTGCCTTGCTGAAAAATGAACGAACTGCTTGGTATGTGTGTTTGCTTTGTCTCGTGCTTGCTTTGTATTTCGAATAGTGTAGACCTGCAATGAGAAAAAATCCTGTTTGTGCTTTGAAAACGCGTCGGAAACTTGCCTCGGAAAAGTTGGCACTCTTGCACGTGATCGTTCCTCTTCCAAAAAAAAGCAAATGTGAACGAAAGAAAGAACTCGACGTTGGAAGCCAAAATCCGACAAGTTAAGAAAGAAAGAGCTCTTCCAGACAATTAGACACGCAACTCAGACAAGGGATACAAAACAAGCAATCTTTGAATTCCAACTACCAACTACAAGTACATTGACATCCCCAGCGCGTCTGGCGGCATCAAAACCCGGGCATGTAAAACCACGTGGGAAACCAAGCCGGGAAAAAGCATGCCAGAACAACGCAGGTGCCGAATGGATAACAAGAGCGCAGGGCCGGAGCTTGCAGTCGGTCAGCGCGTGAAGTAAGGGCATAGCAGGAAAAGGGACATACCAAAACGCGTCGCCGACGAAAGTTGATGGCCAATGTTGAGGACCCCACACGAGTTGGACGTGGCGGACATTTGCAAGGGATCCCTTCCACGCCGAATGCCCGAAGCGTGCAGCAGTAAAGCGCGCAATGCGCGAATGCCCGCAAACTACGTGATAGGGAGGCGCGCCGCCGACCGACGCTGGACGAGTGTTTGCCCTGCCAGTCCCCAGCGAACACTGACTGCACGGACGGTTTCTGGCGGGGTCGTAGAACGTGTTGGCGGTGGCCGTGTCGAAAGGTCGAATCTGCCAGTTGTGATCAGGCCGGGAAAGAGCGAGCGACGCACAAAGGCGGGGAGCGCGCAGCCGAGGGGGAGGACGGGACGGTTTCGGTCCTGTGCCCCGAATCCCTTGCCGCGACAGCCCCGCCCCAGATGCGTGCCGGAAGGTCTAATTGAGTGATAGCTGGCCAGCGTGGACAGTGGGTTGCAAAGACACATCCGTATCACCCACCCAAGCCCATTCCGACAACGCCGCCCGAGTATGCATCCGCAAGCCCGAGAAACGAAAACACATTCCCGGCGCCGGATCCCGATTCCCGATGGCGAAACGCGTTGTCGAAAGGAGTGGCAGCGTCGAAGGCGAAGAAAAGGAATGGTGAGGAAGACCTAGTTGATACGATAAGCTTTGGAGAAGACGAAAATCAAAACTATAAGATATCAGCAAGCGCCGGAGGGAAACGAAGAAGACGTACGATCAAGCCCATGTCGAAACGAGCAGCGCAAAACCCCAGCGAAAACGACTCTCCAAAAAGAGGCACCTAGTTCAGACATTGAGCGAGCGAAAAAAATCAAAAATCAAAAACTAGGGAACCATCAGCGAGCGGGGCGAGTGGAAACGAACTTACAAAGCAAGCCCATGTCGAAAGTATGCCAGCGAAACCGACTGTCCAAAAGGGCCACCTAGTTGATAAGTTCAGCGAGCGAAAAAATGTAACACGTCACGTGTCACTTTTCCTTCACCTCTCCAGATCGACGAAACGATCATCTTTCGCGTGAAAAGAAACTCACGTTCAACAACCTCAAACTTGTAACCGGCTAGGATCTCCTTGGTGAGTCTTAATAAGCCGCAATCGACCGCCATTTGACCACATTTGACTCATTAGCGCCTGGCATGGCCCCGACATGTCGCTCGACCGCATCCTGCAGGAGATTACCACCACAACTAATCTCAATACCTTGCACCAAACATTGGAAACCAGTCTTCCCAAGGAGTCGAGGGACACTCTTCTTTCAAGTCCACTTGCGAGTGGTCAAGATCCTTTGAAAATACTGGACCTCACGCAAAACAATTGTATATCCTGTGCGTGCTCTTTCAAATGTTTTGGTCCATTGCTCATCACGCTTTCAAGGCAGTTCGACTGAGCGTTACCAAGATTTCGGTGCATCCCCAGGTCATAACTACATTCCTACCTGAATAAGCCCGTCTCGCCCCAGAACGAGGTTTGCAGAAATAGCCATCGCGTTAAGCCTATGACAAGTTGATATTCTTTAGTGACGGCGTTAGCGAAGGGAATCTATCGATATGGGCTCTCCAATGGCCGCGTGTTCTCCTTTTCGCTCGTATGTTGCTGTTAATATCACTTTCCATAGGCATCATGGGCTGTCCAGCCGCTATTCAATCTTGTCACCCGCTACCCACCCGACACATCATATGTCACCACAATCCATCCTGTTTTCCTGCAAGTTAGTGCTTGCAACGCGTTTTATAGCTACCGCTAATACCGTTCGAAGGCTGCGTTGTCGCTAGCCAGCCTAGTGCTGCCTGCCCTCCCAATTCTCGCCACTCCCATTGCAAACGTCTCAACTCTCCTGTCCGACCTCACTTATAACGACAACCTCGTCGATCATTATCTCGGTGGCGTGCTTGCAATGCTGAAAAGATGGGCGGAGGCGGAGGAATACTTGGAGATTTGTGTGACTGTGCCGGGATCAGCGCCTGGCACTCCAGCTTGAGACACTAAAGAAGCTTCGACTTATCCAACTCATCTCGCGCGGAGAGACGACCTCGCTTCCCAAATATGCGCATTCAAGCTTGCCTCGCATGTTCAAAAACTCAGTTAACACCGAGCTCATCAATGCTTACCCGCAAAACATCGAAACGTTGCATGGGCTCGTGGACAAGGAGAAGCCGCTGTTCTTTGCAGACAAAAATTTGGCGCTCAGGCGATCGAGCGTGCTCCTAGGTGGACGTTGCGGAAATTGACAGCAACCTATGTTGCTCTGGGTTTGGCGGAGATTGCTCGGCTGGTGGGGACGATGTGCGATCGTTGCTTTTGAGCATGGTGTGTGCCTTGTCTCTTAGGGCTCTCAACGATATAACGTGTCGTCTAGACCGAAGCTTTTGCGCAAATTTCCGCTTCGGGCACTGTTACATTCTCCGACCCGCCTCCGCTTTTCAAGGGAAGAAGTCGACTCCGTGTTGCCTTCTGCACAAACACAGAGTGTGTTGCTCGAGGGGCTTGATATGGATATGGCGCGGGGTCGCGAGTTTATCATGAAAGCTGTCAAAAGCCAGGATGGATGGTGGCCTGGGTCAGAGGAGGACGTATATGCGGGGGGCGAGCGGCCCATGGGCGGAAGACTCCATGTTCGCATCGAGGCTCGTTGTTTCTAGATGTTAAGTGTCCATTGCTAACCGCACCACAGTTGTGTATAATCGCTTTCCAATGCAAAAATTTGTGCATCCTTTTCCATGATTCCTTCCCCACTGTGTTATCTATCTCGTTCTTAGGTCCCTTTCACGTACTTGTCGTGAGTCGTCGAGGAAGAGGTGCTTGGGCCGTTGTATCAGCATCATTCACGCTGAACAAGTATGCTTGGTCTGGATGTGTGACCAGGCTGGTGTGACTGTCACACTCTCACACAACTTCGAGGTTTGACAGCTCGCTCACGCCATTGATTGACCACTGTTTCTCATTCTGGGTTCTATCTCGTTGTTACCAGAAAGTGTAGCCACTTCTGTGCAGGAGCCACCTAAGACAACACAAGTGCGAGATAGAGGTCGAATCACAAGTATTGCGAAAAAGATAAGAGCCCAAGAAATGGTCCGATGATGAGTCGGAGCTGTTAGCCGAGGGGAAATTTACGTGGGAATACAAATTCTGTGATGTGACTTATCCAATACTCGAAACTCGACTGTTGTTCAAGACGCCGACCTGTTGCAACTACCCGCTCGAAAACTCACATATGACTGTTCGACGCAGTGAAAGACCACCCCGACCAATAATTCGATATCCACCTGTGCTTCCTCCCTCCAAGTCACGGAATTCGAGTCGTCGAGGTAAAAACTCGACCAATCAGCAGCAAGGTTCGTTCATCTTTTGCGTTTCTTTCCGTGTGTACTTCTGGTTTACTAGACCCTGAGTCCCCTGCACCTCCCGATAAAAGTGAATCACAAACAAATGCTGGAAAACAAACTGGAAATCGCGGGCTTTCCTCGAAGCCTACCAAGCGTCGGCGTATGGACTCCGCCTCTGGCAGTGAACATCAAGGTTGGTCCATTTCCTGCATTTTTATATGTGCCAACTTAGCTTCCGATGCCAGAACCCTCTACCTCTCTCGAGATCCTAGCGCAAGTTGCTGTACCATCAGGTTCCGCAAATGGCGACGACGGTTCGTGCCATTTCCTTTATTTGACTTCAAGAAGCTCACTTAAAGGTGATTTAGGCCATGTCTACAATAGACAGCATAGTACTCATCTCGCACGGATGCCTATCGGCTGGATGCATGCTACGGATTTCAACCACGCATCCCAAGATCCTTTGGCTAGACCCGACTTCATACCTATCTCGAACAGGGCATCAGCGTATCCTATTCACATTTCCCCACCAACCACTGATACTTCGATTCGCGATGGCCTTAACCTCAGCACCCACGTCTCCCGTCTCCCTGCAGGGCAAGTCAGCCCGATCGTAACAGATCATACTACAGCAACTTTATCTTCGCTTCTCGAGCAGCTTCGCGTTACACCCAACTTCAAAGTGGGATTTTCGAGTCCTATCGACTACCAAGCCCATTGGACCAAGAGAGAGGCTCGTGGGGTGCCCCTGCTTCGATCCACTTTTGTTGTGCTCGTATATGTAACGCGAAAGAATGGTCATCAAGAAGATCTTATTCTCGAAGTTAGCCCCAACCCCTTTCCTGATCTCAACTCTGTTTTCGTTGAAGACCTCTTGGACCAGATTCTTCTAGAGAGAGAGGAACTGACGCGGACTTGGCATACCCCCTGGGGTTATATCATAGGAACCTCAGATCGATTACAGGATTTCACGAACGATACGCCGTACCTTCGTGTCCTTGGGCATTCTCAAAGCTTGACTCAGCATTCTCCTCCATTTCCCGAAACAAGCAAATTGACATGTATACCTCTTGCGTGGTCAAACGACGCGGGCTTCATAGTTCATCTGAAGGTAATATCCATTGCGCTCTGTCTTTACTCCCGTACTGATACACCTACGCTCTCAGGAAGATGACTGGACGATCCCAAATGCAAATGGCCTTGCTGAACTTCCGTCAAGTCCAGTCCCCAACTTGGAAGTCCCAAACTCGGATTTCAAACTCCACTTGGATGTGGACTTGGATGGCGACTTGGACTTGGATGGCGACTCGGACTTGGATGGCGACTGGAACTACTCAGACACAAATTCGAACAATTTTTTCGCTCTTGACGAAAGAAGCCGATACATTGATCCTGGGCGCTATACTCCGAATACTCGTTCGAGTACTCCGTCGAATGACTCATTGGCCGCTTTTTTCAATTCTTTGTTGCTCGACTTGCATCCTCTCGAAGCGATCACCGAGAAAGCATGCGGCACGGGCTATAAACAGTGTCAGACTGTCATGGCTGTCAAATTGTTGGCCACCTCGATAGGCTTTCAGTGGCCAGTGAAGGGTGTGGTGGCAACAACTGAACTCAAGGGGCGAGAGATCGAGTTACGTCAATTCATTGAGTGGCTGGCATCTCAGATCTCCGGGTTTGGCAGTGCTGTGAGCTTCAAAAACTTGGTGACGTTGCACAAGGGTGTGGTGGAAGCCCACGACCGCCTCTCCCTCATGGATCCGGCGGAGATGTCGCCCCAGCAAAATGAGGATCTCGATGCGTTGCAATGGCTTGGGCTTGTGAGCTTCACCGTTCTGGATGAGCAAGTGGCACATGGGGTTCGGGCGCCTTCGGCAGTCCTCTTTACCAAAGTTGATATTGGTGATTTGATCAAAAGAAACTCCGACTGAAGAAATGATATGTATATAGGTGTGTTGCATTTTACTTAGAGGGTTTTTGCCATTGACAAATTTCTTAGAAATGAGAAAAATGATTTGATGTGTCAAAGTAGTCATAGTTCATGCAATTCATATGGGTTTTCGTCAAGTCCCAGACAATGAGACATAACGTGAAGTGGACGCGTTGGATAAATTTCCTACAAGTACATAACTAGAAGTTTTCAACCTATTCTCATAAGAACATCGAGTAAACATTCTAAAAGCAAATCCAAAAGACAGTCACCGGCGGAAAGTCGACTGTGCAACGGAAAAAGTCTGAACTGCACTGTAACGTTATGGCCACAGGAGACCGTCTCTTTCCTCTCGCCATCTCATTTGGCCTGAGAAGGGCTCACGAAGTTATCCCATCCAACATTCAAGCAGAAGATACATTTCTACAAGCTCAGGGAGACCATATCGGCGTGTAGCGTGTTTGTAGATATTACATCATTTAAGTAAACTTGGACAATCAAAAGTAAAGCATCTCAATAATGACTGGTTTGGTTTACGCATGCAAGTCCACAGTCGTCCCAGGACCACATACGACCACAATTCGAATGATCGTTGTCCATGCTAAGGCATAATGCATGTTCCTCGAGGATGCGTTTCGGTTCGGCCTGCATTGCAACAGGCTCCAGCAAGGACCTGATCAAGCTTGCATGCGAGGCTGGACGTGGGGGCCAGAATAATGGCGGTATGACCACAAGGCGAACATTCGGAAGAGAAAGTGTATGCGCGAGAATTTCAAGGAATTGCGTTTGAACAAAAATTTTTTGTTCAATGTCGAAGGAAAAGAGCCTGTCTGTCCCAAGGAAGTCCAAATGACGAAGCCTGCTCCCTGTCAACGAGGACAAGAGCTTTGCTGGACCATCAGCTAGCTCAATATAGACCGAAATATCGCCGATGAGACGCAGCACAACAATGTTCGAAAGGTGGGTCCCGTTGACCGAGATGAACCTGTTGGTATTATGCACACTGGCCAGATGCAATGAGAGACTGTGTAGTCTCGGAAGATGGATGAGGGAAGTCAGGGAACCGCAGTGATGTGGAAAGGGCATGTTGCAAAGAAAGGATAGGGTGTGTAGGCAAGGCAGAACGACTGGTTGGTGGGGCGCAGGCTGGTATGTGAAGGACTCATCCACAGCAATGAAAAGCGTTTCGAGATGGGGAGTTTGACGAAGAGAGTCCAGCAAAGTCGTAGCGAAAGTGAAAGAAGCCGTATCGTCCTCGGCCAAGCAAAGGTTTGTTAGGGCCATCGATATCAGGTTGGGACCAACGACAAACGACGACGGAGGCAATCCGTCGAGATAAAGGTCTTGGAGGTTTGCTGCGAGATCCGGAAACGAATGTGGGACGGCATCTCCGAGTTGGTTGTGCAGGGCGGTAGGAGAAGTCACATAGAAGGATCTGAGCGAGAGAAAGCGGGGTTGAGGACTGGCCGCTGATAGGTGGTCGACAAATGTGTTCCAGGCGGAATAGGAAATATATTGAACGGAGATATGAGTGACTGTCTCCGCTTTGACAACCAGCAGAGCGGCAATCGAAGACAAAAACATGGTATCCAATTCCGAGTCCAGGTCAAGGTCAAGGTCGATGCGCAAACGTTTCGGAGCAGCCTTGGCAAGTCGAAAAACCTTGTCGATGTAATACTGAGGCATTCGCGGGACCAGAATTATGTGCGACCACAAGGCGGGAAGTGACTCCAAGGCGAATTTCCAGCACATGCAAATCGTCCCAAGGACCATCTTTTGCCGAACGTGGCTCCGCCATTCCACCGAAATATCCAAAGCAAGACAGGCTCCGAAGATGACCTCAAGGATGTCGACCACTGCTAAAGTTTTATTCGTTGCGGGTGTGGGATATGAAGCAACGCTAGGCGTCATGTTTGAAGTGGGCGATTCGGTTGAGACGATAAGTTCTATAACGTAGGCGCTCGGTCTGCCTGATTATATGGACCATAGCGAGTTCCGCTCTTCGAAAACTTCCGCTCTTCGAAGAGTTCCGATACCTTGATGGCATGCTGATAATATTGCCATGAAGTGATGGCCTTGCCCGAAAACGCGTCGTGCAGTTGGTAAATCAACGAGGAAAGTCTGAGGGGACAGTCCAAGTATGCGAACTCAGATGTCGTCGATCCACTGCATAATCTGCCATAAACCAGTCACTGGGCTCGTCGGCCTCCACAATGACTGGATTGGGCAGCAACACAACCCCGACTTCGTGGAGGTGAGCAGGGAAGCCCGCTGCTCGCCACATTGGGAGTGCTGGTAGCTGAGATAGCAGCAGACTAAGAGCTTGGGAATTGAAAGCGCGAGCAGCCGTTATGGACTCCATTAGTTTAGAGCATATTGTGACCCACGCAATGCGAGGCCCACTGGATTTGAGAGCGCGCATTAGATTTTTCAAAGTGTAGGGATAAAACACGCACGAATTGTCCTTGGTGGAGACGAACAGGGAAACGCGCTGGACGGCGCGCAAAAGATTTGAAGCAGCATTTAGAGCGTCTGTAGCAGCCAACGTGGCGGTAAACTGAGGCGTTGCGAGCTTGCATGAAATTCTAGGCCGGAATTAGCCACAACGGATATTCTCAAGGACAACTCTTGTGGGAGAATTGGGCGTCAGGGTTGGAGGACGAAGACTTGCTGCCCAACCGTGACGAACCAAAGGTGGGTTCGCTCTTGGCTAGTCCAACGACAACCGCTGGAGGGTCGTACTCTGGACTTGAGCAAAGAGACCCGTGGTGTGAAGAATTGGATGTTAAAAGCGCGAGAGTATTGTCGGTCGATATGGACTCCGTTAGTTCAGAGCACATTGAATGTTTGTTCAACGCGAGGCCCACTGGACTTGAGAGCGCGCATTAGATATTTAAAAGTGGAGAATTAAGCACGCACGAAGTATTGTCCTTGGTGGGGGTGAACAGGGAAACCCGCCGTTCGTCGCATGGGGAGAGCTGCTGGCCGAGATATCAGCAGACGATGTGGCAGTAGACTGAGGCGTTGCGAGAACGTCTAGGCCAGAATTAGCAACGGCAGTTCTCAAGAACAACTCTTACTGGTGGGAGGTGGACGTCCAGGGTTGGAGGACGAGGACTTCAACCGTGACGAACCAAACGTGGGTTCGCTCTTGGCTAGTCCAATCCAAGTCCAACTGCCACAACAACCGCTGTCAGTAGGGTCATTTCGGCAAACCAGAAATCACGTGGAGCAGCACGCGTTTTATGCTGACTCCGAACAACTCCGAATCCACGCCGCCATCAACCTTCCGCCGTTGAACAGTGGGTTTCCCTGCTCATCGGCTTTCAGCGGGCTTATTGCTCGCCCACGACATAGTTTTCATTTAACGACAATCGCTGGAGGGGACAAGGTGACGAACGAAACGTGGACTAGTTTAATTCCAATGGAAACTTCCAATGCGGAAGTCAGGAATCAAATTCCGTCGTTTGCCTCTTTTCCATGACTCTACCCGCTCGAGACAGATGTTCCCTTTGCGACTGCTCAATGGGTCAGTTTTCAGAACCCACTGCAGATAACCCTGTCTGTAACTGCGTCAATTCTCAGCACAAGTCATTGACCATTACGACTATAGATTGCTCCAGGCAGTGCGATATGCTGCTTCTATTGCGGTCATACATATTGGCAGCACAACACAACACAACCCGCTTCCTTTCTGTGTGTTGTTATCTGTGCGCTTCGTTTGGGCTCACGGTAATATCTAGTGCACCTCAAGGACTCTTCAACAACAATGCAGGGCCAAGCTCCTTTACTCTTGGCCAGTATCAAGATCGTCTGAAGATTGCCTCTCCGTCAAATCTTATCGGAACCTACAAAACTCCACAGCCAGACTACGACGGCCCTCGAATGCGGAGGCAACGGAGTATGGTGAAGCACGCACTGCCAGAAAAATCCGCGACCCCAACTGGCAAGAAGGGCCGAGCAACCCTGAAAGCCAACTCGAGCTCGAACTCTCCAATCAGTTTCAAGATCTTCATTCTTCCCTTGACTCTGGTCTGTACAACGCGCATGATTCAGGGCGGAGTCCTCTTGGCTCATTCCGAATACAGTCTGGCCCAAACAACTCCCTCAAATCATTTTCTTTGCCCAACGATAATCAGGCTTTGTTTCTGGCCCTCGAACGACTCGAAAAGCACCACCTAGTTGTTTCATGGACGCCACCCACCAAACAGGAAATATGGGCTTCGTTGCACGAATCGATAGCCTCTGAATTAAGTCGTTATGCTATCCGTTTCGACTCGGCGGACGTTTCCTCTTTTGTCGAGCTTCCGTGGACGTTCCTTCATACTCGCTCCAACGCTAAGACCCAATTGTTCAACTATCAAATCGCGTTGTACGACTTCAACTCAGTGGTGCTGCAAAAATTGTCCAAATCGGTCCGTCATCCTACCGACCAAGATACGCATATGCTGTTCATTGGTAGTCTCTCGTCTTCATGGCATTGTGTATCATCTCATTCATGCTTCTGACAGCTCCTCTCTGGAAAAATCTTCTTGGGCCTGTTGTCGATGCTAGCATTAATGGGAATGCTCATGCATGCCGGTCTTTTGCATGGAAAGTCCTTTCCGCGACACCTTGGATCCCTAGCAAACTCGTGGGACCGTCTTGTCAGGAACTACACTGCCAGGTTTCAACAACTCAGGTCAGTCTCTTGTCCTCAAGTCATGGTGGAAAGACGGTTGAGACCTATCCATAGATGCATCTGACTCCAATATCAGGCACCTCCCCCGACGTTCGGGCGTCGCGCGGGCAGTTTGAGGAGTTGAGGACCCCTCCAAGACACGAATCACGAAGTGTAAGTCATTTGTCTCTGGCTGGTCACATAAGTTATATGCAATAAATACAGGAAACTGATTACACCCCAACCATTTCTCAAACCCGAAATCCTGCACCTCTTTTGTCCTGGCAGCCTCAAAGTACTGCCTCTTCGTCAACGGTGCCCTGGCGTTCGTCTTCGATGACATCTACTTTCGCCCTCAACACGGACGAATATAGCCGCAATGTACGCTTTCCCTTGGCTGCTTCAAGCATTACTTGATGTCGTGTCCAGAGTCCAAATGGGTCCGATAATACCATCACAACGCCGCATTCAACACCAGTCCGTCTGTATCCCAATACGCAAGCAGTATGTACATCTCTTTAATCTCTTCACACAAGGCTCACTGGAGAGTAGCCAGCGTTTTTCCCCCAAAATCCTCCAGTCTTCAAGGCTCTCTCTTCGCCAGTCAATACTTCCTCCAACTCCAAAGAGACAAAATGCAGTGTCTGGACTCCCCTCTGTTTTGAGACAAGCCATGCTATCGTTGCCCAATGGATAGAGGAGAATTCGCTGCCTTCAACGGCCAACGATCGCGCAGTCGGCACTGTTCTGGCTGGGCACCATGCCAAATCCACCGCCATTACTTTGATCCGCCTTTTGAAGCACCATTCACACTATCTTCCAGCCGAAGAAGTCTTTACTCCTCTTCCAGGGGTCTCCTGTCTCAAAACTGATTCCATTAGTTGGCTAATGGAAAAGGATCACGATATTCTTTTGTAGAGTGTTTCTTTTATACGGTGCCAGACCAAATCTCATCCTGATTTAGGGAAACCCCTCAGCACCGTTTCATGAACGTGCTCGCGGTGGAGGACCGCTTCTGGAGTTGTATTCAGCTGGATTAGAAGCAATCCTCGAAGACAACGGCTTCTGGGGCATGCGCGGTCAATACAAGGTTCCGGTTCTATGGCCAGATGCGCATCCCTCCCCCAAACATCAAGCTACTTTCTGGGCAGCCGGCCGTTTTACGGTTCTTTCGATCATTCATCGACATGGGATTGCACCTCTACCAATCAGCCCCTTTTTTCTCATCTTCGTTTTCTATGGCAAGGCTGGTTTATGCCTATCGCTGGACTTCATCCAGCATCTGGACCCTGAGATGGGCGGCAGACTTTCGCCATGGTTTTCCTTTGGATACCAAGATGCAATAGATCATAAAAGTGTCGCTTGTCATCCGGTTGGAGTTCTGTTCTCGGAAATATATCCCACTGTAAGTTATCTGTCATCAACCAACATGAAGCTCAAGTCTGACGTCAGCTGGAATTTTTGACGCATTCCCGCACGGTCGAAGAACATGGCCAGTTTGGCTTGACCCTCTTATTCCATGTTTTACTTGGGTTCACTCATGAGCACCACAATGAGATCGAAGCTTATTGTCAAGGTTTCCGTGGTGTCATCAAGGGGGCTATGAGTCAAGAATTGGACCCTATCAAGGTGCGTTTCATGCAATCCTATCCTCCTTTCTTTCTCGATCACGTTGAATATTGTCCAGAGCCTTTCAGGCCATCTCTCCCAAGCAGCTTGTTTTGTGGCCACGATCTACGAGAGGAGCATCAAGTCGTTAGAGCCGCTGCTCTCCTCCTTGCAGTTTGAGTTTCACGGAGACACTAATGACTGCATCGCCATGACCATGGCAAAACTCTTCCGACTTCGATTTGTCCGATGGCTACACGGTCATGGTCATCCTGATAGCTGCTCTGATATGTTTACGCAAGAGGAATTGGAACTCCATCGGCATGATCCTTTGCTTCGCGCTCGGAATATGGTGGAAAGTTTGGTTGGGACGCCCCAGCTGCCCTTCGATGTCCAGTTCAAGGCAAGATCTTGTACCCCTCAGCGAGCACAAACTCATACAGAAATACGACTAGATCATAATCACATTCAAGCCCCAAGAAACAATTCAGCCGATTATAAAGAAGTACCATTTTTCTTTCGAAGTCAATATTGACTCGTTCTTGTGCAATGCGCTTCAAGAACCTTGTACAATGGAGGATCCCGAAGATGGGACCTTGTTTGATCGGTGGCTCCATGCACAATTTATGGTTGACCGGACTTTGAATCGCTTGTAGCTGCTTGGTCAACTTTCCGATTCGAAATCGCCGCAGGGGAATGTTACGAGCGGGCTCGAGGCCAAGTGGTCGTCTTTATCATCATCTATCCTCTTCATTACAATCTGAACTGCACCGTGCTCCAAATCTGCCAGTGGGAACTCTAAGTCTCCTTGTCGCAGGAGTTGACGGATATTTTGCGTGGGATAATTTTGCGACGACATGTAAAGCGTCTTGCGTTGGAACATAACCTTCAGTTTGAGCCTGATAATACCCGCAAAAATCTCCCACACGGCGTCGAGTGTGGGAGGTTTTTGAGGCATCGCCGAGAAAACCCGAAAGCCGAGTGATTTCCGCAAGCTCCCCATAAGGAAGCAGCATCAGCTTACAAATGTTTCAATCTGAGTCGGATGAGGAAGAACATGTATGTTGAAACGGCTCTAGATGACAACCAGTAATAGTATGGCCAAGGGGGTTGGGAGTAGCCGCCCACCCCGAAAAATAATAATGTCTGTTACATAGAAAATCATTGCACTGGCATATTTGGCTCAAAAGTCTGCTCTCGGATCTGGCCGCTCTGCAACGAGAGATGAGATAAGCCTGCAAAAAAGGCAGCTTTGCTAGGTTTGTCCAGAAGATTGGACCATGATAAGTGATAAGTATAACGACCTTAGCTATGCCACCCATATTTAGCAGATTTTAAAAAAACCCAAATTTTGTACATACAAGGAAACTCTGTCATTGATAATGTCATTAACAAATGAAACGCAAGACGTCGAAAACACGAAGGAATGGATGTTTTTTTTCGAGTCTACTGAAGCAAGCTAGTATAAAAACTATTATATGTGGGTTTGCTCGACGCGCCTCAGTCCATGCCACTCAGTCAACCCGGGGGAAAGAGGGGGAATGCACAGGAGGCAACTGTGCGGAATAGCTTTCGTATCTTTCCCAGTGGAGTCCATGATAGTTCCAGGTCCACTGGCGACCGCAATTTGAATGAACGCTGTCCGAAACATGGCACAGAGCGTGGTTCTCGAAAATATGTTTCCCTTTGCCGTGAATGGAAACGGGCTCGAAAAGGGACCTGATCAAGCTCGCATGCGAGTCTGGGTATATGGGTGAAAGTAACAGCGGTACAACCAGGTGATGAACAGTCGGAAGGGCGAGTGCATGCGCAATGATATCAAGGAATCGTGTTTGAACAAGGACCTTCCGTCCCGGATCGAACTCAAGCGTGCCACTCGCATCGAGAAAATCTAGGATTCGGAGTTTGTTGCCCGTCAACCCAGACAAAAGCCTTGCTCGACCGCCGGTAAACTCGATATAAGCAGAAATAGCCCCGATTAGACGTAACGTAGTCACTTGAGAGATTCGAGTTGCGTTTATGGAAAGAAAGTCATTCGTATTAGACAGACTGGCGAGACGCAATGCGAGGGTCCGGATTTGTGGGACATGGAGGAGGGAGATCAGGGTACCGCAAGCGTGGGGATACGGTGTATCACAGCAAAAAGCCAAGTAGTTCAGACGGGGAAGAACAACTGGATGGTAGGAAGGAGACTGGGCAATGAAAGGCTCAGTGACATCGATAGCGAGGCTTTCAAGGCGGGGAAGTTGACGAAAACAGTCCAGTAAGGTGGGAGTAAAAGCGGAGGAAGCCACGCGGTTGGAAACGAGATTATAGTGTCTGAAGACCAATGTTTTAATGTTGAAGCCGGCCATAAACGAGCAAGGAGGTAGTCCGTCGAGATGGAGGTGCTCCAATGATTGAGCAAGACCCGGAAAGGGACGAGGGAGTGTTGTGGCAGAGTCGATCGAGGTATCGGCTGGGGTGGCGGAGAACTTTCTGAGTGAGGAAAAGGTTGGTCGAGGGTTCAGTGCCGATATGTAGCGGATAAATGCACCCCAGACGAAATAGGACCAATATTGGAGGGAGAGATAGGCAACCGATGACGCTTTGGCAACCAGCAGAGCGGCAATGTGAGACAAGAACGTGATGTCCCTCCCCGAGTCGAGGTCGAGTTCGATGCTCAAATGTTTCGGAGTTGCTTTAGCAAGCCAAAAGACCTTGTCGATGTAATACAGAGGCATTCTCGGGACCAGAATGATGTGTGACCACAAGGCGGGAATAGACTCCAAGGCGAGTTTCCAACATCTGCACACCGCCCCAAGAGCCATTTTTTGCCGAACGTCGTTCTGCCATGTGATGGAAATATCGAAGGCGAGGCAGGCTTCGAAGATGACCCCAAGGATGTCGACCATTGCCAAAGCTTCATTCATTGCGGGTGTGGGAGGTGAAGTGACGCTGGGCGTCATGTTTGAAGTGGGCGATTCAGTTGGGACGATAAGTTCTATAACGTAGGCGCTCGGTCTGCCTGTTTATATGGACTATAGCGAGTTCCGCGCTTCGAAAACTTCCGCTCTTCGAAGAGTTCCGCTGTCTGGAGAGTTCCGATAGCATGATCATGCAATTTGCCATAGAGGCCCGAAGACGCGTCGGATAGTCGGTAAATCAGTGAGCAAAGTACGAGGGACAGTCTATGTGAAGTCAGATGTTGTTGTCGTTCATTGACTTAGCACTCACCCGGCCCAAACGATCATCCAACTTGCCAAAGGGCAAAGGCGTTCAACCTGTTTTGTTTGCGGACAATATTTTGGGAAGCAGCTTGGAGTAGATATAACAGCTGGGGCAAGGTGGTAGGTTTTCATGGAAGGGGGTGAAGCAAAGTGTAAAAGACGGGCGAGGCGAGTTCGAGTACGAGCATCGACGGTGGCGTTAAGTCAAGACAGGAGGAGATTTTCGACAGACTGCGGATAGCATCTGGAGTAGATAGTGGTGTAGTGGTCGCAAGGCAAGTTGAGACAACAAATTATGTTTAATTTAAGTTGAAGGGGACGCGGGACCCGCTCGGCTTCCTCAAGGCAAAAGAAAAACACTTTTGAGGTTTTGCTTTACCCTGCTACGGTCCTATTCGTTGCGATTCAAAGTGAATTTCTGGACCTCTAGCCATGGCTTTGGTTCGTGATTGCAAGCACCTGTGTTCTTTCGCCGAGACACCATCATCTGGCCTAGTTGCGGTCAATGGCCAAAAGGTGTCAAATCCGTCCATCCTGCTCGAAAGTGAACATGGAAACCCACTGTTCAACATTGAGCGGATGTCGATGTGGTCGGAAGGCGGCCCGTCACATATCGTGACATCACAATTCCAAGGCTTCGTGCAAACGCCCAAGGTCCAGAGCGCGACCCTCCAGCGGTTGTCGTTGGACGAACCAAGAGCGAACCCACGTTTGGTTCGTCACGGTTGCGCAGCAAGGCTTCGTCCTTTAATCCTGACGCTAAATTCTCCCACAAGTAAGAGTTGTCCTTGTTGAATATCCGCCGTCGCTAATTCTGGCGTAGACGTTCTCGCAACACCTCAGTCTACTGCTACATCGTCTACTGATATCTAGGCCAGCATCTCTCCCAATGCGACGAACGGCGGGTTTCCCTGTTCACCCCCACCAAGGACAATACTTCGTGCGTGCTTAATTCTCCACTTTTCAATATCTAATGCGCGCTCTCAAATCCAGCGGGCCTCGCGTTGAACAAACATTCAATGTGCTCCGAACTAATGGAGTTCATTACGACTGCTCGCAACACATTAGTCTCCTGCTATCTTGGCTACCAACCCGCCTAACGTCGCGAGCGGCGGGCTTCCCTGCTCACGTCCACGACTGTGCCCTCAGACTCTCCTCGTTGATTTATCGACCGGACGACGTGTTCTCGGGCAAAGCCATCACTCCACGGCAATATTATCAGCATGCCGTCAAGGTATCGGAAATCTTCGAAGAGCGGAAGTTTTCGAAGAGCAGAAATCGCTATGGTCTATATAACCAGGCAGACAAAGACAGTGCCTACGTTATAAAACTCGTCGTCCTAACCGAATCGCCCATATCAAACATGGCGCCTTGCGTCATTTCACCTCCCACACCCGCAACGAATAAAGCTTTGTCAACGTTCGACATCCTTGGGGTCATCTTCGAAGCCTGCCTTACCTTGAACTTCCCCCTCAACTGGCGGAAGGAGATTCGGAAACAGATGACTCTTGGTGCAGTGTGCATGTGCTGGAAATCCGCCTTGGAGTCGATTGCCGGCCTGTGGTCGCGCATTATTCTGGTCCCGCAAATGCCTCAGTATTACATCGACAAAATTTTTCGGCTTGCCAAGGCAACTCCGAAGCGTTTGCGTATCCACCTCAACTCGGAATTGAGCTCTAGGTTCTCGTCTTCCATTGCTGCTCTCTTGGTTGCCACAGCGGAGACGGTCACCCATCTCCGCGTACAGTATTTATCCTACTCCGATTGGGACACATTTGTTGACCACATTTCGGAAGTCAACCCCAACCCAAGCTTCACCTCACTCCAGTGCTTTTCCGCGACCAGTCCGATCTCTTCCTGGAATGGACTTGACGCCGATCTCCCTCGCTTGTTTCTCGGCCATGCGGTAGACCTGCAGCATCTCCATCTCGACGGGCTACCTTTGTCCTCATTTGTAATTGGCTCCAACCTCATTTCATTGGCTATCACAGATTTGGATTTTGTTTATGACGATTCGATCACCGCCTTCGCAACCCACTTGCTAGACTCTCTTCGTCACACACTCCGTCTCGAAACTCTCCTGATTGATATCCAGGAGTCATCCCTTTCTGGGTTCATTCCCCATCCCCCAGTTGTTCTTCCCTGCCTCCACACATTATCATTTCGTTGCACCCTGCCATCTCCGCATCTTTGTGGCATACTGATCTCGGCGATTCACCTCCCGAAACTGCATACCCTTTCGTTGGGTTTGGCCAGCATAGCCAACTCTCTCAACTTCATCTCAACCAATGAAAGTCACCTCTCCGCCGTCACTGTTCTACGTCTAGTCGGGCATATCTCTGCTTACATCGATTTCATCGGTGGGCGAGCAAAGCTTTTGTCTTCGTTGACAGGGGGCAAGCTCCAACATTTAGATTTCGTTGCTACTAGGGGGTTAACGACTTTCGATGCTGAACACAACATCTTGATTCGGACGCAGTTTCTTGAAATCCTTGCGCATGCACTTACCCTTTCGACTGTTCGTCTGGTGATTATACAACCATTATTTTCGCCCTTGCATCAATATATGATTCAGTCTTTGTTGGAGCCCGTTTCAATGCAGGGCGGGGCGAAACATATTTTCGAAGAGCATGCTTTGTGTCATCCTCTGGGTGGTGGACATTCAACCTGTGGTCGCCTGTGGTCCTGGGACTATGAAGGACTTCAGCAGGCACCCAGAGCGAGTCATTCTAAAATCGGCCTTGATCCAATTCTTTTCAACTGTATTTAGTTATCTTTCCAACAACACGATTCATTTCTGTTCGCTTGTGTTTTTTACCCATGCGCGGGGTTTCAAACACTTTTCTTCTACTTCCTTGGTTGCAACTCCATCTCAACCAGTCTAGTTCCACACTGCGATAATTTATCCTTCCCCGGTACTGGGTTATTTCTATGGCGTAGCACTGATCGAACTCGCTCGCCAGGGTTCCAGGAGATCATTCCGTGCCCTCAAATAATGCAGGTTGCGCTTCTTCCGGCGGGAACCTCGGCGCACGAGTTATGTCAGTCAAATCCGAATTTTTGCGCGCCTTGTACAACTCAAGGACAAGGCGCCGGCCGCATCCACCAGTAACAAATGACCCTTTGTATTTGATAGGATATAGTAGCGACATTCTTGCTTATTGAGGCTTCCAACGGCTTCATTACAATAAAGACTCTGAGACGTGGAAGCAAAGACGAAGTAGGCAACTGCGCGGCTGCTTTATGAGACTGAGTCATTATTGAGAGTTGTGAAGTTTTATCATGTCCGCTGTCACCCGAAAAAGGAAGACGGTGATCGCCGGCGATCGGCCACGGAGGTCCGGGGATCACAATAGTGACACTCATGCGCCAAATTCACAAGTCATTATAGATTCTCCTAAGACAAGTTTGTTTTATAGATCTAGCTGAGTTTTGTGACCCGGTGACCGTGACATCACTCTTCTCTTTCTCAAGCTCTTTTCATGAACTCGAAATTATCAGAACTAGGATTGGATTCCATCTCTAATCATATCGAACGCACCCAAGATCTCCATGCAAGCCTTGCCGACTCGGGGTTTTGCGTCGAATCGCAATTCTCCCGAGATAGGAATAGAACCAGAAGATCTCGCCCGGGGGCCGCGCGGAGGATTCCAGTCAGGGTGTCTGTCTATTACGGTTTTTGAAGCCTCAGGTTCGCAAATTCAGGGTCCACAAAGAAATCACTCCAACTGGGATAAATACTCGTGTCGTGGAACAAACTCTCGCTTGAGCGGCATCGTGCGGCTGTGCAACACATTTATCAGGCGGGCCGCAAACTTTCATTCTCTCACAACTCCATACAACACGCTCATTGCTTGGGCTATCAATACCAATGTCGGCTCCTGCGTTTCTGGTCCCACAACTTCCGCCGTTGGATTCGACCTACGGCGCATGGCTTGTGTCCCTCTTCGTCGAGACCATTCTCTACGGGATGGGCGTCCTGCAAACATGGATCTACTTTGCTAGTGTTGGTTGGCCACAAGATTCGTTGTCTATCAGACTCATGGTAAGGCGGCCACCTCTGATTAAGCATCAGCTTATCGACGCTATAGGTCTGCATCGTTGTGTATGCTCATGCTCCAGGCTCCATTACTCAGCATTCACCAGATGATAGTGTTCTCGAAACTCTTCAAGTCACCTTTTTCTTTCGGTCAAGCTATCTCCGATTTGTTCAAAACTTTGGTGTTCTGACCGCTGAGATTGACTGGTGCGCACAACATGCACTTCTGTGTCGCATCACTCAGTAGTAGATGAAGGGTGGATTCCGCTCAACTTCTTTCATCGGTGAGTAATGGCCTTCCCAAATTGATCTTAATATTGATTCCATGTAGTACCTTGGCGCTTTCGCTGTCCGGCTCTTCTTCGCAAGCCGGGTTTACAAGTGTTCATACTCCTCTCCCTTCCTTGACGCTCGGAGTTCTGACTGGTAACCAGTGACCCAAAAATCGCCGAGTCCGTTTGCCAAGATCGGAATGTATGGGATCGTATGTCGTGTCCTTGTAATCTCTGGACAAATATTAACTGCATAAAATTACAGTTCGTTTTCGCATTTCTGTCTGTTGGTAATGTGCACTTGTATCTATTGAAGATAACATTGACCATGCCAACAGTCGCTGGAAGCGCTCAAACTGCATGGACCAGCATCATCGGATCCTTCCTCAAGTTGAATGACACCAAGGCCAGTCTCATTCACCGCTCGCCCTTTGTGCCTCGCTTAGATTGTCAATATACTAGGCTGTCACCACCGTCCAAGCTGCCACTTCGCTAACCTGCGATTTGCTTATCACGCTCTTCCTCTGCATATTCCTGACCAGACAGAAGGGTGACATCAAGAAGTGAGTGACTACCTTTTGCGTTGGTCTTCAACTATTGGGGGCCCAATCTTGACCTCAGCGCCGGCGCACGATCGCTCAACTTGACAATAGGACGAATATTATGATGGAAAGGCTTATCTACGAGGCGATTAATCGTGGCACCTTGACTGTGTTGGCATCTGGAATCAATCTTATCCTGGTAGGCCGCCCCCATTTTCTGATTCTGTTGAGTCGCCACACTCAACTTTCTTCTCAGTTTCTCGCACTTCCTGATACGTTCTGGTTCTTTCTTGGTCTTGCACCCAGTTCCAAATGTCAGTTTTCCTCTCAAAAATTTGGACATTTTGTGCTCATAACTCACCAGTGTACATGAACAGTCTACTTGCAACGTGGGTTCATCTACCTGATTTGTTATATTTCAATGTTGCAACAACTACATAACAGGCTCAACAACCGACAACGCATCCGGGATCAAGTCGCTTCTCGTCTCGACAAGGGTTGGAACCCGATTCCAATGGGTTCCATGGGGCATACTATTGGTGGACGATCAATGAGACCCCTCAAGTTCAAGGCACATGGCAACGACACAAAGAGCAATTTCGACGGCGATATCTCGATTGTGGGTATCTCTTTTCTCCAAATTACTCGGTCTCAGTACATCCTCCAGATCGACGGAATGAGAAACAAAAGTATCGAAGTCATCTGTGAAAATGAGGCGATGGGTGTCCAGGTCGTGGTCCAGCGGCAAGCCCCGGTTTGAATTCCCAAACTACTAGTAACCATGCTTTCCCGAGCTTGTTTTTTGTCAGTGCGCGCATTCATTGGTACTTTCTTTACTATTCCTATATAGCTTCCACAGTTGCTCATCCTTGTTGAATGTTGTTTATGTTTCAAGTGCTATTTCCGAACAAGCATCTTTTAAAAAGGTTGTGATATCGCAGAAAAACTGCCAAGTGCCAACCGTGACGTTGCCATCACGTATATTCCTTTTTCGGTCAGTCTAACGACAATCATTTCGCCCCTTAGTCCTTCGCGCTTGCACATTCTCTGTCAAAGAACTACGTGCCCATAAGGGTACTATATGCCCAGCCAAACAGGACCAACAACATGCAGCAAACGTACAAAGCGTAACCGAAGCTGGAGAGGGTTACTGCCATCCATGGAAGTTGACAATCCAGTGGTAAACGATGTGAGCGTTTTTCTTTTGGCCATAACGACAAGTATTAACTTCATTTCAGGCTCCTATGGACGAACCTCCTCCCCGTGAACCATCACCACCAGCACCACCTGAAATCAGTCGCTCTGGTTGCGTTTAGAGAAGCGCCAAAAGTCTACAACTTCCAGCCCGTTATGTCGATGAAGCCCCAGCTCCTCCTCCAGCTGCTGAGATTCGTTTCCCGATGGAATTTGAACCAGAGCCACAACCGTCTTCGAAGTGGTACAAGACGGAGCCGAACATTCATGGAGTCTACAAGGTCTACCCCAACCAGCCTACACATGACCCCGACTCTCGTGCAACTCTCGACAGCCTCTGCCAATCTTCCAACCTCGAAAACAATACTGCAGCACCAGCAATCCATCCTGTGGCTTACCAAACGAACCACATCTCGAGACGGTAATCGCAGCTTTCATGGTCTGGTCCGCGCGACACATCTGGCCAAGTTTGGAAACGCGTCGCTTTGGCCACTTTGGGTCTCTTTCGGCAACCACTCAAAGTACCTACAAGCAAAACCAACTGTGAGAGCGGGATATCATGTAGCATATCCGTCGGTAACTTCCAATCTACTATCTTAACCATGAGCTCAACGCTATTTTCTAGGTTCTCAGCGGCGAATGAAGGAGGAGGAGGAAGAGTTGGCTCGAGAGCGCGACAGGAAACACCGTCTTTTGCCCAAAGCTGAAGATGACCCGCTTGCGCCTGTCCCGCCACGAGCTCATCACCAAATTAGCGAGTCAGAACTTACTGGACCATCGGCCAGTTCAAGTGACTGCCTGACGACCCTGCCTACAAGGTGATTCTCTTCTGAATTTGAGCACGTTCACTCGCTCACCAGCTGTAGGATTTTGTTCCCAAGCTCAAAACCCACCTTCGACATCGATTGCTCGGAAATCATGACCTCCAGGATGGTTCATTCAATCATACACCGCTTCAGAGCTGCAAGACGTTATAATTGTCAAGGATCATGCTCGCTTGCATGTTAACTATACGAGGTACGACATGAGTCGTGACCAAGACACCCATTAACCCCCGCACGCATTTTGACATCATGGTGCTTTTCCGCAACGAATCCCATCCGTACAAAAGTAGGGCTCTATCCCCTTTTCCACGTTTGGGTCTATCTTCGAGGAGAAGCGCCTCAGCGGAAGGAGGTTCTTTGGATTCGTCGGTATGTTAGGGTAGCCTAGAAATGAGACTCATCAGTCCCGTGATATGCACCATCAATAGCCCGTTCCAGACTCCGAACCCTCGGCCCGATAGTCATTCCGATTCATTACTGCAAGTATTTTTCTCTGCCGACGCCCCAATTGCTTCTGGCCGAGGTTCCCGAGCGACTGCGGCAGTTCGGCTTGAGCCTTGAGCCTATGCCATTAAAGCTGTCTATAGGAGCACTGTACAACCGGATGGCTACATAATGCTGAATACAGTTTATGCATGATCTCAGAAAGGGCAAGACCATATTATTAAGAGCTGGTTAACAATGACAACTTAACATGGTCCTTCAATGGCCTTCATCTTATGTGGCAGGCACCCAGAGAACAAACCAGGGTTCTGTTTGCTCCGCCGCGCGTCGGCCTGTTTTCATTCCGGATTAGGAACGAGGCGAGTTCGGCTCGCCTCGGCCAGGAGTCGACTCGAACTCGCGGACACACTAATCTTTTCCGAGCTCGGTGGCAAGAATCACCCGTGCCTTACGAAGAGGCTCATCGGGGGTCTCTGCTTGCATAGGGTCAGGGTTGACAAACTGCCTGCATAGACCAGAGGATTGAGTTCCTGTTCGACAAGGAAGCTGACGTTGGAAGAAGAGAGGAAATTTTGAACGATTTCGGGAGCCGCAATTCCAAAACCCTGTCGCGCAATGAGCAACCGATACCAGAAAATAGTAGTAGGTAGGAAAAGCATACATCACGAGTAAGTTTTGAGATGACGCTCTTCTTGGCAACTTCATAAGCGGAAATTCGACTGGGCATCTTGTGTTTCGGGACATCTGCCTGTTCTTCTTCGTTGTCGTCGTGGAAGCGGAATGGGATGTCGTCGTCTCTTTTGTCCTTGTACTTCATCAGAAGCCACTCCTATGTATCTGCCACCACCTCGGCGCTTTCCATGCAAGGCAAGATGTCTTGTTCATAGTAGGTGTCTGTTACTTTGAGCCGGGCGTAAGCCTCCTCCATTGCTCGACGACGATCACGGAGAGAACAATACTTTTGGCCAAGAGCATAGATGGGCCAGAGCTCCTTCAAATCCAAAAGCTCCCTGGGAGAAGAAGCAGAACTAAGTAGGAGGAGGTGGTCGCGCCTGTGATGCCAAATGAAGGGTACTTCAACAGACTCGATGAACAGTTGTCGCAAAGTATACGTCACAGCTTCAACGAGTTGCAGGCTGAAAGGGTTGAATTCGCCATTGGGAGTAAAATAGTCCAAGGCTTTCTTCTTGGGGATGCGCGGAGTCACCCAGATGGCAGCATCGTCAAGTTCGTCGGAAGAGAGATGGAGTGTCGGTGCTATGACTGGAGTTTTGGAAAGCGTAGAAGACGCGAGTTGGAGCATCCTTCACGCGAATAAGATCGTCATCTTCTGTTAGGAAGAGAATCTGTATTGCCGAGGGTTCGAAGACCTGAACGAAAGTTAATGGATAATTGTGGGGAACGCAAGTTTGCGCACATCCGTAAACTTGGCTTCAGCTTTGCCGTATTCGCCTTCGTTACCGTCGTCATCCTCCATAGCATAGTCGTAGTCATGAGAGATCGTATATCTCTTGCCATGAACTATATCCATAAGGAAATGTACAGGAACCTGTGTAAGTGGAATGAACAAACCTTGCATCTATGCTTGTGAGTTCTGGACTAGCACGAACCATCTTTCTCATAAGCTCGTCTGAATCTGGGGCCTCTGCAGCACAGTCTCCAATTGAGGTGGCCTTTCCAATACCAGCCTTTGCCGCAGAGCGGGTCCAACGAGCGAGTTAAGTTGCAGGGCTTGTTTTTTTTTCTGCGCCGGTCGCGTTCCTGGTCATTCAAGTTCGATGCGTCTGCCAGCCTGAATGCCAGTGGGTCGTCTGAATATTCAATGAAGTCGCCGGTATCTTGCCCAGGGTCCTCTTTGTCTGGGCTCGTCGTGATCGAGGTCGTGGTATGTAGGAAGGACACAGTTAGTGTGACTCCGGCGGATGATCCGCCGAGTTCGCCGAGTCCTCATCATCATCATGTCATCATGATCTGCGGCTGCGGGCCGAGGCGGAGACACACCACACTGTGACGTTGCAGCCTGAGCTCACTTGAGTCGTTACTTCCGTTACCTCTGGCAACTACTATGCCCGCGAAGCGAAAACACTCGCAAATCGAAATCGAAGAGGGGGAACTGAGTCAAGACAATGATCAGCGCGACTTGCCGATTATTATGGCCCCGAAACGAAAGCGAATCGAGTGCGAAGGAGGTCAAGAAGACCATAAGTGCGCGATTCCAACAACGGCACCAACCCAAGAATACAACCAAGTGGGCATTCAAGTTGAAAATGATGACCAGGGCTTATTATGATTATCAACAGTCCGTGCCCCTCGAACTTACTGAACTTGGTCAAGACAGCCACAGCCGCCCACTGGCATCGCCGCTAAAGTATGTCCATGACCTGTTCCCTCATTGAGAAGCTCAGGGGCTTCTTCCAGCGACAACGATGAGGGAGCTATCACCAACCATGACTCGGATGAGGAGGAACTTGAAGAAAAAGGTCAACAACAGTTGGCAAAGCCGTTAGAAATGAGAGACCGCGCTCGTATGACCATCCCTGCCCATGCCCGGGTCCCACGAGTTCCTCCCGGCTGGACGAACGACTGGATGAAAGTTGAGGAAGATGACAACAGCGATGGAGAGAATAGTGGGGAAGAGAGTGAAGACGACGAGAGCAGTGGCGAGGATGGAAACAACGAGAGTAGTGGCGAGGAGGATAAAGATGACGAAACTTGAATGAAATGCACGATTCTTTGCCCCTTCGCAACATGATGAGCTTGTATCTCGTGTACACCTACTATGACCAACTTGAAAGACTCAGATGCTTCATCGCATACAGTGGACTGAAAAATATAAATGGCATTGGCGCGAACAAAGAACGAAACATGCAGAATTGTGGCGACGACGACGACAGTGAATTGTTCAGATCAAACATCATCTGCAAAACGGGAGTCGAGGAGCTGAAGTTTCTGTTGCGAAATTTTGGAGGAGCGTATTCTCCTAGAAAGATGCATAAGATACCGGTCAATTCATGGCGAAGACACTACTTTACCCGTCAATTTCGGACAAGCCTTGAGTGGAGCTTCCCGGGGCCTGTCAACGATACCGGCGGAACTCGATGCAGAAAGTTGTCGTCCTCTAACCATATCCGGCACATTTCCCTGTGGTCTTCCAGGATGTATGCTTGTGTGAATGGTTGTTTCGTCTCAGGATGGAGGGGTATTGGGTCCACATCTGGATTGAATGCCGCCTTTTCTTGATCCATGTAAGCAGTCAATGTGGTGGGGTTGATCGCATTAAAGGGCAGGGCGGGAGCATAAGTTCTGTGCATGATATGTGTAGCTTCATCCTCAAACAAGGCCAAAAGGCTTGCTTTGTAGTAAGATCTGATGGGGGGGATTAGTATTGGAATCTAAGCATAAAGAGCAGGACAAACCAGTCCCTGGAGCGTGAATTTTACTCACTCCCAAACAGCTAGTAATAAAACCCTCCAAGGTTGTACCCATGGTCGGGTTGTGGGTGGTGAAGTTGACTCTGGGGGGCATTAGAAGGAACGAGAAGGAAAATGGAAGGACAAACGCACGAGAGCAGTTCAGTGGACAACGTGTTGAGCTGAGAACGGCGCTTTACGGCTGCCTATGATTGCCTCTGAATCTGCAAGCCTTTCTCCGTGTCCATCCCCAAATCTGCAAGAAAACCTTAGAATTCGCCAATCACCCACCAGATTGAGATTTGACTCAGCCCCAAGCACGAAGTGGGCGGGAGATGAGTATGGTAGGCGAGATCGATTTGGTTCGTTTTCAATTTTGTTTTCACCAATTGATTGGGTTTGTGTTCAAACCTCAGAGCGGCCACTTATTTAATATTATTTCTCTCAAGTCTTATATGTTAGGAAGTACTGCATATAGGTTGAGGTGCAAGGTAAATACATGCTAAGTGAGCCACATATCTGGGCCTATGGTGCACTGCATCTAGGCACTACCAAAAAAACTGACAACTGTTATGGGGCTAGAGTTTTTTTCTAAATATTTAGATATCTAGCCAAAAGAGAGCTTTTAGGATGTACAAGAGAGCAATTAAGAAAATATTGAAAATTGAGGGAGAAATAGAATTTTGAGCTCTAAGTCTGGTCACTGCTTATGTATTATATATATATATATTTAAAAAAAGATTGGGAAAATTAGAAAAAATCAGAAAAAATTCAGGATCATATTTCATACCTGTGTGGGCTGCAAGACTAGTGTTCATCACAGGCCACCCACAGGTAAATCCCTGTCAGGAGAACCCCCCACTTTGGCCTCCTTCGGACTGTCCGAGGGCATCTGAGGTGCATCCTACCGCTGCCCCCTCGGATACTCCAACCTACCCCGACCCTTGTCCTTGGCCTCTTTCACCCGCATAATCACCAATCCCTCAAGACCCTCCCAAAGATCACCTTGGGACAAAGCCTGCGACGTTGGCAGTTACGGACCACCAGTATAGTTGGCACCCTAGCAGGCGGACTCTTAGAGTTTCTTCTCTTTGGATCCTCCCCTGCTAGGTTGGTCCCTCCGTGTATCTCCGTAGCTTTTATTTACTCTTTGGATCCTCCTCTGCTAGGCTTTTGTTGGAGTCTCCAGGGTTGCCCTTACAGCAGGCTCATGCCAGATGTCAGTGGAGACGCACATGTCCTGTTATGGACATGTGTCTGCAGTCTGCACCTGCATCTGACGCGATGATCTCTGTCAATCCCCTTGATGACCCAGTGGCACTGCAGGTCTTTACTTACTATTGCAGTAGACTCGGATATGGTGTAGAAGAGGTCAAAATTGATATGCATCTACTTACTCCAAACTGTTACTAGATATACATTGTACAAAAGCAATCCCACAGCTTCCTGACTATATATATAGCACCTGTCACGGATAAGACCCGGCCCGTCCTCTCCGGCCCTGGTGTCGGGCCATCGCGGGCCCTTAGCACGCAGCACGTGATGACGGGGAACATGCGCCCCAGTAGGAGGAACGCACATGGGAAGCACGTGACCGAGAACGATGTGTCAAGCCGTCGCCGAGCCCAACTCGACACCAGGGGACTGGGGAGGAGTGCTAGGAGGTTAGGAGTAGCACCTGGCCCGCAAGGGATGTACGATCGTCCCCTCTGCGGCCAGGAACGGGAGCGAGGAGGAGGAGGGGAGGCCAGGGTGTCCGATCACCCCCTTTGCGGGCCCGCATATATAAGGCGCGATAGTGTACCCTGTACCCTATCGCTTAGATTGTCTAAAGAACTACCTTACTCCGTGCAAGGAGACGTTATGGACTCATCGGGCCCAACACGACCCGATTTGAACCTTCGACCACCGACCAAGGCAAGGGGACCACGACGGCAAGGGACCGAGTTCACGGGCCCTTTTGGTTTCGATCTACCCCGCCCGCTGTACTTGTGGGCCCGACTATCCGTCTGTTCTGTTCCGGGCGCGCCGTTCTTTAGGAGAGGTCCTTGCACGGCCCGACCCGCAGTCTGACAGCACCTATAATTCTATTGTACAACTCAATACTATATATGTGTGCTCTGATTCTGTAGCACAAACACTTGACTTGGAAACAGTCCCTGCTGCCTCAGGATTCAGCAGACTGCTGAACCCTGTGAGTCACCTGCACATATGTAGCCAGCAACTATACATGTAGCGCACAGTGGACACTAAGATTGGTGGTGCAGCAATGAAGTGGCTGGTGAACTAGGATGTGTTGTGGAACATTTGTGGGCTGGAGAGGCAAGGGGGCTTGGACTCGGAGGCCAGCACTCGCGTCCATGGACTCAGAAGGTCAAGCATCATGCACAGTGGGCTGGGGATGTGGTATGGCGCCAGACAGGGCGGGGCTTCCTTTGGGCAGCTGACACAATGTCAGTATCACGTTGGTGTATATTTCCAACCCTATCTGACGGAAATTGATGGGCCATCAGGCCCAGACGCCAACTTGAAAAATGATTGGCTGCAATGTTAAGATCTCTGCCTATGTCGCACCAGAAACAATGTTGCCAGGTGGGTGCTAAAGCTTGCTCCTGGTGTTAAAGCACACTTTGACTTCATGCGCAGCCTTAAGGAGTCTGGGAAGTTTACTGACTACTATCAACAGGGCTATTAACAGGGCTGAGATTCTTACAGACCCTGCGAGACCAGAGCTCGCATAGTGGCGTGGCCGAATGGCGTGCGCCCGCCCAAACGCCCGGCGTGCACGCCATTGATGGCTGTGGCGTGGCGTGGGATGGCGTTGGACACTGGCGGAGGATTCTCCCCATCGTCGGTCGACATGGATTGAATTGCACCATGCATTCCACTGGCTGTGAGCACTTCCCACAGAGTGGCTTACTACGATTTCGGGCTTGTCCACCGGTGCACTTCGGCCCCTCCGGCATCCACCGACGAGGGCCGCGAGGCCACTATATGCTTCCCCGTACGCACTCAGAAGGCAGAGGGCGTCTCAGAAGCCATTGTGGGACACCTTGTGTCACAGACAGGCGTCGAGGTAGCACTACCCAAGAGCGGCCAGCCCACTTGGACTCGGGCGCGGCCACCAGTACCGCCGGTCGGGGCCCGCGGAGCTCCTCCGGAGTTCATTTGGCGGTGCTCTGTCGCTCCAGCGCGCACCTCATCGAACCCGTGACAGCCCTCCACCTCTGAGTGGCGCCCGGCCGGCCGGCCGCATTGGAGCCTGTCGACCGGACTCCGCAAGGTGGCTAGGTGGCAAGTATAAGCAGTAACCCGGCGACCGCGTTCGATTGCCGTCGAACTTCTGCTTGCGTTATTCACCCGCGCCGCTGTCTTCGACGGATGGCCAGCCCCGGGGGGCCCGCGACACCGCTGTTGGCTCTTGCGCAAGTAGCTACACCGGGGACCCGCATACACAACTTGAAGACTCGGATCAAAGTCCGACGTGAACGCTGGTCGTTGCTAGGCGTTGCTGGGACTTACTAGGCCCTTACTGGAAGCTTTCAAGGCGGCACTGAGGCTCGTGAGGGTCGGCGACACTCAGCATCTGTGGCGGCCTACGCCAAAATGTCTGGCGTGCCAAGCCGACAGAATGGCGTTGACGCCTGATGGGCTGGCGTTGGCTTTGATCGCCAGCCAAACGCCACTCCCACGCCACGCCACGCCACTTGGCGCTGGCGCACGCCATTTGGGCACGCCAAAACGTTAGCTCTCCTGCGAGACTACTGCTATGGCCCCCCACAACTACCGGAACAATATTTATTGTCCCCAACAGCTAGACTATGAGTGGCAACACCAGTTTTTTTTTCAAGAGGACCACCCCGGACATCGTGGACAGCAAGAACCACTCCTTTGCCTCATATGCAGCAGGTAGCACAGATATCCGAGTCTGGAGCACCCCTCCAATGTCAATGGAGACCAGAGGGACTGTCCCTTTGTTGCAGAGCTCCGAGAAGGCTGACTCTGGACAGTGTCCACCTCATATGGCTTTCGGTGAGCCCCGACACATTTGCATTGGGTTCAACCTTTCCCGCAGCCACCAGTGCGAGTACAGACACAAGGGGACACTTGACATCTGCTCTTGTTGTGGTAGTTCTGAACATGGTTGCTGGGACTACTAAGGGACCTAGGCTTTCACCCACACATTCATTACCCGAGCTTATCACCATTCTTCTGCCCCAACTTATCTGGTGATGAGTGCGGTGCACTCCCTGTTAGTTGGGCAGATATTTTCAAGACCCTTCTCACTGCTTTTCTTGTCTTCAGTGTCCACCTGGTAGTTTATCCCATCAATGCAAGTTTGCCCAACTGGGTGCAGGCCTTGTTTTATACTGACCTATTTCATTCAATTAGGCGGGTCACGGTCACATCGGATTTTTTTGGCCAAAATATTTTGGCAGGTCACAGGTCACAGCCAAATCTTTTGGTCCCAAACTGTCCTAATCGGGAAGATTTTCAAATTTTCAGTGCCTGCGGCGAGCCAAACTTCCTAATCGGGTAATAGGTCACACAAGATTTGGCCTGAGGCCAAATTGGACATTTCGGCCAAACGGTCAAGGGTCACAGGCCCCTGAATTGATCGAAATGGGTCAGTACTATGATGGTGGCTATATTTGGCATCCTTTGGTGTTTGGTCTAGTTCTTTAGTGCTCTCTTTGATGTGTACCACTCCTTGTGCTGGAGCTACCCCCAATATTCATGACCACCCCTGTCAATATCTCTTTCAGGTTTGCCTGTATCTGTGTCACAGGGTCTCTGAGAGCTACAGATGGCTATGTTCTGACAGCCTTATTGCTAGCTATATAGGCATTACAGAGCAGTAAGCTGATAGGCAAGTTGCTGCATGGTATGGGGCCAGCCTGCAGACTTTGCCTTGAAGCTTCCAGCAAACATTTGCTATGCTTATAAGTAACTGGTGTAGCTACTCCCATTGCTGCTGCAACTTGTAGGGCTGTTCTTGTCAGACTGCAGGTCAGGCGGTGCAAGGACTTCTCCTACTATAACGCGTGCCTGGAACAGAACAGACAAATTGTTGGGCTCACGAGTACAGCGAGCTGTCAACGTCGGGCTCGGGCCGTATCGGGGCGTCGGGGGTCCAACTTCGAGAGGGTCTGAGGAGCACAAAAGATGGGTGTTCGCCCGGAGAATAGACGATATTAGCCTAGCGACTACATCTTGTAAGTACAGTTTTTATACACCATGGTATTAGGGATGGATCGGATGGGCGCCAGGTCCCAGGGCGGATCGGATGGGCGCTGCGTAGGGCCGCAGGGGGTGAAGGGAAGGGGCTGGAAGAATGAGGGAGCGTCGAGGAGTATGGCGGTATGCGGGCCCGTGCAGCCTCGTGGCCCGGCGGCCCAACCCGAACCGTGACATGAGCAGGATAGATCAATACCAAAAGGGCCCGTTAACTCAGTCCCTTATCACTGTTGGTGGTCTAAGGTTTGAATAGGGTTGTATTGGGCCCCGATGAGTTGTTGGCACCTTCTTGCATGGAGAAAGGTAGTTCTTTAGACAATCTAAGCAATAGAGTACATGGTACGCTATCAGGCATTATATGCGGGCCTGCAAAGGGGTGATTGGACACCCTGGCCTCTCCTGCTCCTCCTCACTCCTGTTTCTGGTGGCAGAGGGGATGATATTACATCCCTTGCAGGCCAGGCGCTACTCCTAACCTCCTAGCACTCCTCCCCAGTCCCCTGGTGTTGAGTTGGGCTTGGCAAAGGCTCGATACGTCTTTCTAGGTCACGTGCTTCCCATGTGTGCGTTCCTCCTACTGGGGTGCATGTTCCCTGTCATCATGTGCTGCCTGTTATGGGCCTGCGGTGGCCTAACACCAGTGCCGGAGAGGATGGGCCGGGTCTTATCCATGACAGTTCTCAACTGTATATGAGACAAGATTCTTGGTCATGTGCTTCCTATATGCCAGTAGTTATTCCATCCCTTCTGAGGTGCATATTCCTGTCATTTTGTGCTACATGTGAGGACCTGCTGGTGTTGAGAATGGAAGTGAGGAAGGGGTGCAGAGGAGCAGAGGGGATAGAAGAAGAGTATATTAGAGAGATTGTGCACAGCCATCTGATGGCTAAACCTATTTTTTCCTAACACTTCCAGGGGACCTCTAGACCTGATATTGGAGGTGGGTGTAGGGAATATGAATATAACTCTACCTGCAAAATTCTAGCCAGAACCATTCACATAATACTGAAAAATTGTGGTGGAAAGTTGTTAAAGATCCGTTGCCAAGAGCCTACCAGCGATCACGCGGGACGCTGTAGAAGGGGTACAACTGGTGGAGAATCCGTTCTCCACCAGGCCTTTATATACTGTCTATACATACATATCATATGACATAACCGCCATGTGCGCTCGCTCGTCACATGCGCATCTCCATGCGCTAACAAAAGTAGCCATCATAGTCATTGGATAGCTATGTACAATCTCTCTATTTTTGTAGGGAGTTTACAGACAGTTTATATACCAGGTAATATTTATCTAGAATGTTCTACAAGGTGGAAGAATAATGAGTAAGTGGAATATGAGGGAAACTCTGAGAAGGTCCAGAGCGGCCAGGCTGAATAAGTGCTGGCCAGCAATGCCATTCCCAACAGCTGGTTCTGCCACAAGAAGCCAGACCATTTGGGTAGAAGCGGCAACAATGTTAATAGCAACAACGTTAATAGCAACAGCCAGAGCAAAGACTGAGACTCTAACCAAACACAAGTAAATAATACAGAGCAGACATGGCCCACTGTTACATGCATGCAAAAATGTGTACCAGCTATATATAGTGGAGCGCATATGACCAGCATCTGGTCATAGTGGTCTTTTGGCCCAGTTGGATTCATTGTTAGCGCTTCTGCACAGATTTCAGACCCACCCAACTTATATACTGATTACTTATAATACTTATAGGAAAATAGTTGTATCCAAGTTCATACTGTTGCGCTGAGCACCATTGCTGGAATGTAAGGGCAACCCCGGAGGCCTGAGATCAAGGTCCTAGCAGGGGAGGATCCAAAGCATGAATATTGGTAAGTGAATACAAATGAAGCTGACCTAGCAGGGGAGGATCCAAAGAGAAGAAACTCTAAGGGTCCACTTGCTAGGTAGCTGACTATATACTGCTTATTTGTCCGTAGCTGCCGCTGTCGGAAACAGAAGGGTTTCAAAACTGTTTTGAAACAAGCCCATTTGAAACTGTTTTGAAATGAGTGGCCCGGGTTAGGTAATCCTCTCAGCCCGCAAGCCGCCGCTGGTCATCAGTGAAAAATGTTCTTTGGTCACGGGAGGGTGGGTGTCAAAGCCACATCCAAGGGGCTGAGCCATGTAATTGGCTGGCCAAGCCGGGCTATGCATTGCTGTAGCCATGACATGCATTGGGCATCCAGGCCTGTTTTAAAACCACTGTCAACCCCAGCGGAATTCAAAACTCCTGTTTCAAAATTGTTTTGAAATGGCTTTCAAAGTGGCTTCAACTCACAGCACCCTAAGTAGCATCCAAGAGAATAGGCTGAGTCTGAGTTGTATCTATGACAGAGATTTGGCCCTTGACTGAATTGTACATTTCTGCCACATTTTTCACAGGTTACAAGCTACAATACTATAGTAAGTTAGGAAAGTCCAAGGAATCAGAGATAGAGTTCCTTTTAGATTATTCTGATAATAGAGATGGTGCACACTGCAGAGCCCTAGGCATTTCTTATATCATATACATACCAATAGTCTGCATGATTCAATATAATAATATGTAATACATGCCTGCATGTATAATTCTATTTCTATAAAACATAGTTCAAAAATTGACTAACCCATACTTATATGCTGCCAGTAAGTACTAGTAGCCTATATTACTGGCAAATTTGTAGTGTTCTTTCCCTTTCAAACAGAATATACCCCAGAATTCAATGGTGCTCTCTTTCTGCTTGAACAACAGGAGAACATGGCCCGTAATAATTCCTAAGCCAACATTATTTTCCAAAAACTCACTAACAGGAAGATATAAATACCATCTGTGTTCCAAACATCAGGGCTACTGAGAGGGGGGCTAGAATATTATTGTTAATAATATGATTAGTCAGAAAACAGGTAATATACTCAGTGCCAGGAGAACAACAGTCACTGATGTTGAGACATTCATCACAACATCAACCATGCTATCACCAATATACTCAGTATGTTCTCTGAACCAGATGCTAGCAAATTTAAACTTACATAATACCAAAGCCGCCAGAGACTGTATATAGAACAGTGCGCAAAAACAGATGAAATGGAAAGTCTGATCCCTTGACCTTGAGTGCTTCGATAGCTGCTCGTTGGCGAACCAAGTGAATAATAGTGAAAACTAGTATAAATTTATCACACTAGCACAATTCAAACCAGATTGTAATAAACTTACCTTCCATGATCAGCATTGAACTTAGAAACAGAATCACAAGTGTTCCAGTCAAGAGAGTTCTGTGCATTTATGGTTTAAGTATTGGGCTAACCTGGGGGGATTGACATACGGGATCTTACTGCCCATAATGTGGCAATAGACACCACTTGGGTCACGTTTGAGTTGTGAGATATCAGATAGTCCAATCTGTATGCATTGCTTAGTAAAGGAAGTTCACAACAATTAAACTCAATATTTATACCGTGAGTGAAACCCAGAATACAATCCCATGGACAATTGGAATACCCCAAGCAACCTTGTACAGATAAATAATATCAATAAAACATAAGGCATATAGTCTGATGCGCACCCAATAGATGAATGTATCACTCATGCGAGTGGAAAAAAGAGCCGAGGATAATCGAAGATGGAGCTGCACACAGATATCTAAGTAACATCTTGAATTTCCCTATTAGTATACACTCACCTCAATCACAAAAAAAAGAGCGGCAGCTGCCAACCTACAACGAGTTCATGATGAGAAGCAGTCCTCGATAGTCAACACACGTGGGAGGGGCGGCATAAATCAACGCGGCAGAATATGCACAGTAATACAAGGGCGGTTCCGGTCCAGTTTGCTGACCAATTAGCAGCAAAAATGACACGGAAAATGTGGCACTGCATAGCTGGAGCAGGTACCACGTTTTGACCCTTTGAATTCCAGAGAACCAGGCCACAAGGATGCTAACAATGAGGATGACGAGGGCTAATATGGCGAAGAAGTTGAAAAGAAGAATGGGAGTAAGTGACGGGCCAGCCTGATCTACTATGCTCTTCATCAGAAATAATTCACAAGCAGTGATTATATGCATAGCTCACTACGTTCGATGAGTTGAGGGACTGGGTACATGATGAAAGAGAGATGGCGAGGAAGAGGAGAAAGAGAAAGAAAGTACCTGCATCAAGGTTGCAGGCGATGGCGAATAAATAACTGGATGAGTAGGATCGATGATCGGAGATGGTGGGATTGTACGACTCTGCGACAATACAGCGAAAGGACGGCGATCTCGAGTCCCTTGATTCCTGGAGATCTCACAGGAAGTGTCGGCGCTTGCGATAAAAGATCAAAAAATTCATCACATCCGGGCCTGTGAACGAAGGAAAGCTAGCATTTTGATCGAGCAATGTTACAGCCACAACCAATTAGCGACCAACAGCAGCCCCACGCTTCCGAAATAGCACTTGAGCCCTCTTGGCTGGCGTTGACACTGGCCCGAGCCACGAATCGCTCAGTCGCATCCCATCTGCCAAACGCATATCGTATCGAAGGATCAGAAACGCCAACAGGCATTTAATTTGTAGGGAAGCAAAAAATCGACCAGGGCTATTCGATTCTCCATAAGTTTCCAGCACCCACAAATGTTGCAGGACGTACCAAATATGACGCCCACCACCAAACGTTAAATACGAGGACGAAGTTCCGGTCAGTCTCTGCATCCACAGCGGATTGGTAGCATCCATGCCAACGTCTAGGTCGACGCCGACTGAGCCCTCCGTCTTGGAGAATCTCAGCCCATCGAATTTCGTGGCATGGTCGTAGATGGTCTCGTCTTCGTGAACAGCGGTAATGGCTGTGGCGATGAAATTGTTGGGCTGTACGATGGTTCCATCAGAGAATTCGAACGGTGTCAAAGTAAGTCTGGGCATCCACATAGCGCTGTGCACGTTCAGTCGAAGGGATTCTTTGATGAAGCTATCTAGGTTGACGCATCGAGCCAGCGCCTCTTTGGACCACGCAAGGGGGTTTTTTGGATCGAGGTAAGTCTCAAGTTCGGAACGGAGGATGAGTACGTATTCGGGTTGGGCGACAAGATGATAAAGTGCGTGAATATAGGCCTATCAGATTGAGTTACTATAATTTCAGGTGAAAAACATCACAACACTGACCCTGGATGTGGTGTGTAAGGCAACGAAATTCACATTGAGCATTCGCATAGCAAGGGACTCCGGCGCATGCTCTGTCCGTCCTTCCCAAGGTTGGTCCATAAGCCAAGTCAGCATGTCATTGGGGTTCTCGTCGTTGTCAGTTTGTGTGGGAACCATAACAGTTGGAACACTTACTAGATGTGCATTGCCCGTCTCTCGATTCCGCTGACGCTCGGTGATATCTGCTGCGAGAAGGTGGGTCATACGCCTATGATGCCCAAACACTAGTTGAAATAACCATCCGACAGCACTATTCCAGGTGATGAATGTCTTTTGGCATATTCAGGAAAAAACATACGGTCGAAGTAAGCCAGGTACGACCATACGAATAATAGCACCTCCAGTGATTATATCGTCGGAAAACCCATTCAAGAGCTTGCGGTATTTTGAATTGCGGCCTACATCCGAAAATAAATGAATTAATGGTTATAAATAACACCAGGGGCAAGCTAGCGGCAGAAAGCATATGGCAGTTTGCTGGCGATTTGCAAGGCAATTTTTTTTACTTTGTTAAAAACAAAGGAACCTTTGTCTTTGCCCAACTGCCGCTAGGTCTGCCATTAGCCAACTGACACTAGCATTGCCCCTGGTGTAAAGGGGGGACCCACACAACTTAGGACCGACGAAAACTCGATTACTAACTCGGGTAATGATGGCAGGGAAGATCGTTGTTGGACGAAGTGACGACCAACGATCTATGGAGTTTGGGTTTGAGCGAGGGAAGCTTCTGGTCTGGGTACCTTCCGAAAGATTCAACTCCTCATTGAAAGCCAAGAGCATTTCGTCCAAGATGTCTGGCAGTTTGTTGGCCAAATTGAGATTCAAAGCGGTCTTGATGGCTGGGATATGGTAGGTCTCTGAGCAGAACAGTGGGCCGACAGTGTGATGCGTTTGCAGCAGCTAGAGCAGCAGATACATAGATTGAAAGGAAGGAAAACCCATTTGCGCACCTCCTCCGTAGCTGCCTCCATTGAGAGAATCGACTCGGGCGCATTGAGCTGATCCTTCACGTGCTCTTTCGTCGTCGTCAAGACCACCCATTCGCCGAAAAGAGGAAAGGTAAAGAGTTGGCCATAATACTAAGAACATCTTCAGATGGAAGGAGTCTATAGCTTGGATTGCGTACCCGCTTTGCAGCGACTTGAATAGCTGCTTTTGTTCGAATAACATTAGAGATAGACGTGATATAGGACATCCACAAGTTCCCAAATCCACGCGACGGCAATTCGGCCTATAAGTTCGCTTTGTTCGACGAAAGGGATGTGTTTTGGAGCCGAATTTACCTGCTTGCGTTTGCCCTTCTCCCAAAGCCTCACTACCACAAGTATCAGGAGTGAAAGAGATGCCGCCAATATCGAAGCCATTGTGGTCAGTCTGGATCACAGAGGCAGCGAGAGAGAGCGAGAGTTAAAATAGGATAACACATCACGCACCTGCGACACGATGCCGTCGCGAGTCTTCCCTGTGGGCTGTGTGGAAAGGTTTTGCACTTCTCATTGGTGCAACGGAAATAAGTCTATCCACGAACCACGGGGATGATGGTCAGAACGAGGAAGCGCAGATAATGATAAGTTATTGAAGTTATGTTGGCATGTTGAACAGCCGCTGCCCCACTACACTTTCCGATCCGAATTCGGGACCAGTAATTAGTATTACCGGTTGTCATCTAGAGCCGTGATGCTGTTTCCTTATGGGGAGCTTGCGGAAATCACTCGGCTTTCGGGTTTTCTCGGCGATGCCTCAAAAACCTCCCACACTCGACGCCGTGTGGGAGATTTTTGCGGGTATTATCAGGCTCAAACTGAAGGTTATGTTCCAACGCAAGACGCTTTACATGTCGTCGCAAAATTATCCCACGCAAAATATCCGTCAACTCCTGCGACAAGGAGACTTAGAGTTCCCACTGGCAGATTTGGAGCACGGTGCAGTTCAGATTGTAATGAAGAGGATAGATGATGATAAAGACGACCACTTGGCCTCGAGCCCGCTCGTAACATTCCCCTGCGGCGATTTCGAATCGGAAAGTTGACCAAGCAGCTACAAGCGATTCAAAGTCCGGTCAACCATAAATTGTGCATGGAGCCACCGATCAAACAAGGTCCCATCTTCGGGATCCTCCATTGTACAAGGTTCTTGAAGCGCATTGCACAAGAACGAGTCAATATTGACTTCGAAAGAAAAATGGTACTTCTTTATAATCGGCTGAATTGTTTCTTGGGGCTTGAATGTGATTATGATCTAGTCGTATTTCTGTATGAGTTTGTGCTCGCTGAGGGGTACAAGATCTTGCCTTGAACTGGACATCGAAGGGCAGCTGGGGCGTCCCAACCAAACTTTCCACCATATTCCGAGCGCGAAGCAAAGGATCATGCCGATGGAGTTCCAATTCCTCTTGCGTAAACATATCAGAGCAGCTATCAGGATGACCATGACCGTGTAGCCATCGGACAAATCGAAGTCGGAAGAGTTTTGCCATGGTCATGGCGATGCAGTCATTAGTGTCTCCGTGAAACTCAAACTGCAAGGAGGAGAGCAGCGGCTCTAACGACTTGATGCTCCTCTCGTAGATCGTGGCCACAAAACAAGCTGCTTGGGAGAGATGGCCTGAAAGGCTCTGGACAATATTCAACGTGATCGAGAAAGAAAGGAGGATAGGATTGCATGAAACGCACCTTGATAGGGTCCAATTCTTGACTCATAGCCCCCTTGATGACACCACGGAAACCTTGACAATAAGCTTCGATCTCATTGTGGTGCTCATGAGTGAACCCAAGTAAAACATGGAATAAGAGGGTCAAGCCAAACTGGCCATGTTCTTCGACCGTGCGGGAATGCGTCAAAAATTCCAGCTGACGTCAGACTTGAGCTTCATGTTGGTTGATGACAGATAACTTACAGTGGGATATATTTCCGAGAACAGAACTCCAACCGGATGACAAGCGACACTTTTATGATCTATTGCATCTTGGTATCCAAAGGAAAACCATGGCGAAAGTCTGCCGCCCATCTCAGGGTCCAGATGCTGGATGAAGTCCAGCGATAGGCATAAACCAGCCTTGCCATAGAAAACGAAGATGAGAAAAAAGGGGCTGATTGGTAGAGGTGCAATCCCATGTCGATGAATGATCGAAAGAACCGTAAAACGGCCGGCTGCCCAGAAAGTAGCTTGATGTTTGGGGGAGGGATGCGCATCTGGCCATAGAACCGGAACCTTGTATTGACCGCGCATGCCCCAGAAGCCGTTGTCTTCGAGGATTGCTTCTAATCCAGCTGAATACAACTCCAGAAGCGGTCCTCCACCGCGAGCACGTTCATGAAACGGTGCTGAGGGGTTTCCCCTAAATCAGGATGAGATTTGGTCTGGCACCGTATAAAAGAAACACTCTACAAAAGAATATCGTGATCCTTTTCCATTAGCCAACTAATGGAATCAGTTTTGAGACAGGAGACCCCTGGAAGAGGAGTAAAGACTTCTTCGGCTGGAAGATAGTGTGAATGGTGCTTCAAAAGGCGGATCAAAGTAATGGCGGTGGATTTGGCATGGTGCCCAGCCAGAACAGTGCCGACTGCGCGATCGTTGGCCGTTGAAGGCAGCGAATTCTCCTCTATCCATTGGGCAACGATAGCATGGCTTGTCTCAAAACAGAGGGGAGTCCAGACACTGCATTTTGTCTCTTTGGAGTTGGAGGAAGTATTGACTGGCGAAGAGAGAGCCTTGAAGACTGGAGGATTTTTGGGGAAAAACGCTGGCTACTCTCCAGTGAGCCTTGTGTGAAGAGATTAAAGAGATGTACATACTGCTTGCGTATTGGGATACAGACGGACTGGTGTTGAATGCGGCGTTGTGATGGTATTATCGGACCCATTTGGACTCTGGACACGACATCAAGTAATGCTTGAAGCAGCCAAGGGAAAGCGTACATTGCGGCTATATTCGTCCGTGTTGAGGGCGAAAGTAGATGTCATCGAAGACGAACGCCAGGGCACCGTTGACGAAGAGGCAGTACTTTGAGGCTGCCAGGACAAATTCTTGTAACCCGGTTGTGACCACCAAAAGAACCTGTAAGGCGTGACCAGCTTTCAAGACAAGTTACAGGTCCGTTGAAAGGAGATCTCGAAAATAAAAATCTGTTATAAGCATATTGCATTCCCCCACAAATTTTTTTCAGCCCTCCAAGAAATTTTGAGTCTTTCAATCTAGAATAAGTCTTGTGGCGGCGTACAAAAATTAACAGACATTACATGGGCTTGCATCCCCCTTGTTAACTTTGAGCAGGCATAACGTTGGTTGCCCTAGGTTTTACATCCTTAGTAATCTCATAATAATATTTCCGGTATAATGAATGATCATTGTTGGCATTAGTGAGGCATCAAGGAATGGGAGCGTCGTGAGGGGTAAATGAGAGTGGAACAGGTATTACACGACAAGATAAGAGCACGAAAACTAAGTCATCGACGTGGGTAAGGAATTGTCAAGGGAGTGGAACCGAGAGGGGGAAAGGAAAGTGGGCTCTATGGGGTATAGTGATCGTTCGAAGGAAGGAATGTGTCGTCGAAGGAAAGAATGTGTCGTAGAAGGAAAGAATGTGTCGTAGAAGGAAAGAATGTGTCGTATCTATGTTCGTATTAAGGATGTCGTTCATGCTATAGGCGCTGTGAGCAAGCAAAAGTAATACCAAGCACCGCTTCGCTTACTTGGAGAGATGATCGTTCTTGGGAGATCCTGGCGTGACCAATGAAGCGGCCAGTGTGAGGGCTGGTGTTGGAAACTTGCCCACTCGAGCTAGGAGGGGGAGCGCCACTCGAACGAGGGGGGGGAGGGGGAAGGCTGTGAGAGTGGGTGAATGTTTGGGGGACCCTTTCAGAAGCTCGTTTGCGACGCTGGGCAATGGCCTCATCTTCGCTTTCGTCTCCGCTGGCCTCTTGGTCGCTATCATCGAGAGCGTCGCCAAAAACCTGTCTAAAAGGAGTGAGTCATAAGCCATCGTTGCTTCCCGTGAATTTACTTCGTGAGCCACTCTAGCGTTTCTACACCCCAGTTGGGAAAGTCTGGATTGGAGTCGTCATCGAAGGCAGCCACGACCTTCTGGTACAGCTCGGGAAACTTATAGCGTTTGCTCTCTTTCGTTGTCCACTGCGGAAGACTGCTTATTGAAAGTCGAATCTAGGGATAATAAATGTGAGAGTAGTTAGGAAGCGAGCAAAATTTACCTGAACGACCACATATGCGACGACATGTGCAGTCACACCGCGCATGTTATGTATCGATGCGAGACAACCGGGTGCGATGTCGTCCTCAGCTTCATGCGCAGCGCCTGAACGCGAAATTAACAAGAGTCGAATTCCCTGCGGATTCAATCAGATGTTATTTCTTGCTTGAAAAGTGCTTTACTCGGATTATGGCAACACTCGTAAAGAGGTTCTCTTGATAAGCCTCTGGGTTCCACCCGTCTTCTGGATAGCAGAAGGAGGGGAAGTATTTGGATGAGGGTTGGTAGGTTCCAGTGACGATACGGTCGTAGAGTCTGACGCAATAAGTCCCAAGGCCAAGTCGAATGAGCTTGACCCACATTTGCGCTTGCGGACTAAGCCAGGGAGTGATTGGATCAGAAAGGGTCCACAGGAAAGCAATGCGTTACCAGAGAGGAGACCTGTGTAGAACAAAAATGAACAATTGATTGCTGTCCGTCAAAAGAAAGCATACTCCGCCGTTGCGCCATATACCAGTGGCGGAAAGAGTATTCGGTCCTTCCAGGGCATCATCAACAACCGAAGTTGAGGATGTGCCAGGCCGCGGTGTGCTTTGCCGAGGCCTTGCTCGATTGGTGGACAGAAAAAGTCGACGCCTGGTACCGGGAGAAGAATCCGAAGATTGTTTTTGAATGTATTCGTATCCTGTGTGCGTGCATCTCGCGCAGCCTTGGCCATCTACAACATTTGACATGCATATAATCAATAGGATATGTGGCATACCCGTTCGCAAAGTGCGTTCCACACTGGGTTGGTCGCGGATTCATTGTAAATTCGCTGCAATACAGGCAAGATGTTCAATCGGCACGTCGACAAGGCTTGACGAAAAATGCTCGCGTGGTACTCCGCGCGCTCACTAAGACGCTATCAGTCAAAACAACATATGCAAGAGAAACAACCAAATGATACGTCCCTCTGAGGGATGGCTTGCATGGAGTTAGCGTCACCAAAGGAGTTGAGACAGCCATATTCGAGGATCCGTTTCATATTCCAGTATGCGTCAGCGCCACGTGGCACAAATTTCGCTGCATCGATAAGCTGATGGTACGCTCCCCGACGAGAACTCGTGAGATTCAGCGCTACTTTCTTATGACAGCTTGAAAGACGCACGCATTTCGAGGCGGCCCAAGTCGACGTTTACCCAGGCAAATGGTTTGGCCGGAGGCTGACTTGAAGCCCAGATGTTCGTGAATATCGTCAAGAAAAGAAAGTTGTTCAGTTGTCATTGAGGGTTGCTCAAGGTGGACTGGGGTCGTGTCAGACATGGCAATGCGTAAGAGGTCAGGAGAGGGGAGCACCATTCGCTTTGCATGCACATCTTAAAACGTTTTTCGACTGGTGCGCTGTCGACGACGTCGTGGAAAGAGACGAGCGGGAGAAGCTGATCGGAATGATGAATGTCACAACAATGATGCAGTGATGTCAGAGCACGATTGGTCGGGTAGTCAGCTACTCCCAAAACGACCAAATTACTGCACAAGATTTTGTCGCTCATCACATTTGCTTAGTACTCGAATGCATCTAAGTACGAGATTGTCACTTCTACTAAAAGCTCATGTCTGCTGGATCTGAGGACTGCGTAAGGTCGACAACGCGATCCTCCTCCTCCTCCTGCAAGCTCTCTATGGCACCATCAAGCCCTTCTCCCAGGTGTTCCAACTCTTCGAGCATGTCTTCGGCGCTGTACTGAACCTCCGCGAGCGCCTTCTCTGCCTTGCTAAGGCGGGAGACATCTTGCTGGCGCTTCCTCTTGATCCCGGACAACTTTTTCCCGCTCTCGACAAGCCTGCCCATGAAATCCTCGCGGTTATAGATCGCATCGGCCAATGATGACTTCAGCTTAGCGATCTTTGCCTCCTGCACCTCGATCCGCTCCTCCGCTACAGCCACCTGATCCTTCAATTCGAACACCTCCGTCGTGAGTTTGATATTATCCCCGAGGGACGAGAGTGCGTCGTTGTCGAGTATAGCTTTCGCCTTCTTGAGCTGCGCAACTTCGGCGAGGAGAGCATGATGATCGGAACGCAGGGCCTCGTAGGCAGCTTGATAGGCTAGGATTGTTACTGAAGGAGACTCGGAAAAGATAGTCGAACGCACTCGTCTCGAGAGTCTTGGTCTGTTGAGACGGAACAAAAAAAGTGTCGCTGTCACTACTGCACATTAGTATGTGTCACTCAGAAGAAGTAAAATGACTGACATTGTTCCAGCTGCCGCCGGGGAGCTTGTCGCCACCGTGCCTTGAGTGGCGGCGGTCAACAAGCTGCGTTCGACCGCATTTGGACTCGGCGTGCGCAAGTTATTTCGTGCTACTAGTAGTCCTTGTCGGCGATTGAAGCCGGGGAAGACAGCGGGGTCAAACGGGGAGCTGGAATAGATGGGCATGAGGTCGAGTGGATTTGTGCAGTCGACATAGGCTTATAAGTTTAAAGCACACCTGCAAGCGCTCGTTGCGCTCGTTGCGCTCGTTGTGATGGTTTGATTGAAGTTGTTGAACGGTTTGTTTGACAGCAAAGAAGCATCTGAGGCGAGCGCTTCTGAACACTTTGAATATAAAAGTAAAGCCCGGGCCTGAGGACGAAAACAAAAACGAAAACAGCAGCTTCTCACCAAAATGTCTGAATCCTACCAAGGTTTGGCTCTCCGCATTTTGTTTGCGTTTTGAACTTCATTGGGCTCAGATACCATCTTGGATCTTGCCCTGCTTCTTGAACAACACCACGCCCAGAGGCTGGTGCTCGAAGATGAGCTCATCGAGCTTCGTGCGCTCAACGACAAGCTCCATCTCGACAACGACCAACTTCGTGCATCAATAGCTGACGCGAAAGCACGCATGAGCTACTCCAGCGCCGTAGCTCGTCATTATTATGGCCAATCTGCAACGCTCTGGGAAGCATTACATCAGGTATGCTGAATTTTCGCTCGCTGATTTGATTCTTACATTAAAACTTGAACAGGTGTTGACCCAGTCCGGACTTCATGGAACCTCAGCACTGGAGAGAACGATGCAGAGGGTTATGGGGTCACTTGGCATTTCATTGTATTAATAGCTAGATTTTACTACCTGTCTTGACCGTCCTACTTGTGTTGTCTTAAGTCACATCCGACCCCACGAATTGCCCTGCGAAACCTCGTCGTTCGCAGTGTTCGGTTAGGGCTGGGGGCGGAACGATCCGCGTCTTGAACTCCCTCTTCTCACAAACCCAAACGCTGCAATATTAATGAGACTCTTCCGGTACACTCGATGATATTTCACATTTGACCCCCGCTTTGACCACTCACTCTCGCGTTCTTTGACGGCGGTATCACCTGCTTTCTTGCTTTCTTGCTAGCCTTGCTGCAGCGCCATTGTATGGCTGCCGCTTCCGACACGCGAAATGCCAATGGTCGTCCCTGTGACAGAGGAGAATCTTGGCGCGATTATACGGCTCACGGTTGAGGACGAAGTCGGTATCCTTGCCCGTGTGAGGGTCTTTTCGGAGAGTGAAGAAGAGGGCATCGGCAAGGCCAGTGCGCTTCAAGGTTTTGAGGAATTGTTTGGGAATGATCATATCGGTATCAACGTTTTCAATATGCAACGGCGCGGTGATGCCTTTCAAAACGGTGAATTTCTGGACTGTCGAGGGAGCATCTAAGGAAGGGAGGGTGGTGGGCATGGCTGGGGAAATAGCGAGTGGTTCTGGGGCAGGGAGAACAGGATCATCCAAAGAGTCGAAAGCACTCGCAACCTTCAGTTTCGGTGCGGCAGCAATATTGGCTTCAGCGACGGCTCCCATAAATTTGCGGACATCAGTCAGCTTGCCTGTCATCGCCGCCGCAGCCGCCATTGCTGGACTAAGCAGATGAGTCCGACCACCTGAGCCTTGTCGCCCTTCAAAGTTGCGGTTGCTGGTACTCGCGCAACGTTGACCAGGCAAAAGCTGGTCAGGATTCATACCCAGACACATCGAACAACCAGCCTCTCTCCAGTCGAAACCAGCGCGTTTAAAGAGCGTATCAACTCGCTCTGCCTCGGCTTGCTTCTTGATCGGACCAGAGCCGGGGACAACCATGGCATCCACTCCAGAAGCAACCTGAGCATTGGGACCCGCAGCAAGGACAATTTTCGCGGCAGATCGCAAGTCTTCGATTCGGCTGTTGGTACACGACCCAATGAAAACTTTGTCGACTTTGATATCCTCCATGCGAGTGTTGGGAGTGAGACCCATATGCGTCAACGAACGCTCTGCCGAAGCCCGTTTGACACGGTCCACAATAGTTGCTGGATCAGGGACGGGGCCAGTAATGGGGACAGTGTCTTGAGTGGAGGTGCCCTAGGTCACGGTGGGAATAATGTCGGAGGCAGGGATGTTGACTTCGATGTGGAATTTCGCGCCATCGTCAGTTTTGAGAGAGCACCAGTAGGTTTCTGCGTGGTCCCAGGCTTCACCTTTTGGCGCCAATGGACGACTTCGGAGGTAGTCAAAGGTGATTTCGTCTGGGGGGACCATGCCAGCGCGAGCACCAGCCTCTATACTCATGTTGCAGACGCTCATGCGCGCCTCCATCGACAATCCACGAAACACAGACCCAGCATACTCGATAACGCAGCCGGTTCCACCCGCAGTGCCGATCACCTCAATAACGTGGAGAATGACGTCTTTGGAGGTAACGCCTTCAAGCAAGTCGCCGTCGACAGCAATGCGACTGTTTTTGGCTTTCTTTTGCAGGAGGGTCTGGGTAGCAAGCACATGTTCGACTTGCGATGTTCCAATGCCAAATGCCAGAGAGCCGAAAGCGCCATGAGCTGCAGTAAAATTAGCTATGTAACTCGGAAGAGGAGTCGCTGTGACGAACTGGAGTCGCTGTGACGAACTGGATGCATGGGGGTCCCCGCATACACAGGTTATACCAGGGAGCGTGAAGGTGATGACATGAACGATGCCTAGAAAAGGAATGAGAATTGCCTTACATGAACGATAGACGTGCTGACTTGTCGCTTATCCGTCATACCAAAATATGTGAGCCCGAACTCCTTCACGTTGTCCTCCAGGGCGGCACACTGCGCGCGTGACTCCGGCTCGTCAATGAAGGACTTGACGTCTTTGCAAGATTTCCGGTCGACAGTGGGAATGTTATGGTCAACGGTCGCAAGAGTGCAATCTGGGCGGCGGACAGGAAACAAATTGAACAACCGACCTGCATGTCCTCTTCAGGGCAGCCGAATTTCGCCTTCACGACATCGGCGCGAGTCGGGGAGGAGTCAAATGTCCAGGAGCACCGAAGGATGAGCAGCAATAAGCCGCGAGGGCCACGGTAGGAGCCGATCCTACCACCAAAGACTGAGCTGTCCCAAAAGCATTGAACACAAAAAACCCACAAATCGTGCTTTATCGGTATCCACGAAAGGCTTCGTGGTGAACCACTCTCACATGAACGCGCCTATCATGCTGTGAAGCAATGATATCCTCGAAAGTAAACCAAGGCATACTTGTCGAGCCATCATTGACGGCGTCGATGAGCCCCGAATGTCGTTATTAACTGAGCAGGATTTGACATGAACAACTTTGGTTTGCATGGCGACGAAAGAACGCACTTTTGAACTTGAGCTTGCTAGCCTTGCTGCAGCGCCATTGTCTGGCTGTCGCTTCCGGTCCCTTTGAGATCGGCTGTGAGGTCGGTGATTAGTAGTGGGTGTACTCGGCCTTCAAGATATGGATGTTCGTTCATGACCATGCAGGCGAAATGGAACGGCGGCGGCGCCTTCATCGACCTCCAGTCCTTCTTGACTGCGTCGATTCCGAGTTTCCGAAAATATGACTCTTTCTCGTTTCCTTCGCAGCCCCAACTGCCTCATCATCATCAGACTCTGCTTCAAGTTTGTCGTCTTCTTTCCCTGTTACTCGGAAGACTTGCGCGATTTTGCGGTCACTTTCTTCGCCTTCGCTACCACTTTTGAATGAGCACAACCCTCTCTTCCGTCTCTGTCACGAACCTTTTGTTCCAGCTTGGCTCTGTGTCAACATGAGTGTAATGTAATAAGCAAGATTGGCGGTGGCGTGACCGTGATCAACTTGGTAAGTGAAGTTTGAACGTTTAGCTTATCACATTGAGCGTTGAAAGAATAAGCCTGAGAGACAACAGTTGGTCAAAAGTATGAAAATAGATTGAGAGTCAACGAGGAAATCTAGTAAACTATCCACGCATGCTGACATCCGCAAGATCATCAGACGAAGGGTCCACATCCGACTGGGCGACGCCTGCAGTTTCAGACGAGCTCTCGAAGACAGTGTCTACATGGCCAAGTAGGGTCTTGATCCGTTGGACGAGCCGACGGATGTGGCTTCTAGCAGTGGTGAGGGCCAGCTCAGCCTCGATCAAACGGGATTGCTCCTTGGTAGCTTGTCGTCTTGCCTTGGCCAGGTCGCGGTGGGTTGTAGCCAGTAGGTGGAATGCCAGCTCGCGCTTTTCGACAACCCCCGAGAGCGTGTTTTCGAGTTCGAAAATCTTTCCTTTCTGTTCCGAGCAGATGGCGTGCAACTCCGCCATGTCCTGCCGCAGAACCCGCCCGTTCTCGGCCAGCTCCTCGCGAGACACCTGGAGACTTTCGAGCTCCTCGCGAACTACGTCGTAATGAGCCGACATGCGCTGATAATTGGTGAGCTTGTCGTTGAGCGCCTTCTTCTCGTCCTCGACACGTTCACAATACGCAAGAACGCGATCGTGATTTTTTGCTGCAAGCAATGTTAATCCATGCCATACTAGCGAAGCCTATGCGGGGCTGACCTTTGCGAACGAAATCTTCTCGCTGAGCAGCGGTAAGTCGGAAAGGATCGGTCATCTCGCGATAATCGTGCTCGAATGCTCTGGGACATTCCGAGTCAGTGTGCTGTACTAACAGAGACATAAAGGTTGACTTACTCCTCAGTTGGAGCCACCGGACTGGACGACTGAACAGTAACTGAACGGCTGCTCACGGAGGTTTGAGGGGTCGACTCTGCGCTAGAATTCGTCGACATTGACAGCGTTATCGGATGGTAGGACAAATCAAGCACAGAGCGGTTCGTTTCTAAACTTAAGCTTTTAAGCACGACAGACGAGCAGCAGACAGACGAGCACTGGCAGACCGGCAGCCCAAGTTCTTGACCATTGGTGGGAACCAGATAGTTGATTGGCTTGATCGAACTTCCGAAGTCTTCGTTTATGAATGAAAGCATTTCGCAGGAACTCAAAAGAGGTAGGGCCGCATTAGATTTGGCCCCGGAGTCACCCGTGCGCTTTGCGCTCCCAAACTAGCAAGTCGATTGATACTGATACACATACATGGGACGAAACCAACAACGATGTAGGAGACCTAAGAGGAGATGTCGACGCGCACTGCGCGACAGGAACAATGATTATTGTGGGGGAAACTAACAGGCAAGCCTTTCGCCGATATGGCATCGCGTGTTCGCCCGATATCACTCTCCGCCTCCAATACCTCTTGAACGATCCTGTCCACCTGAGCCCGTAGAAGGTCGAGATATGTAATTTGTTCATGGATGCGACGTTGTGCAGCAACATATTCGGTTACACATCGATGGCGTTGGGCGCATAGGAAATGTATCGCAGTCTCGGCTTCTGTCGGTGTTTTTGGCAACGCAATACAGCGATTGCCACTCAGCCTCTAAAAGCTGGTCAATACGAGGTCTAAGTACACTGATAGCGATGCTGGCACTACGCACGATGGAATCTTCAGGTACGCCTTGTGGTGTGCTATGAGAGGGGGTGGCTCTTTGGGCCTGTTGTTGACCCCCGATACGAGGGTCGTGGCCATCACTTGCGCCGGCGGGCGTGGTCTCGTCGAGTGCAGACATGAGGTTCAAGATGAGACTGATGATCAATTCCGTGACACTTTCAACGAAGTTACTTGGATGTTTCCTTTATTCGACTCACAACTTGAAATTATGGTGGGCTTCCCATCTACCTCCGACCCTGGATACCCTGACGATCGTTCAAGTCGCTTACGAAAGGCATCTCTCTTGTCGTTCTACTATGCAGCACTGGACGCCCGATATTACGGAGGCGTATCGAACTCTGGGTTTTCGAGCGGATACCACTCAAGATGATCATGGTGCGCATTCAACTCACTATCTATACATCCTCATTTTATCGTAGTGGAGCTTCCGTTGCTCGGGACAGACCTCTCCAGCACGGAGTCTCATTCAACCTCAGACGATCAAATTGTCCAAGAATGGATTGCCTCCGTTGAGGCCGAATTGAAAAGGGCCGAGGAAGGCCGTTCAACAGCTTCATTCAAGTTGCTGGTAAGCTATTTTACTCGTTCAAGTTGTATGCCAGTGCTAACTGATCGATAACCCTTCTACAGTCTGAACAGTCTCAAGTTAACCCAAACGACTTCCAGTTCCAATCCACGCAACCTTTGTCCCACGCGGCGGCGGTGCAACTTGAAGAGTTTGGCCAAAACGACCTCCATTTCCTATCTATGCAACATTTGTCCCACGCGGGGGCGCAGCCAGAGTTTGACCAAAACGACCTCCAGTTTCAATCCGCGCAACCTTTCTTGCACGCGGGGGCGGCACAGCCAGAGTTTGGCCAAAACAACCTCCGGTTTCAATCCGCGCAACCTTTCTTGCACGTGGCGGCGGCACGGCCAGAGTTTGGCCAAAACGACCTCCGGTTTCAATCCGCGCAACCTTTCTTGCACGTGGCGGCGGCGCAGCCCCAAAAGTTTGACCAAAACGACCTCCAGTTTCAATCCGCGCAACCTTTCTTGCACGCGGGGGCGGCACAGCCAGAGTTTGGCCAAAACAACCTCCGGTTTCAATCCGCGCAACCTTTCTTGCACGTGGCGGCGGCGCATGACCAAATTAACCACTTCACACAACCTTCAAGTTCGGCCGCGCAGAGCACCAGGAGTGGGGTTCCTTCCAATCAGAAGCATCTTTACCTGTTCTTCAGTCCAGTAGGGAGCAAGCGCCACTTTGTATACGATAACTGACTTGTACAACAGCCTAGCGAACTAGTTACCAAAGTGGTTGCCTATGTCAACGCCAACCGGCCGTCCTCAAGTTCCCGACACTCCGCGTCAAGCCGCCCTTCGCAGATCCCGACCCGAAAAGAACTAATCAAGTTAATAAGGACGGCCGCTACTGTGCTTGATGGTCGTGGTCTTGTTGTTCAGACACTTTTCCCGCCTGTATCCGAAGACCTCGTTATTTTGATCAGCGAAATCAACACTGCGTGCGGGTTCAACAGACACATTGGTACATCTTTACCCAACAGTGAGTGGTGACAATTTCGATAAAGATTTGGGTTATCTTTACGGCCAGACACTTTCCTGCCGGATTTGCAAAGCATCTACAATGCAGTAGGTTCAATTCTTCGATATTTCTCTTGTTCAATCTTTATCCAAGGTCTCGGAAAACCGAACCCGGTTGACTAAACACTTTCTTACCGCCACCTCCAAGATCGTAGATGACCATCATCAGCCCCCGGCATCCGACCCCTCTGCAACACCGAAGGAGATCGAGGAGGTTTCCCAGAGCTATTGGGGTTCGCTATTGCATGAGCATATGTTTCTGCATGCCGAGCGCCTTGTATGTTTTCCGCTGATTTTAACTCTGGCTGAGCCGAACGATTCAACAGTATTCGCACAGCACCGCGCCCCGGTGCACAAGTCCTGCGTTGAAACAGTGTATAATTCAGATGGCCCAAATCTACAAAGACCATGTCGGAGACTGTTTCTCGTTGAACACCGAGTCAGAGTGCTTGCATCTTGCTGCCAATGCGGCATGCTTGGTCGGTTTATCGATGCTTATTAAAATAATTGCTCAACCAACCGATGTAGATCGGGTTTCGGTGTCATGAACGATTCAAGAATCATCCAATCAAGTTCACGGATGAGCAATCTGATCACCTTCTCAATATTCTCGAAGGACTGCAGAGCAACCTGCAGCACCCTTCGTATGGCCTTCCCTTGCGCCAGCTCCTGCAAGATGTTCGCATGCAGTTCAGGTGAGCAGATCATTCATGTTGTTCAAATTCCTGAACTGTCTGCCAGCGACGAAAAACCTGCGACGTGGGGAACGGTGAACCTGTATTTCGATTAGCTATAATTCGTAATTGTTGGACACTCTAGACTTCGTTTGTAATCACCAAAATGTGTCACTCTGTGACACTTTTTCCTTCCAACTTCGGTCTTTTCCTTCTTCCAACTTCGGTTTCCTCCGCATCTCTCACCTCAATCAACGCGGCGCTCAGAGGCCACTGGTTATCTCGGCCGAAACGCTCTCAACCAGTGGCCCCTGTGGATATACCTGGCCATTTTTTCTGCCACATACTCAATTTGCTGGCATTCCAGTTCTCAGGCAGGCAATCTTGATGATACCGGAACAGAGGCACCTAACTTGCCAGATAGAAAAGACCCCATTAAAGCTCTTACGGGTCGGGCTAGCCTGGAACTATGCCTAAAAGCAAATATGAATGCGAACTTTGCCATAAACCTCTCCGCAATCTGGGCGAAGCGAAGTCCGTTCATGACCGAACATGCTCGGGGTTCAAAGCATTGCATCTTCAATCTGTGGCGCATATCCATGAGCACCTCCGGAATGCTGCTCAAGTCCCTCCACCTCCTCCAGTTCAAGTCGAGGCTGTTGAAGTTTCGGTCTGTCGAGACAGTTGAGTATTCCCTTGATTAATACTTCGACAGATGGTGATCGAAGAGGTCGAGATCCCGGCCTTTCGCAACAGTGGTCTTCCCAACCGTCGTCGTCGCGCTCCAGCGAAATTGAACGATGCTGCTCCCCCACCACCACCTCGAATCCGCGGAGTAAATCGACCCGTTGTGCCTGTGGCGGAGACTGAACTCCCACCGCTGGCAATGCCTGGTCCAGAGCCCCAGCCACAGAAGTGGATTCGCACTCAAACCAACTCTTTTGGGCTTTACAAAGTCTATCCGCAACGACCAACACATGACCCCGACTCACAAGTTACCTCGAAAGAGCTTTATACCATCAACAAGCAAGCTACGGTTGGACTGGACAATTTTCCATTGCCGAACGAGCCTTGGTATTACCCTTTCCCCAATGCATCAGTCGCACATATGATCAAGTACCATATCGAGGAAGACAACGCGGGGTCCATTGGCGCCTTCGACCGCCTTGTTCAAAACATTTTACAGCCTAACGAGGAGGCTCAATCCGATGGGGTCGATTTACGCGAACTTCCCGTACCTTTTTCCACAAAGAAGTTCCTCGATGATCTCGACAAGAAGGGAATCGAGCCTTTAGGTATAACGGAGAAATGGCAACTGGGTAGTGTTACGCTGAAACTGCCTTGTGTGGGTCGAGGGCAGAAGGAATCCGCGGCCCCAGAGTTCGAAATAACTAATATCCATTATCGACCGCTTCTCGATCCAATAAAGGAAGTTCTCCAAGGTCCTCTGTTCGAGAAATTCCACACAACCCCATTTTCCCTCAGATTCGACCCCACAACAGATTCGACCCCACTCCCTCAAACTGACGCTCGACTTGATTCGAATACGAATACTTGGGGACTACCAAGCCTTCCCGCTGGTCACGAAGAGGTATTTGGGGAGATCTATTCGTCAGCGGCCATGCTAGAAGCATACCACGCCATTCCGCAACCCCCACATCCTCAATCACCTGATGATCCCGTAGAGAGCATCATCATAGCTCTCATGGAATGGTCCGATGCCACTCATCTGGCTCAGTTTGGCACCGCCTCACTCTGGCCAGGTTACACATTCTTCGGAAACCACCCTAAAGAGTTCAGAGGTAAACCGTCTTCAAACGCAGGCTTCCACCAAGTATATTTCGCGAGCGTGCGGATATTTACTTGTCGTTTATTTGATTACTAATAGTCCTCCAGCTTCCCGACTCGGTATATGATGCATACCGCGAGCATTACAATTGTGATATGCCTGACGAGGTCTTCACTCACCTGAAGCGGGATTTAATACATCGAATATGGGACCTATTACTCTCAGAAGATTTCATGGACGCGTATGACAATGGCATCAAGATCAAATGCTGGGACGGCGTTGTCCGCCTCGTTTTCCCTCGCTTCTTTATCTACGGCGCAGATTATCCTGAAAAGTCGGTGCTCTACCACATTCTCATAATCCCGTATTGACTCATGGCAGAGTTCTACTTGCGACCATCCGAAGCATGGGCGGCCGTCCGTGCCCTCGCTGCCTCATTCAGAAGGGACAAATTGCAGAGACTGGTACAGTTAACGATATGAAGCGACGAGCAGTCATCCGTATCGACGATCACCCTCGAAGAGTAACCGTCGAGGACGCGCGCAGAGCCATTTTTGAGAATGGTTCTGCTGTCGCCGGCTCTTCTATCAACAATATACTCCAAGATAAGTCTTGGGTTCCGGTACGGGTATGTATTTTTTCTTTTGTTGCTAAACTGTTGTTTATCTTGGTCATAGAACGCATTTTCCAAACTCGACACCAACAAATTTCCGTTCAACTTTTACACCATGTTCGTTCCCGATCTATTACATGAAGTTGAACTGGGAGTGGCAAAGGCCATCGTCACCCATTTGATTCGAATGCTGCAAACCTTGAAGAACATAGGAGAATTCGATTCACGGTAAGCACACCTATTCATCGCTAAGTTTTCTAATGTTCATTAGCTTCCGCCAAGTTGGGACGTTCGGGCGATCCGTGATACGATCGTTTGGCAGCAACGTTTCCGATATGAAATATGCAGCTGCGCGGAACTTTGAAGATGTGATACAGGTACAGTCGGCTTTCCCAGGAGGAAACTATCACTGATGCATTTACAGTGTATAATACCTGTCGTCGAGGGACTCTTTCCTGATCACCAACGTCTGGTCGATCAATTGTGCTTCGAACTGGCAGTGTGGCATGGATATGCCAAACTGCGTATGCATACAACGTCGACCGTAGAACTCTTCCGAACTGCGACCAAGGATTTGCTTGCCTCTATTCGACGCTTCGCTCGTGAAACTGCCAACATCAAAACATATGAACTGCCCCGCGAGGAGCGCCGACGAGCAAAACAGGTGGCAAAGAAAGTGGCAGCACTCAGCAACGAATTGCCGACAAATCCTATCTCAGATTCGCAACCCATCACTTCAGCTGACAACGCAAAAACTCAGTCCAAATCCAAACCCAAACCCAAACCCAAACCCAAACCCAAACCCAAGTCGAAGTTGAAGTCCAAACCCACACCCGCATCAGCGCCACCACCAGCACCCGCACCCGCACCCGCACCCGCACCCGCACCCGCACCCGCACCCGCACCCGCACCCGGACCGGCACCCGGACCGGCACCCGGACCGGCACCCGCGCCCGCACCCGCACCCACTACCGCGCCCGCACCCGCACCCACTACCGCAGTCGATTCTCTGACAAATGTGCCAGCTGCCATGACATCAACATCCCTAGCTTCTCCACCTGTTCTCGTCGCCAACACATCTAAACGAGCGCCCGAAAAAATTGAGAAACCGTTCAACTTGGTCACTTACAAGTTGCATTCCTTGCCGGACTACCCAGATTCCATTACACGATTCGGGACCACAGACTCGACCTCGACCCAAACTGTACGTTTCATCTCTTTCCCGAGCACTCTTGAATTGACCTGTTTTCTCAGGGAGAGTTAGCTCATCGACTGGTAAAACTGCTCTATCGAAGGACAAATAAGCGGGATCATGTCCGCCAAATTGCGAAACATGAGCATCGTCGACGTTTGATGCGTGCGATGTGGGAAAGGCGTCAATGGTACAAGGATCGAGAGAAGACCATGTCCGCTAGCGCACCAGAGCACACAGCCAATACCGATCAACCGACTGGTCGCCGAAGAAGACTGCGGTCTAGCTTGCGACCCAAACCCCGTTCGTTGTACGGTGCCTACGTGCCACCAGAACAGCACCACTACATATCGGATTCTCGAAGAACATTTTGGCGTCTTTCCGACATCGAGGCCGATACAAACTCTGATTCCGATGGTGACGGACCTGCCGTGGATCCAATGGTACGTCTGCTCAACCTAGCCTATCCCTTTCTCATAAGTTTTGCTTAGGAGATCGATCAGCAAGAAGACCCTGCCTTAAAAGTAGCTTCCAGCACATCTATCTACGACATGCACTAACGCAAAATAGGACTTCATCATCAAGCTCAAGGCCCATTTTCGTTTTCGCCTGCTGGACGTTGAAGATAGCGACATATCCTTCAATCAGGATGAGTTAATGAAGGTCCTCATAGAGAAGGAAATGCTCTATACCCATGCGACAATGAGGGTGAACTATACGACTTACGATGTAAGAAGAGATCAAGACATGCTGAACCCACGCAACCGCAAGTTTTTCATCGTTCACTCGCTGGACCCTGTGGATCCTCACCGCTATTGGTACGGGGAAATCCTGGGCATCTTCCACGCCTATGCGTCACTGGCGGACCGGCCAAGCAAACCAAAACGGCTCGAGTTTCTTTGGGTTCGTTGGTTTCAACGTGATATTAGTTATCACTGTGGGTTCAAGGCCAAACGATTACCTCGCCTGCAGTATATGCCTCACCAACACGAAGATGCATTCGGGTTTCTCGACCCTCAAGATGTTGTGCGGGGTTGTCATCTAATTCCCGCTTTTCAGCATGGTCGCACAACCGATTACCTTCCGAAATCTATTGCCCGCCCCGAAACTGCAGCAGATCAAGACTGGCAATACTACTATGCCAATATGTCAGTGCTCTCAACTTGTATCTGAATCTACTTACAATTTCTGCAGGGTTGTGGATCGTGATATGCTGATGCGGTATCACCAAAACGTCGTTGGTCATCGCAAACTTGTGTCAGTCCCAGTGACTCTGGACAGCGATCCTGAGCCAGCGGATGACAACGTGCCGGACGAGTCAAGCGAAGTAATGGATGTCGATTCAATTGTTCCGTTGGAGAATGGGGAGGATGGGGAGGGGGGAGAGGACCCCGACTGGTGTGCTGACCTGGGTTACGAAAGCGCCGGGGAGGACGAAAGCGCCGATGAAGATGAACCCCTTCAAGGGGATGATGCATTGCACAACCGTTTGGGCTTTGCGGCGGAGTGAAGCTCATTCACCCGCTGGTGAACATGTTGTGCCCGCCGTCACCTTCAGTCGTCACCTTCAGTGACGGCGTCGGCGACATCACCAGTCACCAGCTGCCGCCACCATGCAAACCCACCCCCACAACCCGTCGTTACGAACATCTTGGGCACCGCATGTCGAAGATGGCCCCGGTGCCGTCTATATCCTCGCGGCCGTCAATCCGTACACGGGCCAGCTCATGGTGAAGATTGGAGAATCTGTCGACCATCTACGGCGTCTACGAGAACATCGCTCGAGATGTCGAGGACAGCTTTTCTACCTCAAGCTGGCGTTCTATGTTCCATTTAGAATCCATTTCGGTATGTTTCAATCGAAATTGTGTGCAATAATGGCTCATACTCCCTATTAGAACGGATTGTGCAAGACTTTTTCGACTTCGTATGCCATGCATGGCATGGCCACGTACTCTGCGCTGGCTGCGGCTGCTTTCACGTCGAGTATTTCGACCCCCAACAGTGTGGAAGCTTCGAAGACATCGCGTTCACTGTACACATGCTCATTAGATTACAAGGGTGGGCGGTTGAAAGAATCGACTAAAATACATAAATCATGTTGCAGAATAGTTACTAGTACACAATGAACCTATCTATGAGCCTACAAAGGATTGAAATACTTGAGCAACCCTTGTAAGGGGCTTGAGATCAATTTTCAATGTCACAAGTTGTGACAACATGTCGACCAATTTGGTGATGGGCACAAACCTAAATCAGTTTGTGAATCTCGACGACGACTCCACCCTCGTGGCCAAAGGCATATGCACGGGACCGCCTGGATGAGCTCTCCACGAATATACAACATTCTTGCTGTGTAGATCACGAATACACGAAGTTTTTCATCCTCAAAAGCTTAACACATCGTCATTACCTCAAGACAGACAGCGGCGTCGCTGGAAGCTCTTCTGAGGCAACCAGGACCTGCCGGACGGCGTTCCTGTTGTGCCCCAACAACAGTACTGGGATTTACTGGGACTTGGGGCACGAAATTCCCAAGAGCTGGTTCGTGCCCCATGAATCAATAAGTTTTGGGCCGCACGAAGGCCTCTGGTGTAAACGGTGCGTCTATTTTGGCCTTTGTGTTCCGAGGCTCACCGTTGCCGTCTACAGACCTTCTCGGTCAGCACTGCTGGTCTATCGCTGACATACTTAGTCGATTCGATGACTGCGCCGCCAACGTCATCGTTACTTACACCGAGACTGCGCATCAAGAGCATCATTATTTGGCACTTTTGACGCATCAGCGCATCATGCGAGGGCAACCCGACTGAACTGACACTCTCAGCCTTCGCCGACTTCATTTCCATTTGATGGTATGGGCAAACTTGGTTGACTTCTGTTTTGCAAGATGACCAAATTTTGGTAGCGCTTAACATCTACACCATCCATCGTCGCTCAAAATGCACAAAGCTTAGTATCTACATTGATTTCTGCAGCGAAGCTGTCGCGAGTGCCTTCCATGCACGGCGGTAGCTTTCTCAAACGCGCTACGTGTTTATTACCCCACTGGACGCGCCTGTTTACATTTCTCACAACAGCGGGAGCTGGAGAGTGACACCTGACTGTGTCACTTTCTCTCCCATTCCTATCCTCGGCCTTGCTCTCGATGGACCATAAGTATTCGATACTCTCCGGAAGTGCAAAGCAGAAGAAGACCTGCAACTTCCCGAATACTAGTCCACCAGTTGCAGTGGCTCCGCGTACACCGTCTCTCCCATCACAAGGGCCGACTACACTCGAGAAGAGGGATGGGACACTAGAGTGGCAGCTGGGCTAGGCTCAGATACAACACAAGCGAAGATATGTCAACCCAGTTGTCTCTTGGATCTATTTGATGTCTTCTGCCTTACAATTTGACAGAAGACGTACTCATCAATATTGAGCAGGGCGACCTTGATACGGTCATGGAACGTTCTGAGGAATTCATCGCTACAAACCTTGACGACTTCCCTGAGAAAGACGCAAACGATCTGCTGGCCCAGTATGCAAACCAGATGGCACGGAGTAGCATCACAGACCCCACGCTCCTCTCATGTTCGGTAGGTTGCCTTTCTTGTCGCAACTTGCTTGCATTCATGGTCTTCCATCTTCGTCGCAGCTCTACATGGGACCACCATCATCAACGAGAATACCCCGCGCGACATAACACTTTACATTGCGCAAAAGTGCGGACCAGTCAACGAGGGCTATGAGGGTCAAAAGGTAGCGGTCGTTCAATGTCGTTTTCCAGAGCAGCTCATACTCATCTCTCTCCATCTCCCGCCATCTCGTGTCGGTTATCGACCATCAAATGGGAACTTTCGGAGGGCAAACTCTTGATTTCTCTGTAACTTTCTGCATGTTTAAAGCGCGGCAATGGCAAAAATTGCTCACCGGTCCTCTTTATATCTCTCCATAATTTCCAAATTATTTCACCAGCTACTCATGGTTACTGGGACACGCTCTCGCCTGAAGCGTCAGCACGAGGCCGGAACCAACGGCTCTGCTGCTTGCTTCACGTGCCAGCGAAATCATCACCTCCCGGCCAAAAAGCTTCGCAACATTGCTCGTCAAGCAGTGAGTTTTGTTTCTCCAAAGAAGAGCACTAATAGGGGCGCCAAGAGCAACATACCTCGTGGCTTCAGTCTGGGCCTACTTTCCCAGTTATCATCCAACACTTCCCTTCCGTCCCTTGCTGCATCATCGGTTCAAAGTGAGCCTCATTCGTTTCAGTCCCTACTTAATCTGATATTTCTTGCAGGCTCTTTCTGTTTCAACGATGACGATGCGTGATCTATCAAGTTAGTACATAACCCAACGGCAGAGGCGGAACTGATTGCGGCAGCGGAATCTTGGTATGTGCATATTCCTCATTTGACAGCATTCATCTGACTGCTCTTAAACAAGGCTAAGCACGGTTGGACCAGCACCATTTATGCGTTTTACGATGGCGACATCCATATCGAGTATCGTGGAGGCCAGCTCCATCATATCTTTGTCTGCGCTGCTCGGGGCTGCGGCCATCGCATGGCTTGGAACCAGACCACAACTCGACGAAAAATCTCAAGAAGCATGCAAACAAGGGCACGGACAACGTAACCGACTTGCTGGCCAAAGTATTTGGGGACTGATGTGTTTGGAGTACCGGAGGGCTCAAGGATTGGTGGAGGAAGATGATTTCAAGGTAGTCGCTGTATTACCGACAGTCAACACTAATCTACATTCTTTTCCAAAACATTTTTGCTCTTAATAGCGCAAAACAAATGTATTCCTGCCACCTATACACAGTGTTGTCTTGAACTGAACTTCAATAAGCTGGAACTAGTCAAAAAATCTGCGGGCCATCAGCGGGTCGCCGGGCCGTCGGCGACCGGGTTTGAGGCGCCGTACTTGCAGGCCAACCCGAGGGGATGATTCGCCAAGACATTGCTTTATGATCCGTGTGGCTGGCCCGGCCCGCTCAATCGGTCAACCGTGCCGTTGCCGCATGGTGATAGTATCTCTCTCCGGTCAAAGCAATCGAAGAGAGTGAGGCGGTCCATCAGTTTGCTGAATTATTGGTCGATTCTCACCGGCTCATAAATGAATGACGAAGTACTTGGCAAGGAAGTAAGATACTACATGATGTAATTAAGAGGAAGTCGACATATAAAAAATCGGAAGTAGAGCAGCGTGAAAGTGACTCGCTTTATTTTCCCAGGCAAGTCCACAATGGTCCCAGGACCACATACGACCACACTTTGAATGATCGTCGTCGATGCTAACGCATAATGCATGTTCCTCGAAAATACGTTTAGGTTCGGCCTGTATTGCAACAGGCTCCAGCAAGGACCTGATCAAGCTTGCACGTGAGGCTGGACGCGGGGGCGAAAATAAAGGTGGTATGACTAGAAGGCAAACAGCCGGAAGAGAAAGTGTATGCGCGAGAATTTCAAGGAATTGCGTTTGGACGAAGACGTTGTGTTCGCTATCGAACGGAAATAGCCCGTCGACATCAAGAAAGTCTAAATGACGAAGCCTGCTCCCTGTCAACGAAGACAAGAGCTTTGCTCGACCACCAGTGAACTCGATATAAGCCGAAATGTCGCCGATAAGACGCAGCACAACAATGGTCGAAAGGTGGGTCCCGTTCACCGAGATGAAATTGTTCACGTTCTGCACACTGACCAGATGCAGTGAGAGACTGTGTAGTTTCGGAAGGTGGACTAGGGAAAGCAGGAAACCACAGTGATGTGGAAAGGGCATGTTGCAGAGAAAGGACAGGGTGTGCAGGTAAGGCAGAACGACTGGTTTGTGGGGCACAGGCTGGTTTGTGAAGGACTCATCCACATCAATGAAAAGCGTTTCGAGATGGGGAGTTTGACGAAGAGAGTCCAACAATGTCGTCGTGAAAGTGAAAGAAGCCGTATCGTCCTCGGCCAAGTAAAGGTTTGTTAGAGACAACGATATCAGGTTGGCACCAACGACAAACGACGACGGAAGCAATCCGTCAAGATAAAGATCTTGGAGGTTTGCTGCGAGGTCCGGAAACGAATGTGGGGCGGCATCTCCGAGTTGGTTGTGCAGGGCGGTAGGAGAAGTCGCATAGAAGGATCTGAGCGAGAGAAAGCGGGGTTGAGGACTGGCCGCTGATAAATGGTCGACAAATGTGTTCCAGGCGGAATAGGAAATATATTGAACGGAGATATGAGTGACTGTCTCCGCTTTGGCAACCAGCAGAGCGGCAATCGAAGACAAAAACATGGTATCCAATTCCGAGTCCAGGTCAAGGTCGATGCGCAAACGTTTCGGAGCTTGCTTGGCAAGTCGAAAAACCTTGTCGATGTAATACTGAGGCATTCGCGGGACCAGAATTATGTGCGACCACAAGGCGGGAAGTGACTCCAAGGTGAATTTCCAACACCTGCACACCGCCCCAAGAGCCATCTTTTGCCGAACGTCGTTGTGCCATTCGACAGAAAAGTTCAAGGCAAGACAGGCTTCGAAGATGACCCCAAGGATGTCGATCATTGTCAAAGCTTCGTTTGTTGCGGGTGTGGGAGGTGAAGTGACGCTGGGCGTCATGTTTGAAGTGGGCGATTCAGTTGGGACGATAAGTTCTATAACGTAGGCGCTCGGTCTGCCTGTTTATATGGACTATAGCGAGTTCCGCGCTTCGAAAACTTCCGCTCTTCGAAGAGTTCCGCTGTCTGGAGAGTTCCGATAGCATGATCATGCAATTTGCCATAGAGGCCCGAAGACGCGTCGGATAGTCGGTAAATCAGTGAGCAAAGTACGAGGGACAGTCTATGTGAAGTCAGATGTTGTTGTCGTTCATTGACTTAGCACTCACCCGGCCCAAACGATCATCCAACTTGCCAAAGGGCAAAGGCGTTCAACCTGTTTTGTTTGCGGACAATATTTTGGGAAGCAGCTTGGAGTAGATATAACAGCTGGGGCAAGGTGGTAGGTTTTCATGGAAGGGGTGAAGCAAAGTGTAAAAGACGGGCGAGGCGAGTTCGAGTACGAGCATCGACGGTGGCGTTAAGTCAAGACAGGAGGAGATTTTCGACAGACTGCGGATAGCATCTGGAGTAGATAGTGGTGTAGTGGTCGCAAGGCAAGTTGAGACAACAAATTATGTTTAATTTAAGTTGAAGGGGACCGGGACCCGCTCGGCTTCCTCAAGGCAAAAGAAAAACACTTTTGAGGTTTTGCTTTACCCTGCTACGGTCCTATTCGTTGCGATTCAAAGTGAATTTCTGGACCTCTAGCCATGGCTTTGGTTCGTGATTGCAAGCACCTGTGTTCTTTCGCCGAGACACCATCATCTGGCCTAGTTGCGGTCAATGGCCAAAAGGTGTCAGATCCGTCCATCCTGCTCGAAAGTGAACATGGAAACCCACTGTTCAACATTGAGCGGATGTCGATGTGGTCGGAAGGCGGCCCGTCACATATCGTGACATCACAATTCCAAGGCTTCGTGCAAACGCCCAAGGTCCAGAGCGCGACCCTCCAGCGGTTGTCGTTGGACGAACCAAGAGCGAACCCACGTTTGGTTCGTCACGGTTGCGCAGCAAGGCTTCGTCCTTTAATCCTGACGCTAAATTCTCCCACAAGTAAGAGTTGTCCTTGTTGAATATCCGCCGTCGCTAATTCTGGCGTAGACGTTCTCGCAACACCTCAGTCTACTGCTACATCGTCTACTGATATCTAGGCCAGCATCTCTCCCAATGCGACGAACGGCGGGTTTCCCTGTTCACCCCCACCAAGGACAATACTTCGTGCGTGCTTAATTCTCCACTTTTAAATATCTAATGCGCGCTCTCAAATCCAGTGGGCCTCGCATTGCGTGGGTCACAATATGCTCTAAACTAATGGAGTCCATAACGGCTGCTCGCGCTTTCAATTCCCAAGCTCTTAGTCTGCTGCTATCTCAGCTACCAGCACTCCCAATGTGGCGAGCAGCGGGTTTCCCTGCTCACCGCCACGAAGTCGGGGTTGTGTTGCTGCCCAATCCAGTCATTGTGTAGGCCGACGAGCCCAGTGACTGCTTTATGGTAGATTATGCAGTGGATCGACGACATCTGAGTCCGCATACTTGGACTGTCCCCTCACACTTTCCTCGTTGATTTACCAACTGGATCGGGCCATCACTTCGTGGCAATATTATCAGCATGCCATCAAGGTATCGGAACTCTTTGAAGAGCGAAACTCGTTATGGTCCATATAAACAGGCAGACCGAGCGCCTACATTATAAAACTTATCGTCCCAACCGAATCGCCCACTTCAAACATGGCGCCTTGCGTCACTTCACCTCCCACACCCGCAATGAATGAAGCTTTGGCAATGGTCGACATCCTTGGGGTCATCTTCGAAGCCTGCCTCGCCTTCGATATTTCCATCACATGGCAGAACGACGTTCGGCAAAAAATGGCTCTTGGGGCGGTGTGCAGATGTTGGAAACTCGCCTTGGAGTCTATTCCCGCCTTGTGGTCACACATCATTCTGGTCCCGAGAATGCCTCTGTATTACATCGACAAGGTCTTTTGGCTTGCTAAAGCAACTCCGAAACATTTGAGCATCGAACTCGACCTCGACTCGGGGAGGGACATCACGTTCTTGTCTCACATTGCCGCTCTGCTGGTTGCCAAAGCGTCATCGGTTGCCTATCTCTCCCTCCAATATTGGTCCTATTTCGTCTGGGGTGCATTTATCCGCTACATATCGGCACTGAACCCTCGACCAACCTTTTCCTCACTCAGAAAGTTCTCCGCCACCCCAGCCGATACCTCGATCGACTCTGCCACAACACTCCCTCGTCCCTTTCCGGGTCTTGCTCAATCATTGGAGCACCTCCATCTCGACGGACTACCTCCTTGCTCGTTTATGGCCGGCTTCAACATTAAAACATTGGTCTTCAGACACTATAATCTCGTTTCCAACCGCGTGGCTTCCTCCGCTTTTACTCCCACCTTACTGGACTGTTTTCGTCAACTTCCCCGCCTTGAAAGCCTCGCTATCGATGTCACTGAGCCTTTCATTGCCCAGTCTCCTTCCTACCATCCAGTTGTTCTTCCCCGTCTGAACTACTTGGCTTTTTGCTGTGATACACCGTATCCCCACGCTTGCGGTACCCTGATCTCCCTCCTCCATGTCCCACAAATCCGGACCCTCGCATTGCGTCTCGCCAGTCTGTCTAATACGAATGACTTTCTTTCCATAAACGCAACTCGAATCTCTCAAGTGACTACGTTACGTCTAATCGGGGCTATTTCTGCTTATATCGAGTTTACCGGCGGTCGAGCAAGGCTTTTGTCTGGGTTGACGGGCAACAAACTCCGAATCCTAGATTTTCTCGATGCGAGTGGCACGCTTGAGTTCGATCCGGGACGGAAGGTCCTTGTTCAAACACGATTCCTTGATATCATTGCGCATGCACTCGCCCTTCCGACTGTTCATCACCTGGTTGTACCGCTGTTACTTTCACCCATATACCCAGACTCGCATGCGAGCTTGATCAGGTCCCTTTTCGAGCCCGTTTCCATTCACGGCAAAGGGAAACATATTTTCGAGAACCACGCTCTGTGTCATGTTTCGGACAGTGTTCATTCGAATTGCGGTCGCCACTGGACCTGGGACTATCATGGACTCCACTGGGAAAGATACAAAAGCTAGTTGCCTCCTGTGCATTCCCCCCCCGGGTTGACTGAGTGGCATGGACTGAGGCGCGTCGAGCAAACCTACATATAGTAGTTCTTATACCAGCTTGCCTCAGTAGACGCTTGAACAAAATCATACATTGCTTCCTGTTTTTGACGTCTTGCCATTTGTGAGAGAACATTATTAATGACAGAGTTTCTTTTATATGTACAAGATTTGGGTTTTTTAGGCCAAAAATATGGGTGGGGCGTGGATCGTCGCCAAGACCTTAGTAAGGTCAGCCTGAAAAATAGCTCGGCATTTGGGTAAAATCTACCGGACAGACCTAGCAAAGCTGCTTTTCTTTTGCAGGCTTATGCCCATCTCTCGTTGCAAAGCGGCCAGGTCTCGGACACGCTAGAGCAGACTTCTGAGCCAAATATGCAACAATCTTCGAGCCAAATTACATGATGTGACAAGCGTTATTATTTTGTCGCTCTGATCCCAAATGTCCGTCACATTTGTCACAGTCCGGAGTATCGGTCAATCAAATCATATTCGGCTTTAAACGGATTGTGAACTCGCACCAAAAGTTGTGACTGGACAAATTCTGTGCTTTGGAAAGAATGTTGCCCTCGTCGTGGGACTCAACATCTACCTCCAGCAACGACTCGCGATTGCCTACTTCTCAACCCAGGAGCTCTCCCAGTTCAAGACGGTCGAGTGGGTTTTCGTCTGCATCTTCATCGTTTGTTGCTTCATTGCCGACTGCCTACTCGACCTACGCGGTTTCTGCCCAATCACCTACCCCCAAACGCGCCAGAAACTTTTCTGAGCGCGAGGATCACATATCCTCAGATTGGGAATGCGATCTTGCATATGCAGTTGTCCACGCTTCTGACTGCACTACCTGTCGCGCCTACAAAGCCCATGTTTCCGATGCTAAAAAGTCGTCTCCAAATATTCAACGGGCACTCCAAGACCGTGACAAGCGGCTTGATACTTATTTTGCTGACGGTGTTGAAGAAGGCCGTCGTACTCAACAGGTACAACAGGATCAAATCCACGAGCTTGAAGGGGCGAAAGCGGACGCAACTGCGCTGGTTGCCCATCTGAGGGCAGAAATACGCGAATCCTCTGCCCAACAAAGTCAGCTGCAATCTCAGCTTCTTCTCTCTCAGACAGAATGCGAGGCTCTTATGAAGCGTGTACAAGAACTCCTTCTGGCCATGCCAACGGAGAACGCCAACGCTCTGTCCAAGTCAGAATGTGGCTTACGACTTGTTAGACCTGAACCCGAATCAGTTGCTCAACATGCCCTTCCTCCACGTCCAGAGGTGTACCTGCCCTCTCCTTTCCACCACCCGATCCGCATGCCACGAACATTGCGACAGCTTCAGTTACTTATAAGCAAAGCTCATCAGCCTGGGAACGACGACACACTCACCCGCATCAAAGCTCTTTGCACTGAAGCCCACAATACTCCGAGAGAACAGAAAACGGAGATGCAGCGTTATATCCTTGCCAATTGGCGTAATCCTGAGCCAGCGACAGCAACTTCCAGCTTGCATGGTCATTCCCAGCTGCCTCTTCTTTTAGGCTCCCATCGCTCTGTCCAACCTCGCGTCAACAACCCACGAGCTGACGACCCAACTGAGGTCTGGCATGCTTATCTGACGGTGCATCAAGGCTCTTGGCCTCGTGGGGTTCGTAAAGAGGCTGATGGAAGCCCTCATTTCGACGACCTCAAAGCAAGTCGTACGGTTGCCCGACTTAGGCCGACTGGTGGGGACTCTTCGTTTCGCAACGAATGGATGTCCTGCGTAGTTGGAATATTTGCTACGCCTGGGATGTATGCTGATCTTCTGCGCCGGGAAGGTTTGGTGGTGGCACCCAGCCACATGGCCCTTCGTCAACCATACTCTGCCTCAAACGCGATTCGAGTGGAAAACGTTGTTCGACACCTTGCTAATGCTGGCGTGACTGTTGCTGATGCCGAAAGAGAAATCGAGGCCTGGGCAAGGGAGTACCAAGCCACAATAATCTATCCCAACGACGCAAAGTCGTGTTCCAACAAATCTAATGACCCGCATCACAATACCAACACCACGTTGCGGTATTCTCGTGGAACAGGATTGTATGACCTGGAGAAGGAGCGCTTTGGATGGCGTTGAGCGGTGGCTCAAGTTTTTTTTCCTCGTTCATTTCTGGTACATACAAATGGCAATTTCCGAATCAGCAACGTCAGCGTTAGTCGTCAGCATAAAGAAACCCCAAGTACGGGTAAAATAATTGTAGCATTCAAGTTGCATCTCATCACCAATGCTCTTGGTTCGTCCAACATGGAGTCGACTCCTTCCCTTGAAAATTGCGGAGGCGGGTCGGAGAATGTAACAGTGCCCGAAGCGGAAATTTGCGCAAAAGCTTCGGTCTAGACGACACGTTATATCGTTGAGAGCCCTAAGAGACAAGGCACACACCATGCTCAAAAGCAACGATCGCACATCGTCCCCACCAGCCGAGCAATCTCCGCCAAACCCAGAGCAACATAGGTTGCTGTCAATTTCCGCAACGTCCACCTAGGAGCACGCTCGATCGCCTGAGCGCCAAATTTTTGTCTGCAAAGAACAGCGGCTTCTCCTTGTCCACGAGCCCATGCAACGTTTCGATGTTTTGCGGGTAAGCATTGATGAGCTCGGTGTTAACTGAGTTTTTGAACATGCGAGGCAAGCTTGAATGCGCATATTTGGGAAGCGAGGTCGTCTCTCCGCGCGAGATGAGTTGGATAAGTCGAAGCTTCTTTAGTGTCTCAAGCTGGAGTGCCAGGCGCTGATCCCGGCACAGTCACACAAATCTCCAAGTATTCCTCCGCCTCCGCCCATCTTTTCAGCATTGCAAGCACGCCACCGAGATAATGATCGACGAGGTCAACAAGGAAGACTTGAACAGATATCTCGCCGACACAAGAGATTGTCTGGCCAAGAAGCCTTCTATGAACATTGACAGAGCGATGAAGGTACGTGAATACTGAAACCATCTTTTCATATCTCATGCTTGCAGCCTGAACCTGGCGAAACAAGGCCAAAGTCTTTCCCTCGGGGAAAAAAACGTGTGCGCAAGCACTCACTAGTTCCTCCAATTGCACTCAGCACCGGCCAACACAAAAAGCCTCGCATGTCGTCCGCATTGGGTGAAAAGTACACCACAACTCCCGTTGTAAAAGCCAACCTCTCCGAGAGTCTGGCTGGTCTCAATCATAAAGCCAGCGTATTGCACAAGCCTTTGTCCATCCCTCCTTCGTTGCCCACTTTAACTACAAGCAACGGGCCTGGTAACTTCAAGCCAAGACCTCTTCCCAAACCGATCAACAAATTTCCTGCTGTTAAACGTGATGACAGTCCGCCCGCAAACATACTTCCGATGGAGAAGTCTCCAGCTACAAACGACGACAGCCCTACGCAAAAAGCCCATGACCACCATGCGCGTTCTTCTTTCCAATCCAGGGTCGACAACTTCTCACCGGAAAAACATACTCTTGCCACATTGCTCAACGAGATAGATCCCACTTTCGTTGTTTTTTTGCCCTTGTTTCACTCAGCCGGCATTTACAGACTGTGCGACTTTTACGACTTTGGCACTTCCGATACTATGCACGCAGCGCTCGAAGGCCTCCGAACTCTCGATCTCACTCGTCGACTATCACAACTCCGAGTTCTGGAAACACCTCCGTTGTCCTCTGCAGAATACTCAACCACGTCCGATGGCTTGCAATCGAGCCCATCGACATCTCGGAGCTCAATTTTCGCTTGGTCAATGCAACACATCCTGTATCAAATTCGACTCGAAGAGCCGTGCTCGCGGGAATGGCCATAGGCGTTGTATGTCGGCTGCCCAGAGTCACGCATCAAGAGCATTAGTCTACGAAACCATCCACGAAGAGTTAGCCAGCCCAGCTACCTTTAGCATTCGAACTGCCGAAGAACCACGAGGGGATGCAAGCTCTGTTGCAACACTCTGTACAGTCCACTTCAGTATGAACTTGGGCATCCTTGGGTGCGTTCAAGATCGTCTTCGAGGCCATCGCGTGCCCTTCCCGCGTCAAGTGCTTTCACAGAGTCACCGAACACTATCACGAACTCTCCTCGACCTTCTGGAGACAAGGAGAAGAACCGGGACCTGCTGACTGCGACGCGGCGCTGCGAAGTGAACTCACCGACCTCAGGTATGCCCAGCATCGTCTTGCCGCGGATATCAAGGATCTTACTACTGAAAGAGATGACCTTGTGACAATTTGCCGTCGCCGCGAGACTGAGGTAGCCAAGCTAGAGGATTGTGCCGCGCAAAGGGAGGAGCGTATTGGCCGGATGAAGAAATCACGCTTCGCCAACACGGCGTTGTCCTTGGTCTACTTTGTGGCGTCAAGCACGAGGATGAATCCAAGGGATTGCTACTTATGAAAGCTGAATCGGAGCTTTCTCGCGCCAAAGCCCACGCACAACAGTTAGTTGTCCAACGAAAAGGTCTCATCCAAGCGAAGGTTGATGCGAAGGTCGACGACTCGGAGGAGGAGGAGGAGGATTCAGACGCTGTGATTGAGCTCTCTTCTGATCTTCCAGATGTGAGCATTGGGTAAACTGAGACTACCCTGAGTATTTTGTATTACTTGAGCATTCAAGCTCATCACGCGTCAACGTATGTCTGTGACGTTTGTGTGTGACTTTTGTGACAGACGCGTTTTGTTTACTCCACCAACGTGAGTAGGTTTTCCTCAGTGCTCATGTGGCCTCAAACGCTTTTATAGCGCGTATTCTAGCCTCCTCAATGCTCTCTTCTACGCCAGCCTCTTGTGGCCCGGTGCCAGTGTCCCTGCGTTGCGTGCCTCCTCGAGAGGCCGGCTCTGCCAAGCTCTCTGCGGGAAGGACTAGTAGGGACGGTTGGCGCGACGACAATCGCGTCCTGGAGAGCCAAAGGAGCGTACAGGTGTGTGCGTAAGAACCGCTGCAGTTCCGTACTTACTCGGGCTTCGTGGGCACAGGCCACGGGCGGTCTCAAGCGTAAACAAAGCTCTGACGTCTTGGCGCCTGCATACGAAAACGTGTACCAGGGCAATTGTCTTCTGGCTGATCTGCTGCCTCAGTACAAAGAGGAGCATGCGCAACACCGCGGTGGACTTGAGGCTTCAGCCCAACCTTACGAGGACGAGCCCTTGCACAACCCATACAACGATTTGCTGGCCCTGATTGGCCCACGTCGTTCGCTCAGGCTAGCCAACCTACCGCCTTCTCCTCGCGCATCAAGCTTGGACCTCCACGCACTCATCCATAAACGACCTCGCATTTCCAACAAGCCTAGCCCCGCCTCACACCCTGAACTTGAACTCAACGTTGAGACGACTTCGGCCTTGGACCACCTCCCGTCATCCCACCTTCCTGCCTCGCTCAAAGGGGCAGAAAGAGGGCCTCTTCCCAAGCGTAGTAAGAAGGATGATCGTTATCTCCTTCCAAAAAGCCGCGCCTTGATACAACCTGACGGCGACTGGAAACTTCTGAAGGCCTCGCCTTCACTGACGGAGTCAACGGCGGCGCCTACGTTCTCACAGAGTGCATCAGCATCAACTGCAGATGACGGCCCAAGCGCGAGCGTCACTTCAGCGGCGAAGAGACGTAGAAGAGGTGCTGGCAGCAAACGCAACAGATCTCACCGTAGAGGCCCCAAAACTGAGGCAAGCGCGTCTAGAGAGGTGGCCAAACTTTGGTCAAGAGGACAGTGGCTGCAGTCCCAATCGTTCTCACTCTCCTCCGACTCCTCTGTAGCCTCCAGCGGGTTGCAGGGCGTTCCGCCACCTCTTTTGAGCAGGGCTCTGCTGTTGCAGCTCTGGCATTCAACTGAAGTCAAGGGAGAGGCGCTGCACAAGTATATTCGATTGTTTTATCCCTCCTACTATCATAAGGAAGACGTGTGAGTTAGGCAATCTTTCTGGTAACCATGTCTGAATTCTTTTAGCGTATCACAAGAACGCCCTACTTTTTATGTCGATCGCAACGACGTCATCTTCATGTATCGTTCCTCGCGTATCCCTTGGTTTTTGGAACAAGATTCAATGCAGCAAATTGAAGAGGCACACGACCTGTTGGTTGGCCGTGATCTGGAAGACCCCGCATTACGCGCTGAGTGTCAGGATGGTAGACGGGGGCCTCATATGGCAATAATAATCGGACATCACCGACAATCTGCAAAGGTATTCTTGTTGTCTGTAAACTGTTTGCATTGGCTGATGGACCAAAGGCCCCATTTCTCACTGAGTGGCATCGCCGGCATGAAGATAGGGTGTCCAGGTTCCTCTTGCTACCCATCATCCGTGAGCCTGCCGTTTTCTGGCCCTGTCATAGTGCTAACTGTGGCTAGCGGGTTAGTCGAGGACGTGGTCACCAAGGTGTTTCCTGGTGTAGCTGCACGATTCAAAAAAGAATCTGCTTGGCATAAACGCCAGCACGGAATCAGTCCTCTCTTTGGACTCTTTTGGTGTTTCTGCTTAAATGCTTGGTTTCCTGGCCAATCTCGTATCTCCTGCGGGCCACATGCCGACAGCAAAAACCAGATAGGAGTCTGCGTGCTGTTTATCTACGTGCTGGCCAACGGTGTGTGGGAGCGCGATTCTTGGAGCACTTGACTAAGCAACTTCCAGCTCATTTCAACGATGATCTCAGGACGTGGTTGGTTATTTGGGAAGAGGGCCTAGTGGTGCAGTTGCCTCCCTGGACACTGGCAGTTTACCCTTCCGCCCTGTTCTGGCATTTCAATATTGATGTGGATGGTAAGTTCGGTGCTTAATATTATTGTGGGTGCTAGCTTAAATATCTTCAGGCATCAAGTTCGTCACCACTCAAGGAGATGTCCGTCCCACTCCGGAAAACTCCAAGCCTCTGTCCGATGGCGACGAATGTGGACGTGGGAGCATGGTTTTCTTCAACCAAGCCTCCATGAGCACAGGCCCTTTACTGGGGTTTGACACCATTGCAGAAGCAAAGAGGGCGGGTTTGTCTGGTCAAGTAGACATCGGTGAGACCATCAGCGAAGCCTTCACAAGGCTTGGTAATTACATCTCTATGGGCAGTAGAAACAGTGAATAGTCTCTATAAACCAGTTTGAATCCTGCTGCAGAACGCATCAATACCTCCAAGTCTGCATCCATGCTTATCAACCCAATTCCTCCTCAACAAGCCCTGCAGTCAAACCTCGTTGGCCGTCAAAGGTGGCCGACCATCATGCAGTTCGGGTGTGCTTGATTTTACAGGTTGATTCAAGAACTGCATCACCAGTTTTGTTCTCTGGTGCAGAAGAATATAACGCCCAAGACAGAGAATTTGACTGATCACGTGTTCATGTCGATGATTATCTTTACTCCGCTCCGTGAACGGGCAGTCCAAGCAACACACATTCTCCCACAATCTTCCAACCCCACCACAATTTGAAGAGACCAAAGGTTTGTTGCTGGCGCTCGCCAACATCTTATTTATCACTGCCAATTAGCTGCTCAAGGTGTAAACGCCTGTTGTAGTAGCGGTGTACTGGATGTCCCATCTCATTCTCCAGTCACCATGTATGTCTAAACTTGAAATTTTTGCAGATATACGGCTCCAAAACTGACGGTGTCTCTTCTGAATCAAGCTGCGGAGCCTCAATCGCTTCCACCGTCAGCGCATTGACTGAACCTCCCGAGAGCGACGACGGAGGAGAAATGGAAACTCTTGTCATCGCCCAGGTGAACAAAGCTCGGAGAGAGGAGGTGGAGCTCGAGCTTGAGGTGGCAAGAAAGGGGGTCGTGGCAAGGGTCATGGGGCGGGGGGCAAGTAGAAAGGGCAAGGAGCGTGAAGTCCAGGACTCCGAAACCGAGACCGAGAGCATCCCGCTGGCACCTCCACCACCACGGCCAAGACCTGTTCCTCGACGCCGAGTGGTCACTGACGAAGGCTGATTACTAGTGGCTAAAGTGAAGTTGGTACTAGATAGTGCGCTGCTAACCACATTGATCTGTAAAACGGACTTCCCAGTAACTCGAATTGAATTTGTGCATTCCAAATCGCATTCTTAATACGAGTTTCGCAAGTGTCTCGGAGAGATAGAGCCGCAGAGCGCGTGCAGCGGCCATGACAATTGAAAACGCGTTTATGACAAAGCGCATGTGATCGATTTCGATGAAATCATTGCTTGTCAACGAACCACCACCACACGACAATGCTCTACGAGGACGTTGCAAGACGAAGCGGAAGTCTGGGGCTGTTCGGTTGCAAGGGAGAGAAGCACTAATGGGACCGTGGGGGGGGGCAGAATAGAAGGCTGGACTGGGCGAGAACAAGCAGTGGGGCAACAAAGACTTTGCGCTAGTGTGGCCCGTCGGCAAGGCGTAAGTAGTCATCTTCCGCCGCTCAACGCTCTCTCATGCTTTTCAGGGAGCTAAGTTGGCTCATTCCATGAGCTCAAAACTCAGCGGTATGCATCCACGGTAAATGATTACAACCACTCTTTTCTGACTTTACCACCAGGCCCAGTCGTTAGCAGTCGTTGGTATCGACTTGGGAATCACCAACTCTTGTGTTTCTGTCATGGAAGGCAAGATGTCTCGTGAGAACTCGAAGCGCCCGCACATCACCCTCTCTCGTTGCCTTTGCTGATCATGGTGAGCGACTGTTGGTCTCCCCGCGAAGCGAAAAGCCGTGGTCAATGCGACGAACACCGTCTTCAATCGCCTTATGGGAGGCAGTTCAATGACAAGGCGGTTACCGACAACCGCAAACACTGGCGTGTTCGTCAATCTATTTTTCTTGCCTTAGTGACTCTGTTTGTTGGCTATTTGCCATCGTCAGCAAGGGTGGCGGCAGGCCAGCTGTTCAGGTTGAATACGATGGAGGGAAGAAAACTTTCGTATGTTCTTCTTCCAAATTTGATGGCTTCAAGCTGCTGAGTCGACAGTCAGCAGAGGAACTTTCTTCCATGGTGTTAACCAAAATGAAGGAAACGGCGGAGCAATACCTGAAGCAGAAAGTCGACCACGCTGTCATCACAGTCCCAACCTATTTCAACGACGCTCAACGGCAAGCTACTAAGGATGCTGGGCAAATTGCTGGACTGAATGTCCTTCGTGTCATTAACGAACTCACGGCGGCTGCTCTCGCCTACGGACTGGACAAAGGCAGCAAAGCTAGAATCGTCGCTGTCTACGATCTTGGTGGTGGAACTTTCGATATATCCAATCTCGAAATGCGCGACGGCGTCTACGAAGTCGAGTCCGCCAACCATGACAACTTGGTGGTGAAGACCTCGACATTCTCCTCGTTGACCACATCCTCAAGGAATTTAAATCCAAGCACGGTATTGATCTCAATGGCCATCCAAATACTGCTTCAAATCTTTTGCGCGCCGTCCAGCACGTTTCCCTGTTCATCTCCACCAAGGACAACACTTCGTGCGTGTTTTATGCCTACACTTTGAAAGATCTAATGTGTGCTCTCAAATCTAGCGGGCCTCGCATTGCGTGGATCACAATATGTTCTAAACTAAAGGAGTCCATAACGGCTGCTCGCACTTTCAATTCCCAAGCTCTTAGTCTGCTGCTATCTCAGCTACCAGCACTCCCAATGTGGCGAGCAGCGGGCTTCCCTGCTCACCTCCACGAAGTCGGGGTTGTGTTGCTGCCCAATCCGGTCATCGTGGACGCCGACGAGCCCAGTGACTGGTTTATGGCAGATTATGCAGTGGATCGACGACATCTGAGTTCGCATACTTGGACTGTCCCCTCAGACTTTCCTCGTTGATTTACCAACTGGACGACGCGTTTTCGGGAAAGGCCATCACTTCAGAGCAACATTATCAGCATGCCATCAAGGCATCGGAACTCTTCGAAGAGCGGAAGTTTTCGAAGAGCGGAACTCGTTATGGTCTATATAAACAGGCAGACCGAGCGCCTACGTTATAGAACTTATCGTCCCAACTGAATCGCCCACTTCAAACATGACGCCCAGCGTCACTTCACCTCCCACACCCGCAACAAACGAAGCTTTGACAATGATCGACATCCTTGGGGTCATCTTCGAAGCCTGTCTTGCCTTGAACTTTTCTGTCGAATGGCACAACGACGTTCGGCAAAAGATGGCTCTTGGGGCGGTGTGCAGGTGTTGGAAATTCACCTTGGAGTCACTTCCCGCCTTGTGGTCGCACATAATTCTGGTCCCGCGAATGCCTCAGTATTACATCGACAAGGTTTTTCGACTTGCCAAGCAAGCTCCGAAACGTTTGCGCATCGACCTTGACCTGGACTCGGAATTGGATACCATGTTTTTGTCTTCGATTGCCGCTCTGCTGGTTGCCAAAGCGGAGACAGTCACTCATATCTCCGTTCAATATATTTCCTATTCCGCCTGGAACACATTTGTCGACCATTTATCAGCGGCCAGTCCTCAACCCCGCTTTCTCTCGCTCAGATCCTTCTATGCGACTTCTTCACCCCGCCCTCAAAGCCAACTCGGAGATGCCGTCCCACATTCGTTTCCGGATCTCGCAACAAACCTCCAAGACCTTTATCTTGACGGATTGCCTCCGTCGTCGTTTGTCGTTGGTCCCAACCTGATATCGTTGTCTCTAACAAACCTTTACTTGGCCGAGGACGATACGGCTTCTTTCACTTTCACGACGACATTGTTGGACTCTCTTCGTCAAACTCCCCATCTCGAAACGCTTTTCATTGATGTGGATGAGTCCTTCACAAACCAGCCTGTGCCCCACAAACCAGTCGTTCTGCCATGCCTACACACCCTATCCTTTCTTTGCAACATGCCCTTTCCACATCACTGTGGTTTCCTGCTTTCCCTCGTCCACCTTCCGAAACTACACAGTCTCTCACTGCATCTGGCCAGTGTGCACAATACCAACAGCTTCATCTCGGTCAACGGGACCCACCTTTCGACCATTGCTGTGCTGCGTCTCATCGGCGATATTTCGGTCTATATTGAGCTAGCTGATGGTCCAGCAAAGCTCTTGTCTTCGTTGACAGGGAGCAGGCTCCGTCATCTGGACTTTCTCGATGTTGACGGACTATTTACGTACGATAAAGCACATAACGTCTTTGTCCAAACGCAATTCCTCGAAATTCTACGGCATACACTTTCTCTTCCGAATGTTCGCCTTGTGGCCATACCGCCGTTATTCTCGCCCCCACGTCCAGCCTCGCATGCAAGCTTGATCAGGTCTTTGTTGGAGCCTCTTCCGGTACACGGCGAACCTAAACGCATCTTTGAATCCCATGCATTGTGTCTCGGTATGCGCGGCAAACATTCAAATTGTGGTCGTATGTGGTCATGGGACTATTGTGGGCTTAGCTGGGAACCCACAGCGAGTCATTATCGACCTGCTCTCCTGCCCATCTTTTATCTTTCGACTTTATCTTAGATGGACCTCACATCCAGCGAGATGTCTGCCAAGAAATGTTTCCATAGCTTAATCAAATGTCATCAATTCACTTCCTGGTCTCATTTGCTCCATGCACTTTCGGTGACATCCAGTCTGAATCCGAGAACTTAACACAAGACCGCGTGTTTCCTTGTCGGGACCTTCACCGGGAATATACGTTCTTTTCGTTTTTTTTTCAATTTTTCACCGAGCGCAATAGGTTTTCGACGCGAAGAGGGAGATGACGAGTTACAAGTGAAGCATCAAGTGTCCGTGTCCTACCAGAGCTTGTCAGCAGAAAAAGCGAGGGCACTTCGGCTGAGAAGCATCGAGAAAATTGGTCGAGACGGCGGACCACGCACTTCGAAGGTGCAGATGGCGCAGATGGAAGATAATGCCCGAGATAATTGAGATAGCTGTCTTCTCGGTGGGGAAGCCCTGAAAAGGCGCCAGGGCCCGAGATATCGCTGCTAAGCCTAGATAAGTGCAAAGGCGCCATGGTGGTAGAGAATTGGCTCCCATGTCCCAATCATTTGGAAGTTTGGCATTCATGCATCGCGAAATTTTCCTCTCTCTCTCTCTGGAGACACAGAAACGTTTAACGACTAATGTTCGACCACAAATACTTGACATGACTTGACGTATTCGTTCATGATATAATTTTTCGACCTTCTACTGAGTTCCGACCGGCGCGCTCAAAGCCCTTCAAGATGAGATAGCGGTAATATGCTTCAATACTCATCCTCCCACTCTCTCCTCTTGCGCTTGCGCAGCGTATCAAGCTTCTTAATGGTAAAGTTTCGCGACAACAACGGGGGGAGTTCTGCAGGCCAAGGTGTTTCCAGAGGCTGACAGAGACATTTAGCCATTGAAGGTAGAAACCGGCAACACTCACGAGGAAAATCAGGCAACTTCTGGGCAACTTCCAAGTAGCGACCCGCATGATTCGGGAGATGAATCGACCCGCCAGTGTGCCCCACAGCTCGTCCAGCACATTGGCGCGCACCGAACGCGGTAGCTGGAAGTGCTTATCAATGAGGCTGACGTATTATCGTATCATCATCAATGGTGTGACATTTGGGTCGGAGTCATGGATTGTTCTTGCTCGATTTCTTCCTATTCCTTCTTGACGCAATGCATCCATACTCTGTTTCAAGTGAGTGAATGGTACGTCTGTTTATATCTCAAGGAAGAGTTTTTGTCTAATTTTGGGGGTCAGACACATACATCCTTCGAGTCACTTCTCGAACATCACCTCTGCCTCAACAACCGACCTCCCATGTCTCCATATACCGATGTTAAACCAGCCTGTTTGTCTGACCCAAGGCAGCTCGTCTTCTTTGACTACAACTCACCTCTGCCGTTCTACTATCCAACCTCTCCCATGCTTTACCAGCCCCGGGCCCCGTCACGCATGCTTTCATCGCAACTGCCTTCAACGCCGGTTACAATGACGGAGAAGAAGATTGAGATGCAGGTATACGCCTGACACCACTGATATTGTCTTGCGTTATTGACAATGTCAAATGTAGCACAACTTGCGACAACAGCTCGCCTCGCGCAATATGATGTTTCCGCCGCTGTCTCCCATGGGTTATCCGCCTCAGCTAGATTGTGGGCACCAAATGCTCAATATGCCAGTGTACGGTGGTGGGCCTGGGTTTGGTATGATGGCGCGCGGAAATCGCCGATTCGAAAGCCAAACACTCTCGATGCTGGACGAGTTTTGTGCGGCAAAGGGCAAGAAACGGGAGCTCAATGACCTCAAAGGTCATATCGTCGAATTCAGCAGCGATCAACATGGGTCACGTTTCATTCAAACCGAGCTCAATGACGCCACAAGTGAAAAAATCCAAAGTGTATTCGATGAAATCGTCCCCGACAATACCTTACACCTAATTCAAGATGTTTTCGGTAATCATGTGGGTAGCTTCAGCTTTGGTCCTCTTCGTCTTGCAAATGTGCTCGCCACAGGTAATACAGAAACTACTAGAGCATGGTACTCAGGTCCACAAAGACGCCCTTGTTGGTGCCATGGAAGGCCATATCATCTACCTCTCGTCCCACGTCTATGGCTGCCGCGTCGTGCAAAAAGTCAGTTCGCGAATAACTTCAATCAGCTCAACACCTAGCTAACGACAGTGACAGGCTTTTGAATGTGTAACTCCAGAGCAGCAAGCCAAGTTTGTCCAAGAACTTGAGCCCCATATTCTCAGATGTGCCAAAGACTCGAACGGGAGCCATGTAGGTGATCTAACTGGAGAATCCACATGACAAATTCGCAATCAAGGTCATTCAGAAGGTCATCGAGCGAGTTTCTCCCGACCGACTTGGTTTCATCTCAACCTTTATCGGCCACGCCTATGAGCTTGCTTCTCATCCATTCGGCTGTCGTGTCTTGCAACAATGTCTTCGTCACCTTCCCGAACCATACACCCGGCCACTTCTCGATGAACTACTCAAAGGTCATACGTCCAATCTCATGCAAGATCAATTTGGGGTCAGTGCTGGTACTTGCCTTTCTTTTTCCTCTTAGCTTATTTGGTTGGTTGTAGAACTATGTCGTCCAGTCCATCCTGGAAAACGGATTGCCCCGCGACCGATCATCCATCATTACTCAGCTTCGTGGGCGCATGCTATCAATGGCTCGCCAGAAGTTCGCCTCCCATGTCTGTGAAAAGGCAATGATATTTGGCGACTCAGACGGTCGCAAGGCGATAATTGAAGAGCTGATGGGACCAGCTGTGCGATCTGATGGCCCGACGCCAATTGGGTTGCTCATGAAGGATCAATACGGCAGTGAGTTTTCCAATTAAGAAGACCGCGATAAACCCTTCTCATTCGCGATTCAGATTATGTTCTCCAACGAGCGCTTGCCGTAGCGGAAGGCGAGCAGAAAGAGGCCCTCATCAATGTCATTCGTCCCCAACTAGCTACTATACGCAGGCATGCGACCGCTTACAGCAAACGTCTTACCTCTAGTTCGTTTTTCTCCCAATTTTATGTTTTTTTTGATGCTAATCTTCTCTATAGTCGAACGGGAATTGCAGAAACACACACCCAAGCCCGATTGTGCATAATTCTTGCCTCAAGCAATACCTGGCTATATATAATCTCATCACACACTACTAATTCGTTCTTGCTGTGTATATTTTGTTTTTGTAGTCTCATCACTCGTAGCATACTTATTCAAGCAAATACTAATGGTCAATCTGCTGCAAGACTCTAAAACAGTCGCAGTTCCATACGAAAAAGAAAACGCACCAAAAGTGGAGTGTCCCTGATCGGCCTGATCGTGCATCCGGGTTGCATTCTGCCCGTCTCTTCTCCCTTCTGTCATGCGCTGCCTCGATCTTTGGTGTCGAGAACCAGGACCCCAGCTTATTAATATGACCTTGACCTTGGGCTGTTCTCTGTGATTTCCGTGGAGTTTTGAAGTCGTACTCACTCCGAGGTTAACAACTCAGGATGTCACACATACTGGTATTAGATTGTATACGTGTAAGTCCACGATGTGGGAAAGAGTGAACAATAACAATCACATGAACCGCGAAGGAGAAAAAATGGCTAGACAAAGGAAAAGGAAGTTATGTGGTGTGCGTACTTGGAATGACTCGCTCTGGTTGCCTGTCGAAGTCCTTCGTAGTCCCAGGACCACAGGCGACCACAATTTGAATGCTCACCACCCGAAGCAGGGCACAATGCGTGTTCTTCGAAGATATATTTTACCCCACCCTGCATTGAAACGGGCTCCAATAAAGATTGGATCAAATTTTGATGGGATAATGGATACGGGGGCAAAAGTAACGGTGTTATGATCAAGAGACGAACAGCCGGTAGAGTAAGCGCATGCGCAAGGATCTCGAGAAACTGGGTTTGAACAAGGGCATTTCGTTCAGCTTCAAACGCAAACAGCCCCTGAGCATCGAGAAAATCGAGATCCCGAAGCCTGCTGCTGGCCGTCAACGACGACAAAAGTTTTGCTTGACCACTGGCGACATCGATGTAAGCAGAAACATCCCCAATCAAACGCAGAACAGTGATGGTGGAAAGGTGAGTTTCATTGGCTGAAATGAAGTTGTTCGAATTTTCCACTGCGGTCAAGCCCAATGAAAGGGTGTGTAATGTCGGAAGGTGAACTAAGGAGAGCATCATGCCGCAAAGATGTGGAAATGGCAGAGTGCAGCGAAATGATAAGGTGCTCAGGCGGGGAAGAACAACTCGGTGGTGCGAAATAGACTGGGCAAAGAATGGCTCATTGACATCGAGGAGGAGAGTTTCGAGGCGGGGTGTGTGATGAAGAGAGTCCAGTAGGTTTGTAGCAAAGGTGCTAGGCGGATCGTCTGCGGTCAGGTCCAAATTTGTGATAGCCAATGAAATCAGGTTGGAGCCAACTACGAACGAGGACGGGGGTAGGCCGTCGAGATGGAGATGCCGGAGATCGGCAGCATGCGCTCGAAATGGCTGTGGGCCACTGGGACCAATCGGAGGCCATAATCGGCAATGCGGTGTCGCGTAGAAAGATCTGAGTAAGGCGAAGTTTGACGGAGGGTTGGCAGCTGCTTGTGATAAATGGTCGACGAATGTATCCCAAACGGAGTGAGAATAATACTCCACGCAGAGGTGAGTGACGGTCTCCGCTGTAGCGACCAAGGGAGCGGCAATCGAAGATAAGAATGTGGGGGCCAATTCCGAGTAGATATCGATGCGCAAACGTTTCGGAGTTGCCTTGGCAAGACGAAAAACTTTGTCGATGTAGTACTGAGGCATTCGCGGGACTAGAATTATGCACGACCACAAGGCGGGAATAGACTCCAAGGCGAGTTTCCAACACCTGCACACCGCTCCAAGAGCCATTTTTTGCCGAACGTCGTTCTGCCATTCCACGGAAATATCCAAGGTAAGACAGGCTTCGAAAATGACTCCAAGGATGTCGATCATTGTCAAAGCGGGTGCGGGATATGAAGTAACGCTAGGCGTCATGTTTGAAGTGGGCGATTCGGTTGAGACGATAAGTTCTATAACGTAGGCGCTCGGTCTGCCTGTTTATATGGACTATAGCGAGTTCCGCGCTTCGAAAACTTCCGCTCTTCGAAGAGTTCCGCTGTCTGGAGAGTTCCGATAGCATGATCATGCAATTTGCCATAGAGGCCCGAAGACGCGTCGGATAGTCGGTAAATCAGTGAGCAAAGTACGAGGGACAGTCTATGTGAAGTCAGATGTTGTTGTCGTTCATTGACTTAGCACTCACCCGGCCCAAACGATCATCCAACTTGCCAAAGGGCAAAGGCGTTCAACCTGTTTTGTTTGCGGACAATATTTTGGGAAGCAGCTTGGAGTAGATATAACAGCTGGGGCAAGGTGGTAGGTTTTCATGGAAGGGGGTGAAGCAAAGTGTAAAAGACGGGCGAGGCGAGTTCGAGTACGAGCATCGACGGTGGCGTTAAGTCAAGACAGGAGGAGATTTTCGACAGACTGCGGATAGCATCTGGAGTAGATAGTGGTGTAGTGGTCGCAAGGCAAGTTGAGACAACAAATTATGTTTAATTTAAGTTGAAGGGGACGCGGGACCCGCTCGGCTTCCTCAAGGCAAAAGAAAAACACTTTTGAGGTTTTGCTTTACCCTGCTACGGTCCTATTCGTTGCGATTCAAAGTGAATTTCTGGACCTCTAGCCATGGCTTTGGTTCGTGATTGCAAGCACCTGTGTTCTTTCGCCGAGACACCATCATCTGGCCTAGTTGCGGTCAATGGCCAAAAGGTGTCAGATCCGTCCATCCTGCTCGAAAGTGAACATGGAAACCCACTGTTCAACATTGAGCGGATGTCGATGTGGTCGGAAGGCGGCCCGTCACATATCGTGACATCACAATTCCAAGGCTTCGTGCAAACGCCCAAGGTCAAGAGCGCGACCCTCCAGCGGTTGTCGTTGGACAAACCAAGAGCGAACCCACGTTTGGTTCGTCACGGTTGCGCAGCAAGGCTTCGTCCTCTGATGCTAAATTCTCCCACAAGTAAGAGTTGTCCTTGTTGAATATCCGCCGTCGCTAATTCTGGCGTAGACGTTCTCGCAACACCTCAGTCTACTGCTACATCGTCTACTGATATCTCGGCCAGCATCTCTCCCAATGCGACGAACGGCGGGTTTCCCTGTTCACCCCCACCAAGGACAATACTTTGTGCGTGCTTAATTCTCCACTTTTAAATATCTAATGCGCGCTCTCAAATCCAGTGGGCCTCGCATTGCGTGGGTCACAATATGCTCTGAACTAATGGAGTCCATAACGACTGAGGATATTCTCGCGCTTTTAACCAATTCTTCACGGGTCTCTTTGCTAAAGTCCGGAGTGCGGCCCTCCAGCGGTTGTCGTTGGACGACCCAAGAGCGAACGCACCTTTGGTTCGTCACGGTTGCGCAGCAAGGCTTCGTCCTCTGATGCTAAATTCTCCCACAAGTAAGAGTTGTCCTTGTTGAATATCCGCCTTCGCTAATTCTGGCGTAGACGTTCTCGCAACACCTCAGTCTACTGCTACATCGTCTACTGATATCTCGGCCAGCATCTCTCCCAATGCGACGAACGGCGGGTTTCCCTGTTCACCCCCACCAAGGACAATACTTCGTGCGTGCTTAATTCTCCACTTTTAAACATCTAATGCGCGCTCTCAAATCCAGCGGGCCTCGCGTTGAACAAACATTCAATGTGCTCTGAACTAATGGAGTCCATAACGACTACTCGCGCTGTCAATTCCCAAGCTCGCGACACGTCAATCTGCTGCTATCTCGGCTACCCCCAATGTGGCGAGCAGCGGGCTTCCCTGCTCACCTTCAAGTTGGAGAATTTCACGCAAGCATCGACCCTTGAATTGATTATCGATTCCGCGTCTGCCTCCGTTCCTTGCCCTTACCTGTCTGATGGTAAAGAGAAAGAACAAAACTCGAGCGGAATTGGAACCCTGAGAGCTTACTTCTGGCCAATGGCATCGACTTCTGCCGCCTCGATGTCCGATTTCCATCACTTAATCAATCAAGTGCGCCCTCCCGCCGCTCAATTTCCAATCAGTCAATTGGGCCTCACATATAAGCTCCAGCCAGGCTGTCAGCACCTTCGTCTAGCTCAGCCAGGCGAATAATGGCCAGGTCAGGGATGGCCTGCACCATCTGTTCGGATGCCCACCGACTCTGCACCCGCTCTAGCCCTGATGAAATATGCGACTGGTGCGCCAACCACACACTCGGACGACCTTGTGTGCGTCCACCTGGAAGTCAGAATACAAACGAAAGAAATCGATTGGGATTGGTAACACTCCCGCCCCGCCTCGGCATCGTGTCCCCAAGACCGGCAAGCGTTCTAAAGCACGCGTACGGTCCCACCAACATATTGCCACCAAGAACGTGACCTCCAAGCAAACCCTTCTTCCCCACCCCTCCCAGGAAGATCTGGCTGGGTTTCTGCCAGTTTCCACCACCTCTGTTCCATTGACGCCCCATGCACCAACGCTCGTCTCCTGTTCTGAGCCTATGGCTGCGCCACAACCTGTCGGCACTGCCTCTGTTTCACTACTCCAAGCACACGCAATGGTGCCATTGGTAGAGCCCTTCCCTTCCTCTCAGTCAGACACTTTCGACGGAAACAACTGGGCCGCTGGATCATTCAACTGGGGACATGAATTTGTCTATGCACCTGCAACGGTGCCATCGCCAGAGCCCTTCCCCTTCTCAAACAACTGGCCATGAGATTGAACTTGCCGTTCGTCCCAATCCATCCCTACAACCAACTTGAAACTATACTTCAACATTCTTGGAAAGTAAACTTCTTACAAATACCTGATACCTTCTAACATTCTTAACTACATATAACCTTTTGAATAGTGGCTGAAACTGCCTTGGTGAACGGGCGCTGCGCTCAAGTTCACGAGGTGTTTGCTTAGATAATTCAGTACATATGAATGATAACCCAATCAGTGGACAGTATTATTGATGTGTGACGCAGTTCCTGATCCGATTTTGGGCTTGACAGCCAACATTCCATCTAAAGGACGTCACGGTGGGAGCCCTGACTGTCACACATCCAACCCTTCTCAACCCGTCAGGGGAAAATCCACAAGGATTTCAACACGAGAGAGAAGAGAGTGTCTGTGTGCGGGTCTTCAACGCAATCCTAACCACTAATGCCTTGACAGCTTACAATGGTAATTCTGAAAGATTCTGCACCAACTAGAAACATGCCACTCATACATGTCGAAGGCCAGTTCTCCGTTATTCAAACAACTCTATGGGCGCTATCGCTTGGAGCCATTTGCTGGCTTCGAGTCTTCAAGCGCAGGACTCAATGTCCAACTCGAAGAGCCCTTCAATCAGCGCGTGGCTTCGCGTCGCTATGTGAAGCTTGCCGATGAATACTTCGAGCTCTGGTCCCCGAATTCTACGATGAAAGAGTTTCTGCCGGGGTTGCCGCATTCCACATACCATCTCCGTATGGATACCAACCCAGATTATCGACGATTCGACGGCTCCTGGGGACGCTTCGATTACACTCAATCTCCACAGTATATTGGTTCCAACCCTCCTTACATTCCCTATATCCGTCGAGCTCATACTCTCAAGACAAATGACTCTTTATACATTGTGTATGCCCCACTCATGGACTTCTGGGAGAAGTCAACCAATCAGCTGGGACGGGTGACCGCCAAGGGTATTCAACTTCTTCAGCAGGTCACGAAAGTAATGCAAGGCACAACTCAACTGTTGCTCAAGAAATCCACCACAACGCAGGAGGCTTCCTCATGTATTCCGACACCACCTACAGCGGATATGTTGGAGAGTTTGACCCGTTTGCGGCGCTGGGACGACGTTGTGGACGATTTTACGGCTGTCCAAAGGCATTTACGACTTACCAATGCTTGGATAAATTGGGTCAATCAGGAAACAGGATTGAAGTCATCAACCAGCAGTTTTCCGAACGCGAAAGAAGGGTATATGGGAGTATGGGTGAACGGGATGCCTGCTGAACGTATTCGCCGGCTGCTTCTAGCAAGAATCCCATGCTTTATCGTTGCCGCAGTCAATCAACATGACTTGCCAGCAACAGAGCCCATTCTGACTTCATTCTTGAGCAACACCGAAACGGAACGGCTCTTGGAATGCGACAACCCATACATGAAGTTTGCCAGGCAAATTAAAGGTTTTCGGGTTGGAAGGACCAAGCTGTCGGGTGCTATCATCTATGGACTGACACCGCCTTTCGATGGGGAGAAAATGCGTAGGGCTTCCTCGCTATATCGCCCTCCCAGTCCTCCTCCGGTCAAACTTCCTACTTTCAAAAAAAAAATTGCAGTCACAAATCAACCACCCATCTCAACCAGTGTACCTTCTTCATCCGTTTCTTCACAGTTATCCACCCGGGTAGCTGGATCATCAACGTTGCTAGAGAAAAGCTCGCGTCGAATAATTCAACTACCACCAGGTGGTCTGGAAGAAGCGATGAGACTTGCAGATGAAGCAGAAGAAATTGATGATGGCTCTGATTGGGACGAAGTTGATGATCCGAGCGATGAGGAGCGGCCTTCTGCTCCTACGGAGCCCCAGTTCCAGCCGATCGCCCCCAAGACACTTTCTATTAGCTCGGACAAGGTCGACTGGATTGTACCACCTCCCGTTCACGAGAAACAGACCTCTTTCAGCAATATGCACTTCTACATCGGCAAAACGGCCGATGGGAAAATGGCCATGTACCAAGGGAGGGAGAGAGGAGGCAAACAATACTATGATCGAGCCAACGGGCGTGTTTTAGTGATGCACAACTACAAACTACCTAGAGGAGTGATTGAACCCGAACGGTATGGATTCCCGCCTCCCCCCCTGTACGTCTTCATACGCGGTCGCCACTCGGAATGGATGCCTACCAAACCCACTACTTGGCTCTATTACACCAGCGGAAAGAAAAAAGGCCAGAATGTAGGGGACAAAGCACCGATTCCTAATGCGGATCAGTTACCATCTCTATCTGACAAGAAGCACTTGAAGCGATCCCAAGGTCAGCCAGCAGACTCCTCGCGGTCACGACCCTCGCCAATACACTGCCCGCCTCCCCGCCCACGGTCGCGATCTCCTCCAAATCGACCTGCATCTTCTGTTCCTACTATCGGTCTTGTGCAATTGGATGCGGAGATGACTGTGCTGCAATCTGATGTATTTGCACATGATGCCAATCGAAAGCAGTTGGACGTGGAGATGACCGAATTGGTGCGGCCAACGCATGTTCCAGCCCCGAGCCAGAAGCAAGTGGATGTGGAGATGACTATGTTGCAAGCCGATGCATCTGTTCCTATCGCCAACCGAAAACAGTTGAATATAGAAAAGACCGAATCGGTAGGGTCAGCGTCTTCCAGCCCGAAGCAAGTCAATGTGGAAATGACTGAGTTGCATGGTGATTCTGCTTTGAGGCCAACATTCAAGGTTTGTTCTACAGCAGCGTGCAATCTATGGTTCTCAGGCTCTTCCCCCTATGCAGATGTCTAGAATGCCGTCAACCTCTTCAATCACTCTATCTCCCCTTCCTTCTCTGTCGCCAGAGCAACGACCCACTTCGGCATCGTCAAGCCCAGCGAACATTGTCAAAGCAGAGGGAAATGGACAAGCACAACAGCGGTCTTGGGAGTATAACTCGACTTTCTCGTGGCAACTCGACAGTTTGCGGGCGAAAATGGTGTCGCGGACCAATGTTCCCAATCAACCTTCTCCCAAATCGATGTTTCTGGAGGAACGCATCGGGCCTCGGAAACGCAGTCACTCGCCCTCGTCCAGGAACGACCAACCAGCGAAGAAGAAAAGGCGCAATCCGCCCAATAAGCACAATCAAAAGCGAGCGGTTGCCAGAAAACTCGCCAAAGATTTAGTCTTTTCCGAGATCCGAAAGCGACAATCTATGCAAGTTGACGGACCAACGATAACGACAGAGGCGCTGGAGATGCTGGCCAGCTCCTCATCACGGAAAGGACGACAAGCTGAAGATGATACAGTTTCATTGGGTTCCGTTGAGTCAGAGTAGTCTGAAGTTGCATTATTTCGTGAAAAAACCTGTATTTACGTTCATGAGAGGTTCTCAGATTATCAGTAGTCGGCGACAATGGCCCTCAGAAATTTAGGATAGCCTCTGAATTCCACCTTTGACGGTGCCAATGTCGTTCGTTGAAAGGTTGGGAGTTTTCTAGTTGCACCTTTGTAAGTGGCTGGTAAACCCATTCATTACTGTAACATGTTGGACCTGCTCTCCAATTGGTAAATCAAATATAAAACCGACGCGGAGTTCATGTTCAAACTTGTTTGATGCAGGACCCTGCAAGTTTGATGGCTTTTCCATTCAAATCATCTCTTTCGTCTCCATGAACCTCTCGAGCGCAAGTCCGGTGCCCATAAAAGTAAGAGTTGCGTGGATGCGTTTATCCTTGCTCACTCAAGTCTTTTCACCTTTGGCAGTACGGTTTGCATTCCCTGCTGAGCACTGGACTTAACCGTCCATTCCCTCTTGCTGCTGGGATATCCTACGAACAAAAGGAAGTACCGGACCCAGAGTTAGCGGTTGCAGGGATTGGCACAATTGGTATTCCACTCGAAGAGGCCGACGCTTTAGCTCTCATTTCGAGTGCAACGGCCGATTGGCTTGGGGCTCAGGCTGTCAACGAGACGCCAAGGTCACCGTCTGAGATTTTCAATAGCCCTGGACCTGGTACATGGGAAATACCAGCATACAAGGTGAGTAGCATATTTCTCTTTCTATACAAGCTTAGAAACACAGATTTCTGTTGCCAACTCTGGATTTCTGGACTGGCTACAAGATGTCAGCGGACCTGAAACTCTCAATTGCATTGGCGCATGGAAACGGAGTGGCAGAGTTCAATACGTTTTGAAGTGTTTGGTGATTCACGAGACTTCACAGTACGTTTTCCAAGTTCCTTTGTACTGCCGATGAGTGTCATGTAACGGAGCAAAAAGACTTGCTAGCCGAACAATCAAACCCAGCAGCAACAAACTAGGAGAGCTCGTCGTGATCCTCCCATGCTCGTACTCTGATGGAAATCTTGCTCATGCACATCTCGAGGAGGTTTTTCAACTGGAGCCACCAGTGACGAACACTGACAGACGCAAGCAAACTTATTCGGTCATCTCAGCTCACGCCGGCGTATGTGAAATCGTCTCTCCAGTCACTGCCGGATTCCGCGTATCTTTGCTTTATGATATACTTCAAGACGGTTACCTGCCCAGCAGACTGCCCAGTCTTGATAGCCCCAAGCAACGATTACGTCATCTTCTTTCGCCATGGGCGACATTGCAAGTCGTATCAACATGGAGTTATCCGCACAGTCTTCTTGGTTGCCTGCTCAAGCACAATTATACCCAATCAGCCGCGTTTGATAGTTCTTCGCTCTCAGGAACATCTGACGAGCTGTTGTTCAAACTGTTCGACATCATCGCGCGCGAGTTGAGCTTCGATATATTTTTCGGCCAGATCGAACTTCTGGTCCGCAGCGAGGTCAGTGGCAAGTTGAACCAGCAGTTTTGGCGCTCCGAAATGGAGAAGGCGATCATCACAGCGATATTCGATGTGAACGGGATCCCAGTTGTGGTGGAGGGACTTGAACAAGGCTTAATACCACAGGAAGATCTCGTTATTCAAGACGGCATTCACCTTCAACAGGCGATTGCGGTGGCCTGCGCTGAGGCGAGTCAGGCAACCTCACGGATATACTGAGCTGATGGTTGAACAGAAGACCCAGATGTTCTCAAGTGAGCTTCAGTTCAAGTTGTCTGGTATGGAAGATTAAAGCTTCCTTTTGTGTGTTAGGGTATCGTCACACCGTCTTATTGCTAGGGCCATGTAACTCCAAGGGCCTTACCGTCAAGGTGACCGACAAAATCTTCGAATATGCCCAAGAAATTCTTGGAGATAGCCAGACGATGACACCGAGTCGAAAAGAAAAGGCGGTGTTCGATGCATTATTGAGTTGGTGTGAAAGACAGTTGCAGTGCAATAAGGACAGTGATGCATTGGTGTTGCCCGCCCGCCTCCTCCAGAAATGTAGTCGGCAATGGTGGGATCTAGAGCTTTTCTTTCGCGCGGCGCTCGCTTGCGGTTGTGACCAGTCTATCGCAGTCTGGGGCCCCGAAGGGTACGCGTCGGCATATCTTGAGTTTGGGTGGCTCGATGCGATTCAAAATCTGTGGGTGCCATGATTCCTTGAACGCTTTTGATGAAACGAAATTTGCGTAGGTGCGAAGCAACGCTCATCAATGACAACTGCAAACTACAGAAATGGGGTCTAATCGCATGCTTACGGGAGAAGGCAATGCTGAACGGAGACATCCAGCTCGAAGCGTGGTGCGGGAATCATCAGTCACGACTCTTATCTTTGTTGGCGGAAGTAAAACCAAGCGACACGCCGTGGCTGATGTCTCTTTGCATGTCTAAGGGCGGCAAGTTTCTGAGAAACGTGTGCGTCGTCCAAAATATCTTTGTTTCGTTACTTAGCTTCAAACAGAATATATCCGCACCTTGTGAGCCAATGGCTTCCTATTGAGGCATTCTGGATTCCTTTTATGAGGGGTCTTCACGAACATCGAGCACGGATACCATACCTCGAAGATCCCAAGGCCGTATACGATGTCATTGAACTGGCAATTCAGTACGTTACAGCAGTCCTCCCCCCGTTCCCAACCAAGTTTGTCGGCGACGAGGAAGTTCAAGACGTCAACATCGTCGCAGAACTTATGTGCTGCTGTCTCGAGATAGATCACGGGACAAGCATTTGTGTCGCTCTCACCTCCAAGATGCACGATGTCGCTACGAGGGGAGAATGGCCAAACCCGTCTCCATGGCCATATTACGATGTTATGGTCGACATACTCCGGAAGCATTACGCAGAAGAAGACTGCGAATACCACAGCCTGTGGTATCGTCAATTCTTCCAAGATGCAACAATATTCTTGCTATCACCTTATAGCGTTGCAGGCAAACGAATGGTGTTCCCTTGGGAATTTACGGAGACAACGCTTGTGAAAGTTGTCGATGTTATAGCCCGCGCTGGGGGAATGCCCTTCTTGGGCAGCTTGTAAGTGGAAAATGGAAACTCCGAGGCAACATACTGACCTGGAGACACTGGCAGATTGCTCGTTCAGCCGCATTTATTACACGGACGCGATTCCGATTCGTTGAAAGCATTTGCGAAAACTATCTTGAGCAAATTTTCCGTTGTGGGGGGCTGCGAATTCAAGGTGGTGAAAGACTTCCTTCTCGATGCGGCCATGAGCGCCGTAGATCTTGAAATCATGAAAAGTGACAAGGTAACCGACAACATCAAGTTTTGCCTGGAGCATAACGCGTCTGCGCCAACCTACGAGCGTTTCTTGTTGAGAGTTGCAATGATTCCTCCAGGAATGGCCAATGATATATATGTCCTTGAGGTGCTCGTTCCGACCTTGGTCAGCCTGCAGCGCGTTCTCGGGTCTTACGGCTTGTCTTTGGAAAGCCCTGCATTCCAAAGGTTTGCACAAAATGTGATCGTTTTATTCACCAGATGTGCAACATATATCCCCGCACAATATCTCCAGACGATTCAGATTGGTTGCTTCAGAGCTTCGTGTGCTGATTGTCCAGCGCTGAGAAACTTTCTTCTCGCTGAAGACCAGCATGGCTCCACCACGTTTCAGAGGAAAGACAAGTTGCGGAGGCACATCATCGCAGGGCTCAAATCAGCGCGGCTGGACCAGCTTGGGGTGACATGGGAGACACTCACAACGTCGTCGCCGTATGTGTTAAAGGTGCGCAGTATTTCTGGACAATGAACTACCAAGGTCACCGAGTGATTTACAGGTACACAAGCCATCCAATCTTTTGCAAGAGGCCGTGTCACCAGGGCGCCGTCTTCAAGGTGTTGCATTGCTGACGCTTCTGGGGAATCGGGAAGCCCAGAAAAATATACTGGAAGATAACTTCGCGCGGGTATGGGCCACTTTTGACGTTGTTAACACGGTGGGCAAGTAGAAAAAGCACGAGGCCATAGTAGTAGCGCGTTCCTAGTGAAGTCAAGAAAAGTGGGTGTATGTACGTATGTTTTATGATCAAATTTTCAGTCACATGTCACGCAGTAACAGCCAGCAAGGCAGTTGAAAGCAAGTCAAGCACAATTTGATTTTCGCTGCGATATATCAACAATGCATAGACTACAAATTTCGCTACACAAGGTCATCAGCACAAGCAACTACAAACAACCGATTCAGCCGACGCCAATACCCGACTAAGCATTTGAAGTAATCTCAAATAAAAGCACCTGTCGTTGAGCCGCGGTCAAGTTGCCCACAGCCAATGCTGCGCCGTTGGAAATTTCTCGAAGAAAATATTCAAATTCACGGCCAAGAAGCTGCATTTCGGGCGACTGAGATATGGGCCAGTGTATGGCATACGTAGATTTTTGTTTTCGCAAAGCAGGCGGTCTGGAGAACACCGGAGCTTGTTGGACTATAGAACCGTTATGATTTTATCCAGATAAAAGTAGAAATGACTTACGAGGAGCAAAACCAATCTCCCCCGTCCAAGCCAATTAACGCGCTTCCTCCGAGCTCTGACAAACTAGGAGGCCTTGTTCCGCTCTGATCATGCGTTCCTCTCCAAACATCGAAGAAGAAGTCAAAGTAACAGACGGTTGAGCCGTTTCTTGACTCAAACGCAGGGCGAGGCTTCGAAAACTGAACCAATAGAGCGGCGGCGAACATGACCACCACCAAGCATCTGAATCCAAAGCGTTATTATCTGAGCAAAGAGAGAAGGAAAACAAACCTACTGTCATCACTGTATCGTCCTCCTTCATTGGGCAGGAGCAGATGGCCGTTATGGTCGTCGTATCCGAAGATCCAGTCGGATGACGTTGACGAACGGTGGCCGGTCTTGTCAAACAACAAATCCTCCATTGATGACCCTCGTCCAGTTCGCTTGCCCGTAATCAAGTTGTAAGATGGTCCGTCATACTCCGGCGGAGATGAGCAGCTCCTTGCTTGTATGCCGTGTCAAACATCTTGTCGCCAACCCCAGGTCGACCGAGACAAGCAACCGAGAAATCGCTCAGAATTGAGTCTGTCGAGGGCTCATGTTGACGTCTCGCCCAAGCGGCACGACCACCAGGAGCACCCTGCGAAGTATAGAGTGAGCGAGCTGCCGCTGGTGCTGCTATCTGCTTGACTCAAGCAATGACTTGCATAGCTCTGGTTGAAGTTGCTTTTGAGATGCAATGCTAGCGGTAGACTCGCGACAGCGATGACCGCGAGAAGTTCGTGATCGTTGAAGGAGTTCGTGATTGCTGAGCTGGTGCTTTGAGGTAGAAACTAGATGCATCGCTGGCCACACGTTTGCGACGAGAGTCCCACGCCAAGAACGAGAAGGCGTTGTCAACGCTCATAGAAAGCGAGATGGACAGATCTTCAGAGGATGGTTGCTCGCGGAGACTGGGCGTAGGCAAGCCGTACTCGAAAGGATCGTTTACTCCGGGGTCGGTCACGTGTCCATAAGAAGAAACAGACGCGATGCTGAAGACAGAATCACGCCGTCCGTGGTAAGCTCAAGCGTTGCGCGCAGCAGGAGGTGGTGGATAAAACGTTGGGCGATCAGCATGGAGCTCGAAACCTCTGCGGACCTCATCAAACGAGTCGAATCCGGTAAAGCTGATGCCAGAGGCGGGTCTTGAACGAGTTCGAGAACGCATGCTGGCCATCGAAGCGCGTGAATTTCCGACGGCAGAGCGACGCAAACTGGAGCCCAGTTGACCCATGGGCGGGGTTGGGCAGCAACGTCTGCGGCATGGGCAAGAACGGACTTGACTCGGAGCACAGCCTGAGATCCCTTGTCCTCCATCAATGACGTCAGGGAATGAGCGCGCCTGTGAGAGGGTGGTGGAAGAATGTTTGACAAGGTAAGCGGCTCTTTTTGCATCTTTGGCGCTGGTTCCTCTCCAGGGAGCTGACCCCCAAACTTGAAACCAACGCTGAGTTCACCAGTCGATGGGCCTTTTTGTGGCAAAAGGCTTATGTCACTTCCCAGGCTATCAGAGCCAGGCAAGAGTGTTGGTTCTTTGAGATCGATGATTGGGGAAGGATATTGTGGGTGCTTGAATACGGCCCTAGTACTGACGCCTTCACTGGCTGCCGTCGTCAGCGCTGTGATGTCCATCAAACGTGTAGCTGACCGAGGCGATCGCTGGTCTTCCAAACTGGACGAGTTTTCTGGAGACGACGGTGCCGAGGAAGTCTGGTCCATGATAAACCGCATAGGAGGAACCGGAGGCACGTCAATCGCAAGTAGATTGCGCAGGTCGATCTTGGCTGGTGTTTTGAACGCGTTCTCCTGTTGTTCAACGAAAATGCGCCTATCTGATGCCCCAGGCTCATTCAGCTTCTGGAGCTCACCCGTGATATCAAACGACTTTTTCGTATCCTCCTCCGAGGTAGCGCCATCATCGATATCGGCATGATTACCATTGGCTTCAACAAGCTCAACATCGAATATGGGCAGCTGTAGTTGAGGGGGGCGACGAGGAGATGCGAGGCGAGGGAGGCAGAGGCGGCAGGTCACCAGGTGGAAGCCCAGAAGACGGCAGAGAGGTGTTGGCGCTAGTAGACGGGAAGAACGAGAGCGTGTCAACAGGCGATGTGGCACGTGACGCCGATAAGATAACCTGCAACTCGTTTGGAATATCCGAGTTCAGGGTCAGACACATCCAGTTCCTGCTCTTTGGAATCGTAATCCGAGGCATGTGATCCCCCCAAAGTGCCTGCCGTACCGAGCACTCGCTTTGCGCCACGCGCGAGGGGCGTTCCGTTGTGACTGCCTTTGCTGCTCCGCGGCGAGGGCTGCGCATCAGCAGGCAACGAGGACCGATTGCGAATGTGACGGGTAAAGACGGGAGGCAAAACGCGACCGGTTTGGGGCTCTTCCGGCGAGTCGGATGACGAGCGGGAGCCAAACGTTAGCGATGACAACGACCGCATGTCCATCTTGCTGTCCACAGAAGATGGAGGTGGAGAGGGCGGTGATGACGAAACAGGTCGGGTTCGTGAGCGCCGCAAACGCAAAGAGTGGAAAACAGGAGCTGGGTCCGGCTCTGGCGAGGGCGTCGTTGTCCCGCGGTGAGATCTTTTGAACGTGGCGTCAGAAGCTATCGGCGCAGGCGGCGTTGACTCGAGAGTAGTACGGAGCAATTTGTTGGCCGATCAGTTGTCGTTGAGATGCTTCAGGCGCTAGTTGCCGTTTGGGCGAGAGGGCAGCCCGTTCAGCATACGGTAGAAGGGGGCTGACTGACCCCGCGCTGGGTCGCAAGACTTTGGATATGTTCTTGCCTACGGGAATCTCTTCAACAGGCGGCACAACAGCATCGCGAGCAGCCTGAGGCGAAGGAGTCGCATCCAACTCGAGGAGCATAATCGATTGAGCAAGATCATTCGTCGCAGCGTCCGACGTGTTCAAAACACCTCCTGGCTTTGAGTTAGTCATGATTAAGAAAACAAAGTAAAATTTTCACCTGTGGAAGAGCCGTTGTTTTCAAAGACTCCACGAAGGACAAGGACGAGACACCCCCTCTATCATCATCCGAAACCAGACGCGGCTTTGGTCTTTGACGTGTTGCAGACACAATCAGGAAACCCTCCGCCCCCACATCCTCATAATCCTCGCCTCCATGTCCATTGGTAGCGGCTTCCTCAACGGCACCGTGACGCTCCTTAAACTGTCCAGAACACACTTGTCGTCGCGCCAACCGCCCCTACTAGGCCATCCCGCGGAGAGCTCGGCAGAGCCAGCCTCTGGAGGAGGCACGCAACGCAGGGAGGCATTTGGGACGGTTAGCGGAACACAGGAGGTCCGAGTCGGCGTAGAACGAAGCATTGAGACGGGAGGAACACACGCTAAGCAGCGGAATACGCGCTACAAAACCGTATGAGACCGCATGGAGCACTGACTCGGAGGAAGAACTTACTCACACCAGGAAAACGTTGGTAGTCAACAAAACGCGTTTGTCACAAACGTCACGGAAAGCACGTGCTAGATATATTGACGTGATCAAGCAGATGCTCAACCTCCTCCGGTTCAAACCATTCCTGCAACAGTTTGGTAGACGAACACTAAGTCACTCGTAACTTGTGAGCAGCAGCAACAAAAAAGCAAGTTGATTTCATGAGTGATAGCAGATATGTTTGCAGGAACAACTACGACTAGATCCATTCAAGTTCACTGCAAAACCATGAACTCGTGGCTGGTCAAGACAAAAAGTATCGCACCTTGCCTGGTCAACAAGAGACCGATAGAGATAACCCAGATGAATGCCCATCTCGGACTGATACGCTTTGTCAACAACAGCAAGGAACCGAACATATTCAATCTTAATGTCAATGCTCATGTTGAGCTCTTGGCCTGCAGCGGAGATTTCGAGTACATGTCCAGTCTACATTTAAATAAAAATCAAGTTGAGACACCTCAGTCAGAAACGCACCAATGCCAAAACCAATGCAACCAATGCCGAGCTTACACCAAACGCGTCGAATATAAGATTCACGGATAACAGTCATGATGGCAGCAAGAATAACCGGGTGTTGAAGTTGCGTGGCTTCATTTGCCTCCTCAGCCTGAAATGAAAGAAGATTACTACGGTGGAAGCGCTCATGGCAAGCTCAACATACCGAATGAACATCATGGTGGAAGAGGTCATTTTGGCGCAGGCGCTTAGCCTCCTTCTGTTTCCAGGTGGCCAAGGCTGCTGGTGTGTAGGCTTTTCCGGTCTGCGGGTCAAGTGGGGCAGGCTTGGTGGCATTGTGGGCAAGACGTTCTCCACGAGTGTATTCGCACCCAGTGCGTGGGTTGATGGCATCTTGGGGAATGGACAATAAGAGGCGATGGACTACTTCTAAGTATGATCAGTTGCTTGAGCTCGCCCCGCTTTGTACACTCGTATCTTGCAAGCTACAATGCAAATTGTCATCACAACGTCAACAGGCAAAAAGGGATGTACCAATGTAGCAACATCACCCGCAATAATCAACCAACATTCTAAAATCAAAGCGGTCAGAGGTCCTTCGTTTTGGAAAAGGTGATAGACCACACCGATACCCCTTGCGTCGACGTTTTTCCCTGCCCTCCACTTCATCATGAGATACTCAAAGAGGCATTCATGGTGGCGTGCGTTGTTGACAGGGAACCCATTCCAGTTGACAAGCTTAAGGTAAAGTCCAGTGATTCTTTCCAGCTCATCGTAGACTGGAGAGAAATAGGGATATTGCTTTCGCATTGCCGTCAAGGTGAGGAATTTACGTCCTTCAATTGAGACCTCCAGAGCGGCAGCCGCTGCAGCTTTGCCCTTGCCAATCTTCATCATGGGAGCCACGTGCTCCTTCTCGCTGCTGGATTCAGAATCTCCAAAAACGTTTTGAAGGCGAGTGTCAATTTCGTAGGGATACGCCGTCAGAGAACCTCTTGTTGTTGATGGAGCACGAGACAAGGGACGAGTCAAGGGACCACGGTGGCTCCCGCCATGCAACGCAACAAAACATTGGTTTTTTTACCTTGATCAGCGATGTCAAGAGTGTTGTCACTCTGGTTCGAAGCTGCATGGCGATGACGATGCTCTAATTGCGACTCATTTGGACCATGGCGTATATGGCTATTGAGAACTGGGGGAGGCGAATCTGCCGTTTGACTCTGATGGCTGGATTACGACGCTGAGATAATTAGTCAGCGATGGGAACTTGGACTGGGATGGAACGGAATCACCTCGGGACTGCGATTGTGACGGTGGGCTTTCCATGTGGACAGGCGAATCATATTCCTGCTGACGCGGGGGCGCTGGAATATCTGATTAGCATGGAGTACAAGAACATTGAAGGGAATCACATTGGGCAGTGCCAAAAATGATTTCAGGACTCCCTATGGTGGCGTTGAGATCATGCCAACCCGCTACTCCAGCCAAGTCACCTTGTAACTGCGCGATCGGCTGGTTTTGCTGGATGATATTAGATAGTTACCTTGCTTTACAAGGTCCTGTATGTGAGAAATTGCCTCACCAAACAAGTGTAAATAACAAAAACAAACAAGTGTACACAGATTGCTATCTATCTTCTATCTTCGGTCTGCGCACTGAAAGGCGCTTCGGACTTCCTAAGCAGACGCTGTATCAGTGTATGCAAGCGACGCCCACTGTTAACTCCGGCGCATGTCACTCTGACAAATCAATTTGTCAGCGACCCGGCGAGAAATCGCAACGCGGCCTGTACCCGTCGACGTACCCTACCCGCTTGTTCAATCGCGGGCCTCGGGACTAGATTGCTGATGGCTAAAGCAAGGTCTCAGTCTTCGGCGCAAGCGCCGAAGGCCCCTAGTTCATTAGAAGCGCCCATGTTCATGACGTTCTGATGTTCTGATGATAAGGCGGCACTGGGTGACGAGTCAGTGGGCTCAATCAAGTAGAGTGCAAAAAACAACCTTGGAATTGCTGAAGCGGCTGCATCATGACAGGCTGAGGAGGACCGGAGACTTGAGTGACAGGCTGGATCGGACTAGTTGAATGCGGAGCTCCTGGATATGGAGATGCAAAGGGTTGCCCTCCGGTAGTTGCATGTTGGAAATTGGTGTAAAATTCTGACAGAAAGTAAGTGAAATTGTGGCCTAGTGGAAGAAGACTATATTACCTGGGTTCCTTTGAGACAACGTCATGTTTGGGGTAAACACCTGTCGATCGTGAAGTGCTTCAGGCAAAGTGCCTGCGTATGAGCTGACCACCTGGCCAGCTTGTCCTGAAAAGAAAGTGAGAAGGACGCAACAGATGTGGAAGGAGCGACAACGACCTCTATGTTCGACATGCTGGATAGTAATTGCCAGTTGCAGGAGGTTGATTATTGATGCCTGATTTGGAGTCAGCGAGAATTTGAGTGAAACAAAACAAACCCGCCTGAATGCCCCTGGCCTGGGCCCATGATAGGTTGAACGATGGTGAGTGGACGAAAGCCTTGACCTTGTCTTTGATTGGTGCTCCCATTCTGGATGGTTGCACTAGACGGAAGAGCTACAATTGCGATAAATATTTAAAACAAAGAAGATCAATTGAACTCACTCCAAGTGCCGTTATTGGGGACAACAACATAGACGATGTTCCGCTTGTCTTGCGCCGTATGCATGCCAGTGTCGTCGCTCGAAGGTATGAAGTGCAAATGTTGGGCTGGTTCGTGGTACTCTTGTTGAACATTGGCCAGAGAAAGCAGAGAGTGTTGATGGTGCTGCTGCTGTTGTTCCACGGGCGACGCAGTATGGTAAAGAGACAAAGAGGGAGCCTGTGACCCCATCATCTTGCCTAGTTGCGGCCAACGGCCAAAAGGTGTCAAATCCGTCCATCCTGCTCGAAAGTGAACATGGAAACCCACTGTTCAACATTGAGCGGATGTCGATGTGGTCGGAAGGCGGCCCGTCACATATCGTGACATCACAATTCCAAGGCTTCGTGCAAACGCCCAAGGTCCAGAGCGCGACCCTCCAGCGGTTGTCGTTGGACGAACCAAGAGCGAACCCACGTTTGGTTCGTCACGGTTGCGCAGCAAGGGAGGTATGAGTAATCTTGCAAATTACCCAAATCGGGGCGGTTGGCGTTGAGCGGTTGGTGTGATGCAAGGTTTCGTCGCCCATCTGGCCGAAAGTAGTCTTGCATTGGTGCGTTTTGTTCGAAATCGAGATACAAGTCAGGGCAAGCTTTCGCAAACGTATCAGTAGATGGCCAGTCCTGCGTGAAGTTCAATTGTATATCATCACAGAGCAAATCAATAACCTTTGCCTTTCCTGGAGGCTTAACCTTGGGTTTCCCGAAGTGTGAAAAGAGCTCCTTGACAGTCCCATACCGCACAAAACCAGTATCACAATCAATTATCTGACATGACTGTTGACCATACGCTGCCATAAAGTGCTGTGGAGACCAGTCTTTTTGAAGGCCATGCCCTGCATCCTGAATGATGAATGGAGTACCGCTGGCTAACAACTGACGGAGCAGTGTTGGAGTTAGGTCTGCTTGTTTGAAAGACGGAGCCTGATAAACAGGAATGGGTCCATAAGATTCATGACCACCACCTAGTTTTCAAGGATGATCCTGAATTAATGTGTGGACAAGGGCTGGAAAAGGGATCCGTGACTGAGAAGAAAGTGCTGGGAGATAACGTTGCATATTGACAGCAGTGGCATCTAGTTGTTCCGATGTGAAGTGCGTCAACGGAAGAAAGGAAGAGGTGAGATGTTTTTTGGCATGCAAAGAACATGAAGTAGTGGTGTGCGTCTGGGAGCTAAAGCAATCATGGCACAGATCCATGTTGCATGTTGGGCAAAACCATGCCAAGAAGAAAATTGAGGTCAAACAAATCTCTGGTCTTGGTCAGGATATGATAGGAAGAAGAAGGACACACACCACAAGAGGTTTGAACAGTTGGGTCCAAAGGGCGATACTTTGCTTGTGGATTTGCCAAGTGGACTCTCTCTTTTGCTAGGAGTGGCCAGAGAATTCGAGCAAGAGTTGACTAGAGGCAAAGTAAGCCAAGCTAATGACACTGTCATTTGAATTACTTTGATCTCCTGGATATCTATGGGCTCCAAGGGTGCATTCCAAGCTGAGGGGAATTGCAGAGGGGCGTTTGAATAGCCATATCCCATCAGCATTCCAATGCGATCAAAAAAAAGCAATCAATACCCCTTTGCAGCACAATCCTGCCCCACGGTATGCTTCTTACCCTTGCAACGTATACAAGGCGGTAATCCACGATACCTGGAGCACACTTTGTCCTGGGTTGCGCAAGAGGTGTCGGATGGGACTGAGACAGGATGTCTGTCAATAGATCCTTTGCTGTTGAGGGGATATATTTCATGCGGGTTGCGAGGAGGGACTCCAGTTGTATCGTTTGAAATATTAATCAGAGATTTTGAATGAATGGACTGTCAGATAGATTTAGAAGGAGATGAACAACGAGCATTCACGCACTTCTTGGCTCTTCTCCAGCACTTTCCGTTGCTGCAGCGCTTTCTTGTTGCGAGCCTTTTTCTTGGCCTTGACCTCCTCTATCCTAGCTTGTCTTTGGGTTTCGCTCATTGCTGATAGAGCATGCTTGGAACGCTCTCTTCGCGCCAATGTCCGCTGCAATGCACAATGAGTTCCACATCTCAACAGAACACAGTCAAACCTCGTTGGCCATCAAAGGTGGCCGACCATCATGCAGTTCGGGTGTGCTTGATTTTACAGGTTGATTCAAGAACTGCATCACCAGTTTTGTTCTCTGGTGCAGAAGAATATAACGCCCAAGACAGAGAATTTGACTGATCACGTGTTCATGTCGATGATTATCTTTACTCCGCTCCGTGAACGGGCAGTCCAAGCAACACACATTCTCCCACAATCTTCCAACCCCACCACAATTTGAAGAGACCAAAGGTTTGTTGCTGGCGCTCGCCAACATCTTATTTATCACTGCCAATTAGCTGCTCAAGGTGTAAACGCCTGTTGTAGTAGCGGTGTACTGGATGTCCCATCTCATTCTCCAGTCACCATGTATGTCTAAACTTGAAATTTTTGCAGATATACGGCTCCAAAACTGACGGTGTCTCTTCTGAATCAAGCTGCGGAGCCTCAATCGCTTCCACCGTCAGCGCATTGACTGAACCTCCCGAGAGCGACGACGGAGGAGAAATGGAAACTCTTGTCATCGCCCAGGTGAACAAAGCTCGGAGAGAGGAGGTGGAGCTCGAGCTTGAGGTGGCAAGAAAGGGGGTCGTGGCAAGGGTCATGGGGGGGGGGGCAAGTAGAAAGGGCAAGGAGCGTGAAGTCCAGGACTCCGAAACCGAGACCGAGAGCATCCCGCTGGCACCTCCACCACCACGGCCAAGACCTGTTCCTCGACGCCGAGTGGTCACTGACGAAGGCTGATTACTAGTGGCTAAAGTGAAGTTGGTACTAGATAGTGCGCTGCTAACCACATTGATCTGTAAAACGGACTTCCCAGTAACTCGAATTGAATTTGTGCATTCCAAATCGCATTCTTAATACGAGTTTCGCAAGTGTCTCGGAGAGATAGAGCCGCAGAGCGCGTGCAGCGGCCATGACAATTGAAAACGCGTTTATGACAAAGCGCATGTGATCGATTTCGATGAAATCATTGCTTGTCAACGAACCACCACCACACGACAATGCTCTACGAGGACGTTGCAAGACGAAGCGGAAGTCTGGGGCTGTTCGGTTGCAAGGGAGAGAAGCACTAATGGGACCGTGGGGGGGGGGCAGAATAGAAGGCTGGACTGGGCGAGAACAAGCAGTGGGGCAACAAAGACTTTGCGCTAGTGTGGCCCGTCGGCAAGGCGTAAGTAGTCATCTTCCGCCGCTCAACGCTCTCTCATGCTTTTCAGGGAGCTAAGTTGGCTCATTCCATGAGCTCAAAACTCAGCGGTATGCATCCACGGTAAATGATTACAACCACTCTTTTCTGACTTTACCACCAGGCCCAGTCGTTAGCAGTCGTTGGTATCGACTTGGGAATCACCAACTCTTGTGTTTCTGTCATGGAAGGCAAGATGTCTCGTGAGAACTCGAAGCGCCCGCACATCACCCTCTCTCGTTGCCTTTGCTGATCATGGTGAGCGACTGTTGGTCTCCCCGCGAAGCGAAAAGCCGTGGTCAATGCGACGAACACCGTCTTCAATCGCCTTATGGGAGGCAGTTCAATGACAAGGCGGTTACCGACAACCGCAAACACTGGCGTGTTCGTCAATCTATTTTTCTTGCCTTAGTGACTCTGTTTGTTGGCTATTTGCCATCGTCAGCAAGGGTGGCGGCAGGCCAGCTGTTCAGGTTGAATACGATGGAGGGAAGAAAACTTTCGTATGTTCTTCTTCCAAATTTGATGGCTTCAAGCTGCTGAGTCGACAGTCAGCAGAGGAACTTTCTTCCATGGTGTTAACCAAAATGAAGGAAACGGCGGAGCAATACCTGAAGCAGAAAGTCGACCACGCTGTCATCACAGTCCCAACCTATTTCAACGACGCTCAACGGCAAGCTACTAAGGATGCTGGGCAAATTGCTGGACTGAATGTCCTTCGTGTCATTAACGAACTCACGGCGGCTGCTCTCGCCTACGGACTGGACAAAGGCAGCAAAGCTAGAATCGTCGCTGTCTACGATCTTGGTGGTGGAACTTTCGATATATCCAATCTCGAAATGCGCGACGGCGTCTACGAAGTCGAGTCCGCCAACCATGACAACTTGGTGGTGAAGACCTCGACATTCTCCTCGTTGACCACATCCTCAAGGAATTTAAATCCAAGCACGGTATTGATCTCAATGGCCATCCAAATACTGCTTCAAATCTTTTGCGCGCCGTCCAGCACGTTTCCCTGTTCATCTCCACCAAGGACAACACTTCGTGCGTGTTTTATGCCTACACTTTGAAAGATCTAATGTGTGCTCTCAAATCTAGCGGGCCTCGCATTGCGTGGATCACAATATGTTCTAAACTAAAGGAGTCCATAACGGCTGCTCGCACTTTCAATTCCCAAGCTCTTAGTCTGCTGCTATCTCAGCTACCAGCACTCCCAATGTGGCGAGCAGCGGGCTTCCCTGCTCACCTCCACGAAGTCGGGGTTGTGTTGCTGCCCAATCCGGTCATCGTGGACGCCGACGAGCCCAGTGACTGGTTTATGGCAGATTATGCAGTGGATCGACGACATCTGAGTTCGCATACTTGGACTGTCCCCTCAGACTTTCCTCGTTGATTTACCAACTGGACGACGCGTTTTCGGGAAAGGCCATCACTTCAGAGCAACATTATCAGCATGCCATCAAGGCATCGGAACTCTTCGAAGAGCGGAAGTTTTCGAAGAGCGGAACTCGTTATGGTCTATATAAACAGGCAGACCGAGCGCCTACGTTATAGAACTTATCGTCCCAACTGAATCGCCCACTTCAAACATGACGCCCAGCGTCACTTCACCTCCCACACCCGCAACAAACGAAGCTTTGACAATGATCGACATCCTTGGGGTCATCTTCGAAGCCTGTCTTGCCTTGAACTTTTCTGTCGAATGGCACAACGACGTTCGGCAAAAGATGGCTCTTGGGGCGGTGTGCAGGTGTTGGAAATTCACCTTGGAGTCACTTCCCGCCTTGTGGTCGCACATAATTCTGGTCCCGCGAATGCCTCAGTATTACATCGACAAGGTTTTTCGACTTGCCAAGCAAGCTCCGAAACGTTTGCGCATCGACCTTGACCTGGACTCGGAATTGGATACCATGTTTTTGTCTTCGATTGCCGCTCTGCTGGTTGCCAAAGCGGAGACAGTCACTCATATCTCCGTTCAATATATTTCCTATTCCGCCTGGAACACATTTGTCGACCATTTATCAGCGGCCAGTCCTCAACCCCGCTTTCTCTCGCTCAGATCCTTCTATGCGACTTCTCCTACCGCCCTGCACAACCAACTCGGAGATGCCGCCCCACATTCGTTTCCGGACCTCGCAGCAAACCTCCAAGATCTTTATCTTGACGGATTGCTTCCGTCGTCGTTTGTCGTTGGTGCCAACCTGATATCGTTGTCTCTAACAAACCTTTACTTGGCCGAAGACGATACGGCTTCTTTCACTTTCACGACGACATTGTTGGACTCTCTTCGTCAAACTCCCCATCTCGAAACGCTTTTCATTGATGTGGATGAGTCCTTCACAAACCAGCCTGTGCCCCACAAACCAGTCGTTCTGCCTTACCTGCACACCCTGTCCTTTCTCTGCAACATGCCCTTTCCACATCACTGTGGTTTCCTGCTTTCCCTAGTCCACCTTCCGAAACTACACAGTCTCTCACTGCATCTGGTCAGTGTGCAGAACGTGAACAATTTCATCTCGGTGAACGGGACCCACCTTTCGACCATTGTTGTGCTGCGTCTTATCGGCGACATTTCGGCTTATATCGAGTTCACTGGTGGTCGAGCAAAGCTCTTGTCTTCGTTGACAGGGAGCAGGCTTCGTCATTTAGACTTTCTTGATGTCGACGGGCTATTTCCGTTCGATAGCGAACACAACGTCTTCGTCCAAACGCAATTCCTTGAAATTCTCGCGCATACACTTTCTCTTCCGGCTGTTTGCCTTCTAGTCATACCACCTTTATTTTCGCCCCCGCGTCCAGCCTCACGTGCAAGCTTGATCAGGTCCTTGCTGGAGCCTGTTGTAATACAGGCCGAACCTAAACGTATTTTCGAGGAACATGCATTATGCGTTAGCATCGACGACGATCATTCAAAGTGTGGTCGTATGTGGTCCTGGGACCATTGTGGACTTGCCTGGGAAAATAAAGCGAGTCACTTTCACGCTGCTCTACTTCCGATTTTTTATATGTCGACTTCCTCTTAATTACATCATGTAGTATCTTACTTCCTTGCCAAGTACTTCGTCATTCATTTATGAGCCGGTGAGAATCGACCAATAATTCAGCAAACTGATGGACCGCCTCACTCTCTTCGATTGCTTTGACCGGAGAGAGATACTATCACCATGCGGCAACGGCACGGTTGACCGATTGAGCGGGCCGGGCCAGCCACACGGATCATAAAGCAATGTCTTGGCGAATCATCCCCTCGGGTTGGCCTGCAAGTACGGCGCCTCAAACCCGGTCGCCGACGGCCCGGCGACCCGCTGATGGCCCGCAGATTTTTTGACTAGTTCCAGCTTATTGAAGTTCAGTTCAAGACAACACTGTGTATAGGTGGCAGGAATACATTTGTTTTGCGCTATTAAGAGCAAAAATGTTTTGGAAAAGAATGTAGATTAGTGTTGACTGTCGGTAATACAGCGACTACCTTGAAATCATCTTCCTCCACCAATCCTTGAGCCCTCCGGTACTCCAAACACATCAGTCCCCAAATACTTTGGCCAGCAAGTCGGTTACGTTGTCCGTGCCCTTGTTTGCATGCTTCTTGAGATTTTTCGTCGAGTTGTGGTCTGGTTCCAAGCCATGCGATGGCCGCAGCCCCGAGCAGCGCAGACAAAGATATGATGGAGCTGGCCTCCACGATACTCGATATGGATGTCGCCATCGTAAAACGCATAAATGGTGCTGGTCCAACCGTGCTTAGCCTTGTTTAAGAGCAGTCAGATGAATGCTGTCAAATGAGGAATATGCACATACCAAGATTCCGCTGCCGCAATTGATGGCATGACAGTGAACTCCGAGTCACAAAGATGGGAAGACGGAGGATTCCTCACAGTGGCGAACGGTGAACTCGCAAAAGCGACCCTGATGCGATTGAGACAACGCAGGGCACCAACCACCTTCTGCTGGGTGAAAGGAGTCGAGGGAAACGAGGCGGCAGACCTCCTCGCAAGCGGGGGTGCCATGAAGAGTGAACCAGATGAGATAAGAACTAATGAAGCCGAAGACTTGAGACTGAGTGGTGCGAAACTGAACTTGAACACGCTAACCCAATCGTCAGCGATGAAGACGATGAGAATTCTCAAAATGAACGCACCCCAATATCAGGAGAAACTAGCCCGCGCAGGAACACTAAGGAATATACCGCTGGCCCGCGGCGTGGCTACAGACGAAGGTGTAGAGGAAGTGTCGGACAAGAAGATATGGAAGTCAATAAGACATAAAAATATCTCCAAGAATATCAGATTCTTCCTATGGATGTTAATACACGACGGATATAAGGTCGGCAAACACTGGGAACACATACCAGACCACGAATGGAAGGGACCGTGTAAGGAGCCCCGTTGCGGGGGTGTGGATGAGTCGATGAGCCATATTTTGACACAATGCGAGGCGCCGGGCCAGGAGAAAGTCTGGGAGCTCGCCAGTGAGTTGTGGAAGCTGAAAACGAAGAGTGAGCTGCCACGCCCGACAGGCCAGATCATGGCGTTGATAAGGCGGACATCGGCACAAGACTGTTCCGCATAATGATTTCGGAGTCGACACACCTCATTTGGAAACTCCGAGAGAGAGTGATCAACGAGAAAGACCTCAATGAACGAAATAAAGCGTAAATGGTGCTGGACGATGAATAACAGACTACAGATTGACAGAGAGATGATTAATGAAAATAAATACAGGAAAAGGGCCATTCCCAAGGCATTAGTCCTCAAAACTTGGAACGGAACACTGAAAGATGAAGAATCACTCCCAAATGACTGGCCAACGTCAAGGGAGGTCGGGGTTTTAGTGGGTGTCGGTTGAGGCGGGCGATGACGGGTGGTGAACAGGAGGGCCAACTCCCTCCTGCACGCCCTGAGTCTGTCGAGACTGCAGCCCCCCACTAGATGTCAATGCCGTTGGGCCTAGTGCGGATGCGCATTTCCTCAAGTGGTGTTGATCCGGCTGGCGACTTATAACATGGTTGTTGACGCGTTACATCAGGTGTGACTTGACGTGCTTCAGCAGATTCTCATCACACATTCGTGCCCCAGGCCAATCCTGGTCATTGGTCAATCTAAAAGTTGCTTTGCTCCGTTATGACAAATTTGTTTTGTTTCAGTGTCTAAGAAGGCATACTTACAGAAGGAGGTGTGGACTCAGTCAAACCAAATCGACTCTGGGAAAGACACATAATCGGGAGGAGGCAGCGTGCTTGCTTCCTTTGTCCAGTGAAGTCCATGATGGTCCCAGGACCACCGGCGACTGCATTTAGAATGATAGCTGCCCGAATCAAGGCACAACGCATGTTCCTCGACAACGTGTTGCGTTCTCCCAGGGATGGATGCAGGCTCGAACAACGACCTGATCAAGGTGGGATGCAAGTCTGGATATGGGGGCGAAAGTAACGGCGGCACGACCAAATGAAGAACAGTCGGAATAGCAAGCGTATGCGCAATGATTTCGAGAAACTGGGTTTGCACAAAAACTCGTCGCTGCCGATTGTAGCCAAACAGTCCTGTCACATCGAAGAGATTCAAACTGTGGAGTTTGGTGCCCATTAACGAAGACAAAAGCTTTGCTTGACCTCCGGTGTACTCGATATAGGCAGAAATGTGCCCGACTAGGCGCAACGAAGTAACACATGAGATGAGAGTTTCATTCATGGAAAGGAAGTGCTGCATATTGCGCAAACTAGTGAGACACAATGTCAGCGCTTGTGCTTGTGGGACGCGGATCTGTGATATCAAGGTGCCGCAAGCGTGGGGAGATGATGTATGGCAAACAAAAGTTAGGTTGTTCAAATGGGGAAGAACAACTAGATGGATAGAATGCGCAATGAGGGGCTCGTTGATATCGATGACAAGAGTTTCGAGATTTGTAACCTGGTCAAGACAGTCGAGTAAGGTTGCAGCAAAAACGAAGGAGTCGATGGGATTGTCAACAAGATCCCAACGCATGAGGACCAATGTTACGATGTTGGGGCCGATCATGAACGAGCTAGGATTTAACCCGTCAAGATGGAGGTGCTCCAATGATGGAGTAAGACCCGGAAACGGATGAGAGAGTTCAGTGTCAGGCTGGTTCAAGGTTGCGGATAATCGCTGGAGGGAGGAAAGGTTTGGTTGAGAGTTTACTGCTGATATGTAGTCGATGAAGGTGTTCCAGGCGAAGTAGGAGTAATAATGAACAGAGAGGTGGGTGACGGACTCCGCTTTGGCAACCAGGAGAGCGGCAACCGAAGACAAAAACGTGGTATCCAATTCCGAGTCACGGAGAAGTTCGATGCTCAAACGTTTCGGAGCTGCCTTGGCAAGCCGAAAAACCTTGTCGATGTAATACTGAGGCATTCGCGGGACCAGGATTATGTGCGACCACAAGGCGGGAAGTGACTCCAAGACGAGTCTCCAACATCTGCACACCGCCCCAAGAGCCATCTTTTGCCAAACGTCGCTCTGCCATTCGACAGAAAAGTCTAAGGCAAGACAGGCTTCAAAGATGACCCCAAGGATATCGAAAGACGTGAGAGCTTCACGAGTTGCGGGTGAGGGAGGTGAAGTAACGCTGGGCGTCATGTTTGAAGTGGGCGAGTTCTATAACGTAGGCGCTCGGTCTGCTTGTTTATATGGACCATAGCGAGTTCCGCTCTTCGAAAACTGATACCTTGATGGCATGTTGATAATATTGCTCTGAAGTGATGGCCTTTCCCGAAAACGCGTCGTCCAGTTGGTAAATCAACGAGGAAAGTCTGAGGGGACAGTCCAAGTATGCGAACTCAGATGTCGTCTATCCACTGCATAATCTGCCATAAACCAGTCACTGGGCTCGTCGGCGTCCAAGATGACCGGATTGGGCAGCAACACAACCCCGACTTCGTGGATGTGAGCAGGGAAACCCGCTGCTCGCCACATTGGGAGTACTGGTAGCTGAGATAGCAGCAGACTAAGAGCGTGGGAATTGAAAGCGGGAGCAGCCGTTATGGACTCCATTAGTTTAGAGCATATTGTGATCCACGCAATACGAGGCCCGCTAAATTTGAGAGCGCGCATTAGATATTGAAAAGTGGAGAATTAAGCACGCACGAAGTATTGTCCTTGGTCGAGACGAACAGTGAAACGTGCTGGACGGCGCGCAAAAGATTTGAAGCAGCATTTGGAGCGTCTGTAGCAGCCAACGTGGCGGTAAACCGAGGCGTTGCGAGCTTGCATGAAATTCTAGGCCAGAATTAGCGACGACGGATATTCTCAAGGACAACCCTTACTTGTGCAGTAGATATAACCGCTGGGGCAAAGGTAGTAGGTTTTCGGAGATGGAGCAGAGCATAAAAGACGGGCGAGGCGAGTTTGAGTACGAGCATCGATGGTGGCGCTAAAGATGGTATCTGGAGTAGATAGTGGTGGGCGCAAGCAAGTTGGGACAAATGTTTGATGTGGGGACCCGCTCGGCTTCCTCAAGGTAAACGAAACACTTTTGAGGTTTGGCTGTACCCAGCTACGATCCTATTCGTTGCGATTCAAAGTGGATTTCTGGACCTCTATCCATGGCTTTGGTCGGAGATTATTTGCGATTGCAACTTGAAGTGTTTGCGTGCTTGTTTTCTTTCGCTAAAACCCCATCATCGTGCCTAGTTGCGGCCAACGGCCAAGAGGTTTTAAATCCGTCCAGCCTGCCCGAAGGTGAACAGGGAAACCCACTGTTCAACGTTGAGCGGAGGGTTGTTGATGGCGGTCCGTCACATCTAGATCTGATTTGATCTCGTGACATCACAATTCCAAGTCTTCTCTTCGTGCAAACGCCTCAAGTCCAGAGTGCGACCCTCCAGCGGTTGTCGTTGGACGAACCAAGAGCGAACCCACGTTTGGTTCGTCACGGTTACGCAGCAAGTCTTCGTCCTCCAACCCTGACACCCAATTCTCCTACAAGTAAGAGTTAACCATGAGAATATCCGTCGTCGCTAATTCTGGCCTAGAATTTCATGCAAGCTCGCAACGCCTCAGTTTACCGCCACGTTGGCTGCTACAGACGCTCCAAATGCTGCTTCAAATCTTTGGCGCGCCGTCCAGCACGTTTCACTGTTCATCTCCACCAAGGACAACACTTCGTGCGTGTTTTATGCCTACACTTTGAAAGATCTAATGTATGCTCTCAAATCTAGCGGGCCTCGCATTGCGTGGATCACAATATGCTCTAAACTAATGGAGTCCATAACGGCTGCTCCCGCTTTCAATTCCCACGCTCTTAGTCTGCTGCTATCTCAGCTACCAGTACTCCCAATGTGGCGAGCAGCGGGTTTCCCTGCTCACATCCACGAAGTCGGGGTTGTGTTGCTGCCCAATCCGGTCATCTTGGACGCCGACGAGCCCAGTGACTGGTTTATGGCAGATTATGCAGTGGATAGACGACATCTGAGTTCGCATACTTGGACTGTCCCCTCAGACTTTCCTCGTTGATTTACCAACTGGACGACGCGTTTTCGGGAAAGGCCATCACTTCAGAGCAATATTATCAACATGCCATCAAGGTATCGGAACTCTTCGAAGAGCGGAAGTTTTCGAAGAGCGGAACTCGCTATGGTCCATATAAACAAGCAGACCGAGCGCATACGTTATAGAACTCGCCCACTTCAAACATGACGCCCAGCGTTACTTCACCTCCCTCACCCGCAACTCGTGAAGCTCTCACGTCTTTCGATATCCTTGGGGTCATCTTTGAAGCCTGTCTTGCCTTGAACTTTCCCGTCAACTGGCGGAAGGAGGTTCAGAAACAGATGGCTCTTGGGGCGGTATGCAGATGTTGGAGACTCGCCTTGGAGTCACTTCCCGCCTTGTGGTCGCACATAATTCTGGTCCCGCAAATGCCTCCGTATTACATCGACAAGGTTGTTCGGCTTGCCAAGCAAGCTCCGAAACGTTTGCGCATTGGCCTTGACCTGGACTTCAAATTGGATACCACATTCCTGTCTTCGATTGTGGCTCTGCTAGCTGCTAAAGCAGAGACAGTCATTCATATCTCCGTGCATTATTGGTCCTACTCCGCCTGGGTCATATTTGTCCACCACCTATTGACAATCAACCCTCAACCAACATTCGCCTCACTCGAGAAATTCTCCGCGACTCCCATCTCTTCCTCGAATACATCTACGGCTACTTCGTTGAGTCTAATTGGGGATATTTCTTCTTATATCGATTCCATTGGCCATCGTGCGACGCATTCATCTTCCTTGGTGGGGACTCAACCAACGATTGGATTTCCTCGATCCAGGGGTCCAGGTCTCGGCTCCCGCACAGTTTCTTGCACATGCGCTTTTCGTTCAGGCCGTTCACCTTCTATTCATACGATGGTTACGTTTGTCCCCTCATCCGGACTCGGTTGGCATCATCAGCTCATTGTTCAAACCTGCTTGGGTTGATGCCAGAGCAACATATGTTTAATTATCTAGGGATATGGCACGCCTACCACTCCAACTTTATACGACCTTGACCGTATATCATGCATTTTGTCCTATCGTTCCATTAACTTTTTCCACGTCACCTACAAATTTTCTATGCCCTTGAATAAATCAGTTTCGTTCATGCGCTCGCTTCTGACATGCGAATTCGTTTTTCCGAGTGTTCGATCCGGTGCTTTGAAACTTCAATTCCACTCGACCAGTTGATTTATGCATCGTCCAGTCAAGCTTCTGGCAAGTAGAGTTATAATAGCAAGCAATATTTCAAGCAGTGCTGGGTAGTCGGTTCAGCAGAAACCATATCATTGCGAGGGAGTCGTGGACATGGTACGATGAAGAATTTCGAGCTTGTAGCCTTGGTTTTAGCGGACTGGTATGAGAGTCTAAGCTGACGAATGCTCATGACCACTTCGGGGATTAAAAGGACATTGTGGGCAAAAGGACAAGATCGTACGACGAAAAACAAAACAATTGTTTCAATTAAGTAGTTTCTGTCAAAATTTTTGTCCCTCCTTCAACCGTTATCATGTACTACATTGTACCAGATTACAGCAAGGCATTATTGTAGAACGACAACAACATCAGTAAACAAGCGGCTGACTACGACACTAGTTCCATAACAATACGCAAGGCTTCTTGCCAGATCAGTTTGCGCATATCCATACTAGGTACATTGCACGCGTCGAGCCCAGCACCATGCAGTCTGGCATCCAGACTTGAGAGTTGTACTGGAAGAAGCGGGCAAAGGGGCGATTCACAAACCACCGAATTGAGCCGTGCAGGAAGGGATTCCGAACGCTCCTCATTGTTGTGGTTGAAGACATGTTCCCGAATGCGAGCATCACGTTGAGCCTCATGATCCACGCCATAATGAGGCAGATCTTCAAGGGGTTGGTCTTCGAGGGATTCATCTGCAAAAGGTAAAGTATGGACGCCTTCTTCAACCTGACCGAATAAAAAGATATCAGCAGGTGAGCGATTGGGCTCGCCACGAATTTGCAGAACATGGAAATTCCAGGTGTTGACCCAAGCTTGGGCCTCATTATTGAGTGCAGGTAGAAAGAGATGGTGTAAAAGCCAGATATGTAGGTCATCGTCGACATGCAAACCATAATATTGCTCCAGGGACATGAAGAAGTCATACCACTTCACTCCCAGGCCTTGAGTCCAGTCTAACCAAAGGCGTTCAATGCGGGTATTGTGAATGCTCCTGAGAAATCATTCAGTTGGGATAATATGCGAGACAAAGTACATGACCTGCCAAAAATGTAGGAACCCCGACCCGGACCACGCAGTCGCTCCATTGCCTCTGCGACTTGGACATTTTCGACGCCGTGATCTCCTCGAACTCTGCTCGGCACACCATACAGTGCTGTTGCTTCCAAGAACAGACAAAGGACTGTATATGAACGATTGTTGTTGTGAACTCGCAAGCCAGTCACGAATCGCGATTTCCCGTCAATGAACGCATGGGTGACCAACTTCCATCGGATGAGACCTTTACAATCTGCTCAGTTATACTGTAGCTTCTGTATCAAGGCACCACTGACCATGTTGTCCATCGTGATGCCACAATGAATTGACCGCTGGAACCCAATACTTCTTCCGTGAAATCTTGCGGCGGCCAAACGATGGTGGGGCCCCACGCACTCTCACCATCGATGATCGTAGTCGTGAACGAGATACACGGACACCCTGGCTAGCCAGCTGTCCCATGACCATACTCCTGCCGGCATTAGGAAAAAGTTGAAAAATAGCGAAAGTCAAGGAATCGAGGTGTTGGTCGGATATATCAGTATGCCGAGTGGAACGTCCGCATGCAACGTTACGCCGCCGTTCCTCGGAGCCGTCCGGCAGAGCCAAGGACTGAAACACTGGCGCACCGGGAGCGACCAGATTAAGATCCAACAACCTCCGCCGCACTGTTCTAGGTGAGCAGCCAAGGACTCGCGCAATCTGAGTGGGTCCCTTGAGCTGTATCGCCTCTCGGAGGAAGTTGTCTTCTATCACGATAGACCGTCGACCCCCTCGGGATGTGGAGGCCCCGAGTTGTACCACATCTATTGGGTGCCGTTTATGGCGTTCTGGATCTGTTTGGCCAGCCTTCTCGAGGTCATTGACCATATCGTGGATATTATGAGATAAGCGTTGGAATTCATCGGTGGGAAATATATCGCGATGCTGGTAGTTATCAGGAAGGGAGCTGCAGGACTGATAGATCATCTTACTTGCTGGGCGGAATGGAGGAGAGCAAGGCAATCATTACGCCGGCCGCGAATTTGCGCTTCTTCTTGACTTTGTGTGCGAAGAAGGGCTGAGACAGCCTCTTCGAGTGCCACGTAGGCGGAGCGAAGATTATCAAGGCGGTATTCGTCCATCTAGCTGGGAAAACAAGACGAGGAAGAGTGGGGAAAAACGATGTTGCAAGCTCGCACAGGATTCTAGGCCAGAATTAGCAACGACAGATATTCTGAAGGACAACCATTACTTGTGGGTGGGAGAATTGGGCGTCCAAAGGGAGGAGAAAGACTTGCTGAGGAACTGTTAAAAACAAAAAACGTGTTAAATCAAATTGATTGACGCTATGGATGAGCGCTGAGCCGCTCGCAAAATAAGCAAAGCTCTGCTGTGGTCGAGCAATAAACCCGCGACAAGTTGATGAACAGGGAAACCCGCTGTTCGACGACCGACGGTCCAGAGACGGCGTTGATGGCAACTTAGGGTCACATATCATATCATCGCATCGCGTGACATCCTGATCACGTCTTCTGGGAAAGTCTCCAGTGGTTGTCGTTGGACGAACCAAGAACGAACCCACATTTGGTTCGTCACGGTTGCGCAGTAAGTCCTCGTCCTCCAGCCCCGACACCCAAGTCTCCCACAAGTAGTAAGAGGTGTTATTGAGAACTGCCGTTGCTAATTCTGGCCTAGACGTTCTCGCAACATCTCAGTCTACTGCTACATCGTCTACTGATATCTTGGCCAGCATCTCGCAATGCGACGAACGGCGGGTTTCCCTGTTCACCCCCACCAAGGCCAATACTTCGTGCGTGCTTAATTCTCCACTTTTAAATATCTAATGCGCGCTCTCAAATCCAGGGGCCTCACGTTGAACAAACATTCAATGTGTTTTCTGTACTAATGAATTAATGGAGTCCATATCGACTGGCCATACTCTCGCGCTTTTAACACCCAATTCTTCACCACGGGTCTCTTTGCTAAAGTCCACAGTGCGACCCTCCAGCGGTTGTCGTTGGACGAACCAAGAGCGAACCCACGTTTGGTTCGTCACGGTTACGCAGCAAGTCTTCGTCCTCCAACCCTGACACCCAATTCTCCTACAAGTAAGAGTTAACCATGAGAATATCCGTCGTCGCTAATTCTGGCCTAGAATTTCATGCAAGCTCGCAACGCCTCAGTTTACCGCCACGTTGGCTGCTACAGACGCTCCAAATGCTGCTTCAAATCTTTGGCGCGCCGTCCAGCACGTTTCACTGTTCATCTCCACCAAGGACAACACTTCGTGCGTGTTTTATGCCTACACTTTGAAAGATCTAATGTATGCTCTCAAATCTAGCGGGCCTCGCATTGCGTGGATCACAATATGCTCTAAACTAATGGAGTCCATAACGGCTGCTCCCGCTTTCAATTCCCACGCTCTTAGTCTGCTGCTATCTCAGCTACCAGTACTCCCAATGTGGCGAGCAGCGGGTTTCCCTGCTCACATCCACGAAGTCGGGGTTGTGTTGCTGCCCAATCCGGTCATCTTGGACGCCGACGAGCCCAGTGACTGGTTTATGGCAGATTATGCAGTGGATAGACGACATCTGAGTTCGCATACTTGGACTGTCCCCTCAGACTTTCCTCGTTGATTTACCAACTGGACGACGCGTTTTCGGGAAAGGCCATCACTTCAGAGCAATATTATCAACATGCCATCAAGGTATCGGAACTCTTCGAAGAGCGGAAGTTTTCGAAGAGCGGAACTCGTTATGTTCCATATAAGCAGGCAGACCGAACGCCTACGTTATAGAACTCGCCCACTTCAAACATGACGCCTTGCGTCACTTCACTCACAACGAATCAAGCTTTGGCCATGATCGACATCCTTGGGGTCATCTTCGAAGCCTGTCTTGCCTTAAACTTTTCTGTCGAATGGCAGAGCGACGTTCGCCAAAAGATGGCTCTTGGGGCAGTGTGCAGGTGTTGGAGACTCGTCTTGGAGTCACTTCCCGCCTTGTGGTCGTGCATAATTCTAGTCCCGCGAATGCCTCAGTACTACATCGACAAAGTTTTTCGTCTTGCCAAGGCAACTCCGAAACGTTTGCGCATCGATATCTACTCGGAATTGGCCCCCACATTCTTACCCTCGATTGCCGCTCTCTTGGTCGCTACAGCAGAGACCGTCACTCATCTCTGCGTGCAATATTCCTCTTATTCCACATGGGATGGATTTATCAACCACATATCAGCAATCCACTCCCAACCACGCTTTACCTCACTCCAACAATTCTCCGCTACCACTCCTATCCCTCTTTGGAGTGAACTTGACGCTGACCTCCCTCATCGGTTCCCGGGTTATGCCCCAAATCTGCAGCACCTCCTCCTTCATGGGTTGCCTTTGTCCTCATTTGCCGTTGGTCCCAATATTAATTCTTTGGCCCTCACAAATTTGAACTCGGTCTACGATGATGCGACATCCACCGTGTTTGCCCTCTGCCTCTTGGACACCCTTCGTCACACTCCCAGACTCAGCATGCTCATGGTTGGCGCTCCACCAGAGTCCACCCTCCATCTTAATGCGTCAAATTCGCTTGCACCTGTGGTTCTTCCTCATTTGCACACTTTCTCTTTTCTTTGCATGCTGTCCTCGACACATCGCTGTGGCTTTTTGGCCTCCTTGATTGTCGCCCCACAACTTCAAACACTATCCGTGGGTTTGGCCAATGTTCCCAATACGAAGGACTTCATCTCGCTAAATTCATCCAAAATCTCCGTCATCGCGGGGCTCCATCTTTTGGGCAACACATCTGCTTACCTCGAGTTCACTAGTGGCGGCGCCCAAAAGCTTTTGTCTTCTTTGACTGGGAGCAACCTTCGATCCATCGATTTCCTCGATCTCGTGGGTAGTTTTGATTTCGATGCTGATCACATCGTCGATGTTCAACGAGGGCTCTTGGAAATTCTTACCCATGCACTCTCTTTACCTGCTATTCGCCTGCTGGTCATACCGCCGTTATTTTTACCTCCACATCCCGGCTCACGTAGAAGCTTGATGTCATCTCTATTCGACGATCTTCCGAGGGATTCCAAAGCCAAACACATCTTGGAAGCACATGCAGTGTGTCTCTCTTCGGAGGAAAATCATTCAAACTGTGGTTTATTGTGGTCTTGGGAGCATCGAACACTTACCTTGCGAAGTGAACCCAGTCATTATAGAGTGGGATGGTTCGGAGCTGAATTTTTTGTACCGGTTAATTTTCTCTAATACTTGTTATATCTCAAATAAGGCCGCTCCTTCCTTACAGTCTGACCACTCACTGAGCTGAGCTGCCTTGATTATCATTGACACACTTGTCGGGAACATGAATGACCATTTCCTAAATAGTAGGCGGGACTCTAAGTCTGAGGCTAAGCGCACAAGTTTTGACTTGTGCGTCGGTGGGCGGCGATGGAGTGGCTCCGGACTCTTCCGACGATTGGCTTCAACCCTCGGCTCCTTCTAATACTTCAATTTCGTCAGTCGGACCGTGTTGCCGCGTATTAATCCAATCCAATCCAATCCCCCTCCACACGATGTGTTATTTTTGGTCGTCACACTCTTTGGTCGGCGTCACACTTTCCCCCTCTCAGACCAAATTCACTGTCTGACTGCGGGAGACAAACGCGATGCACCGCTATAGGTACGAAATCTGCTCTCTCGGTAACAACTCTTTTCAGTACTGACTAACGCCTATGCAGTGCCGCCTCCGTCAACGCCACACTCGCCATAATACTCTTCAGCCTCGACAAACCGTCATGAGACAACTACGACTCCATTTTCAGCCCCAAAGGTTGCCGTACCCCTTCCCCCGACTCCTGCTACCTCAACGCTGAATCGGCCGAAAATATCGAATGCATATTTACTTCCTCTGGCTATGCAATTCCACCACCGCCCCCTCCCCAAGAACGGGCCAGTCCAGTTCCAAATTGGTCGGCTCCTCCTCCACCACCAGCACATATGGCTTCGTCGCCGTATAGTGCATATGCAGAACCGCCTATTCGCTCCGCATGTTCAACAAAAGCTTTACATCTCCCTCCTCCGCCACGTACTTCGTCTCGCGCCGAGTCTGTGACTCGTTCTTCAATCGACCAAGTTCAGAGAAAAGCGTCTCCTGCTTCTTTTGCAACGCCATCACATCATTCACCAGAAACCCACTTAAACGTCGCTGCACCAACAGTCGGTGCCCCTCGAACTCACGGAACGAGCGGGTCAAGGCAGCTGCCCCGCATCGCTACAGTATGTCCATGACCTGTTCCCTGATTGAGAAGTTTAGTGGCTTCTTCCACCGACAACAATGAGGGAGCAATCACCAACCATGATGAGGAAGAAGAAAAAAGTCAACAACAGTTGGCAAGGCCGTTAGAAATGAGAGTCAACGCTCGCATGACCATCCCTCCCCATGCCCGGGTCCCAAAGAGTTCCTCCCAACTGGAGGAACAGTGAGGAAGATGACAGCAGCGATGGAGAGGAGAGTGGGGAAGAGGGTGAAGACGACGAGAGCAGTGGCCAGAAGGATGAAGACGACGAAGATGATCCAGAGGAACAAGAATGATGCTCTCTGATTCTTTGCCCCTTCAACTGCAATGCTTGTATATAGGTAATATGGTAAATCCCCCTTATTGGACAACTATACCAGATCTAGTACCTTACTGTCGTCAACCTACCTCTTGCGTGCACATACGACCAAAGACTAGGCTGCTAACCAAGGACAGAATAAATTGTCATTCTATCTCCAACCTGCGTCCACTGCCGTCGCGTTGTCTACCTCTCTTGCTCAACACCGATATCCTTCATCTTGCCGTCCAATAGTGAATGCCTTCTTGCTGCTATTTGTCGTCAGCTCGATGTTGTGTTGGGACATAGCCCTCGTCCGCAATTTGCGCTCCACTTTCAAGAGTGATGTCAAATTTAAAGGCGCTCGTCCGCTTTCCCGACAGACAACGGACCGTAGATACGACTGGGCCGGCCAAACTTCGGGATACTTGGCCACAAACCGATTCTCCGAATCAAGTCTTTCAGTGAAAGACTTTCACTGCATCTGGATCAGAAGCTAACAGTCGTAGTTGCCAGAAAGTAAACGAGCACCAGAACTGAGAGCGCGACTGTGTCTGAAGATCATTAGTCAGAGCAAACGCGCGACCTAATGTAAACCTTTTCCACTGTTGGGCCCTTCTGTCAATCGATCCAATCTCTCGTCTTCCACTCGCAGCTGCTCAGTGTTGAAACCCCTCAGAATTCGTATCGTATCTCGTCCTCTATTGCGCGATAGCGCTACGTACGCGTAAAATGGTGTCAGTTTACCGGTCGGCGGGTCACCGAGGTTGATGATTTCATATTCGAGAGTCTGCACTTGGGACTTGAAGCCGGTAAATGCATATGCTGGAGTCATCACATATTGCCGTCGCTTTACTGTTCTCGACTTCGGAGTGCCGCCTGTAGGAATTTGGAATGACACTGCCGAGGGGACAACAGGCAGAACGCCGTCTGGTAAGCCACTGATAAAGCCAAAGGTCCTGGTGTCTGGCTCGAATAACAACACCGCCGGCGGAAATCGCAGCATGACTTTACCCTCTTGGTCGGTCATTAACGGATATGACTCTTTGTGATCAAGCTTCAGGTCCACAATGGTTCCACAAGTCCCATTTGCGAGGTCTGCTTTGGTTGCGATGTTGAAAAGAACCATCGCTCGCATGCCTGGCGAGATGTTCACCTGTTCTTCGAGTTTGCCTGTCTGCTTTTGAGTCTTGCTCGTCGGTGAAATATACCCCCAAACCCTTTCAAGAATCATATTTGCCTAGAATGGCCAACGATACGAGTCTGTAGATGTGCATATATGCGTAGATAATGCAACGATATAACTCACAAAATTTGAAACTTATCAAACACTCGCGAGACTGTCAATGGGAAACCATGCTCTCATTAAATCGATTAGCAGTCAAGACTCACATTCAATCGCTCTGGCAGCATGAGGGATCATGATGAAAGTCAAGTTGTTCCAATCCAATGCTAGTGCGTCGATTTCTTGCTTGATGAACCAATGCACGACGGTTGGGAAGGGGTGAAGAATGATGTCGACACGAGGATAGAAGTCACTGACGAGGGACATGTAGTGGATTCCCCTCCAGACCCAGGTTGCGAATACATTGCTAGCCTCGATACACCCGCTCGAGACGTACTTCGATTGACTGTGCGTGATGGTTCACAAGGATGAGAGTGATTCTATCTTCGCTCCACTCAGAAACCCAGCATGGTCCCTGTATATCAGTCCCGATGAGAGATTGAAGAATTGCTGAACCAACAGCCCATATTCCACTCCAGTCGAGGCCTTCGAGAACTCCTCGGGTAAAAGATTTAAAAGTTTCGCGGAAGTCAGAAGTGAAATCATCCAGTATCATGTAAGACGTAGGGTAGTTCGTAGTGGGAAAACTGTGTTCTCGTTACTACGCTGTGGCCAAATGTCGACAAAATCCTTGAATGATAGCATGCACAATAATCTCGCTCAGGCTACAGTAGTGCCGGCTTTTTCAATGAGTAGTTCGTTCGCTGCAATCGTGTGATAGGCTTAGCAAGAATAAAAATAGACAATAAGTAGTCGACGCACCATTCGTCCAAAGTTTCTGGGCAACAACGGCGGGCAGTAGAGTATTTGGCCCGTACGGGAGTGTGTCAATGTGCCGCATCTCTTCAGAGGGAGCAACTCGTTGCCACGCTAGCTGAACGAGTGTTTGACGGCTTCAAAAGATTGCTGCTGTAGCGTCACCCAATCTACGTGATAAGCAACACACGTACCAAGCCACCGCCATGCATATCGGCGGATGTCGTCTGAGTCACTAAAGGTTGTCGTTGTTGGATAAGCAACGATATTATGGCGTGTCTGAGTGCGCGCCTTGGTGGGCGCCTTGTCTTTCCAAGGTCTTTGACTCTTTGGACTTTGGTCATGACCAAGAAAGTATTTGATCATTGATGGCACGTAAGTAAGTATTCGACATATTCCTATCCTCTATTAGAAAACGCAAGGGACTCGAGATGAATAGATATAGTTGAACGAGAAATTGATGAATGGAATTGCTGGAAAGATGACTAGATATAATTGGAAGGAAGTGGACGAATTCCAGGCGTAGAATGACTGGCTCTACTTGCCTGCTGAAGTCCTTCAAAGTCCCAGGACCACAGGCGACCACAATTGGAATGTCCACCGCCTGAAACAGGGCACAACGCATGTTCTTCGAAAATATGTTTTACCTCACCTCGCGTTGAAACAGGCTCCAACAAAGACCGTATCAAGTCGGTGGCGGAGGGCGAGTGTGGGGTTGAACGTAACGGTCGTATGACCAAGAGACGAACAGCCGGAAGGGTAAGTGCATGTGCAAGGATTTCAAGGAACTGCGTTTGAACCCAAAGCTGTCGCTCGGCATCGAAAGTAAAAAGGCCACCGGTATTGAGAAAATCCAGATGCCGCAGTTTACTCCCCGTCAACGACGACAAAAGTTTTGCGGGACCACTGGTCAAATCGATGTAAAGAGAAATGTGGCCAATTAGACGCAGAAGAGTAATGGTGGAAAGATGGGTTTCATTGGCGGAGATGAAGTTATGAGAGTTATGGTTGCTCGCCAAGCCCAATGAAAGCGTATGGAGCTTCGGAAGTTTGATTAGGGATATCAAGAAGCCGCAGGGGTGCGGCGATTGCATATTGCAGAGAAACGATAGGGTGTGGAGGCAGGGAAGAGTAAGTGGGCGGTGGGTGTCAAATCGGGTAGTGAAGGATTCATTGACATCAATGATAAGAGTTTCAAGGTGGGGTGTCTGGCGGAGAGAATCCAGGAAGGTGGCAGCGAAATCGGAAGAAGCCGGATGGTCTTGAACCAAGTTTGTGAGGGCCAACGATATGAGGTTGGGACCGACTACAAACGAGGACAAGGGAAGGCCGTCAAGATGGAGATGCTGCAGGTCTACCGCGGCACCGGGAAACAAACGAGGGAGGTCGGCGTCAAATGCGCTCCAGGAAGAGACCGAACGCGTCGCGGAGAAGCGCCGGAGTGATGTGAAGTTTGGGTGAGGGTTGGTTGCTGAGATGTAGTTGACAAATGTATCCCAGTCGGAGTAGGAAGAATATTGCACGGAGATAGAAGTGACTGTCTTCGCTGCGGCAACCAGAAGATCGGCAATCGAAGACGAGAATGGGGAAATCAATTGCGAACTGAGGTCAAGGTTGATGCTCAAATGTTTCCGAGCATGCCTTGCGAGCCAAAAAACCTTGTGGATGTAATACTGAGGCATTTGTGGCATCAGAATGATATGCGACCACAAAGCGGGAGTCGACTCCAAGGTGAATTTCCACAACTTGCACACCGCCCCAAGAGTGATCTTTTGCCGAACGTCGTTCTGCCATTCAAGTGAGATATCTAAGGCGAGGCAGGCTTTAAAGATGACCCCAAGGATATCGAAAGACGTGAGAGCTTCACGAGTTGCGGTTGTGGAGGGTGCAGTTTCGCGATATGCCATTTGGAGTGATTCGGTTGGTACGTTGTCGAAACTCGCTCTGCCCTTTTATATGGGCTATAGGGAGTTCCGCTCTTCGAAAACTTCCGCTCTTCGAAAACTTCCGCTCTTTGAAGAGTTCCGATACCTTGATGGCATGCTGATAATGTTGCTCTGAAGTGATGGCCTTTCCCGAAAACGCGTCGTCCAGTTGGTAAATCAACGAGGAAAGTCTGAGGGGACAGTCCAAGTATGCGAACTCAGATGTCGGCGATCTACTGCATAATCTGCCATAAACCAGTCACTGGGCTCGTCGGCGTCCACGATGACCGGATTGGGCAGCAACACAACCCCGACTTCGTGGATGTGAGCAGGGAAGCCCGCTGCTCGCCACATTGGGAGTACTGGTAGCTGAGATAGCAGCAGACTAAGAGCGTGGGAATTGAAAGCGGGAGCAGCCGTTATGGACTCCATTAGTTTAGAGCATATTGTGATCCACGCAATGCGAGGCCCGCTAAATTTGAGAGCGCGCATTAGATATTGAAAAGTGGAGAATTAAGCACGCACGAAGTATTGTCCTTGGTCGAGACGAACAGTGAAACGTGCTGGACGGCGCGCAAAAGATTTGAAGCAGCATTTGGAGCGTCTGTAGCAGCCAACGTGGCGGTAAACCGAGGCGTTGCGAGCTTGCATGAAATTCTAGGCTAGAATTAGCGACGACGGATATTCTCATGGTCAACTCTTACTTGTAGAAGAATTGGGCGTCAGGGTTGGAGGACGAAGACTTGCTGCGCAACCGTGACAAACCAAACGTGGGTTCGCTCTTGGTTCGTCCAACGACAACCGCTGGAGGGTCGCACTCTGGACTTGAGGCGTTTGCACGAAGAGAAGACTTGGAATTGTGATGTCACGAGATCAAATCAGATCTAGATGTGACAGGACCCGTGCAAATCCCTATTGAGGTCAGATACCGCAATCCGGACAAATTTTTGGAAAATTTGACGAAGGTTTGACCAGAATCCGGACAGAAATCGGGCCAGAAGCGGACATCTTTGATTCAGAATCCGGACAAGACCTCCGGCTGTTGGGGAGGTTGAATCTCAAATCCGGACAAACTTTTGGCATGATCAACCCACAACGCAAATAAAATTTAGGATACGGTAGGAAGTGAACATTGGAACAAGTATTGCCCCTGACTGCCCCAAAAAAACATGTCCCGGTCAACAGCCATCGAATTTTTTGACGACGAAGACCTCACTGCTTCCAACGACCAATGGAGGGAAGCAGACTGGATTGGGTGTGGTCGGACATGGAAATTCGAAAGATGTCCCACGTTCAACCGCAATCCAAGCAGAACGCACCCGCCGTATTCCGTGGTCTCTGTCCTCACCACCGTGCAACGAAAGGGAAAAGCGAATATAAATGTGCTAGATATAGAGGAGGAGGATGGAATAGAGGAGTAACTGTATGGTATTCACTCTAAAAACGTTCTCAGATGGTTTTTTTTTGCGGTTTCTACGGTTTCTGCGATTTTTTTGAGGTCGGAACGGAATCCGGACAAAATTTCGGGATTTCTCGCATGTCTGAGCCAAATCCGGACAACACTGGTCAAGTCCGATGTCCAAAAAATCCGGACAAATTTTGGCCAAGCTCGTTTTCAGAATCTGACCTCAATAGGGATTCACACGGGTCCTGATGTGACGGACCGCCATCAACAACCCTCCGCTCAACGTTGAACAGTGGGTTTCCCTGTTCACCTTCGGGCAGGCTGGACGGATTTAAAACCTCTTGGCCGTTGGCCGCAACTAGGCACGATGATGGGGTTTTAGCGAAAGAAAACAAGCACGCAAACACTTCAAGTTGCAATCGCAAATAATCTCCGACCAAAGCCATGGATAGAGGTCCAGAAATCCACTTTGAATCGCAACGAATAGGATCGTAGCTGGGTACAGCCAAACCTCAAAAGTGTTTCGTTTACCTTGAGGAAGCCGAGCGGGTCCCCACATCAAACATTTGTCCCAACCTGCTTGCGCCCACCACTATCTACTCCAGATACCATCTTTAGCGCCACCATCGATGCTCGTACTCAAACTCGCCTCGCCCGTCTTTTATGCTCTGCTCCATCTCCGAAAACCTACTACCTTTGCCCCAGCGGTTATATCTACTGCACAAGTAAGGGTTGTCCTTGAGAATATCCGTCGTCGCTAATTCCGGCCTAGAATTTCATCCAAGCTGGCAACCACGTTGGCTGCTACAGATGCTCCAGCGTATCCGTGAAGCGGCAGAAAAGGCCAAGATTGAGATTTCGTCAACCGCCCAGACGGAAACTTGCTGTTGATCACCGCCGACGCAACCGGTCCCAAGCATATTAACACGAAACTCCTCCGTTCGCAATTCGAGGCCCTTACTGCTTCCCTCATCCAACGCATTGTCGCTCCCTGCAAGAAGGCGCTGTTCGGTGCTGGCGTCAAGCCCAGCGATGTCCACGAGGTTATCCTTCTGTCAAGAGCGTTTTCGGTCGCGAGCCTATCAATTATAAGAAGGGTGTTAACCCTGACGAGACTGTCGCTATTGGCGCTAGTGCCCAAGGTGGTGTTTTGGTCGGCAACGTCATGGATGTTCTGCTTTTGGATGTTATGCCTCTTTCTCTTGATAAGTCATTGTGTTTCTATCTTTTGGAGTTTAGACTGACGGGTGATCACAGGTATCGAAACTCTCGGTCGTATCATGACCAAGCTCATCACTCGCAACACGACCATTCCTACCAAAAGGTCGCAGGTCTTCACGACTGCCGCTGACGGTCAAACTGCTATCGAGGTCAAGATCTACCAGGGCGAACGTGAACTCGTTGCGAATAACAAACTCCTTGGTAGTTCGTCAGAATTCCCCTGCTCCCAAAGGTGTCCCTCAAATCGAATCACTTTCGACATTGATGCTGGTGGGTTGGTCTGTCTTTTTTGCCATCTACGTTAATCAACATGTTACTAGATTGTCAACGTCTCCGCCAATCTGAAGGACAGGGCTAAAGGACCAGCTATGATCATTGCCTCTTCTTCTGATCTCAGCAAGGACAACATCTACACCTCTCGGACTAGCGCTGAGACGACGGATGGGTATGAGCCTGAACCTTTCCTCACATCAGCGTATCGGAGACATCTGACGTGGCTATAATATATATCTCTTGGGCATTTATCCTCTGAATCCTACGCTTGGGCTGTTGTTCGCAGCAGTTAGTAATCATCTCCTTAGCCTTGCCCATCACCGTCTGTTTCGTCGTGAATTGCTCTTCATTCATTGAATACACACTTTCAATTACAATTGCTGTGTAAAAACGAAGGTTTAAGCACATAAGGAGGTCCTCCTTGTCACTCGAGGACGGAAAAGCGTCTCCTCAAACAACCGCAACGGGGTCCATAGGGCTTGGGGCCCACTCTGCGCGGAGTCCTTCAAACCCAGGAGGTGGGTGGTTGGAAATAGCATCCATGAAGATGAGCCCAAAGCCACGTGTACGGAACCGAATGCTGATAGTAGCGTCGCGGACGCGAATGGCATTGAGGAAGGACTCCGTTCCCAAATCAGGGATGACCTGAACAGTTGCCCCGGCGATTTCCCTTGCGTCTCCCGCGGTTACTCCGTGAAGCCAGACATCGTGTAGCTTCTCTTGATTAGCACTGGTGCGCTGGCGCTTTGATGGGGACTCGCGCTCAGCGGTCGGTGCCTCCCGCGCCTTCATTGAAGAGTAATGTGACACCAGCGAATACTGGGGGAGTTCTGGGCATCAAACTGATGCGTGGATGGCTGCCTGAATCCTCCGTACTGCAGCTGGGATTGGACGGGAGCCTGAGTGGGCGACAAAAAAGGTGTTTCCGAGGCACCCATCGGGAGTGGCATGTTGGATACAGAGATTTGGGGGGTGTAACCCGGGTTGACGCTGCATGGCCTGTAGTGGTCATGCCTTGCACTTGACCTCTCGTGGTGCGAAGAAGGTTAACCTGCGCCTGGAGTTCGTTAATGCGCTGAATGAGAGCGTCGTGGCCTTGGCCTTGCACTTGAGTGAACGACGTCTGCACAGTCAGAAAACGTGTTTCTTCATATCTTTCGCGCGACATTCGACTGTCGGGCCGATGTGCCTCGTCGACATGAGACACGTGAAGCTCAAATGCGGACTGTTTATCATTGAGACGTTCGCGTGCGTCTCCCGCAGATTCCGTACCCGACGGGGCGGGTGTAAGGCCCCATTCCTCGAATAGTACGTTGTCTTCCGTCTGCTCTCCGTCCCCGTCCTTTTTCGATAATGCCGTAGTCGTTGACGAAGAGACTGGTCCATTGACTGTAGAGGCACTGGTCGAAGAGGTGGCGGCTCGAAGAGCAGCAGGGTCAGTCTCCACCATCTGACTAGTTCCAGTCGCTGTAACTCCCGACGCCAAATTCAGGGGAGTATTACTAGTCAAGCTCGCACTAGTTTGCTGAGGGCTTGTTGCCTGAGTGCCGCGTGATACACGGGGAGAGATCTGAGGCAGAGGTGCAAGCTCGTTTGTGGTAGCAGGAGTATTTATCATGTTCATTTGAGGACCAACGAGGCCTCCAGCGTTGTTGACAACAGGAGCTTCGGATGTCATCGTATGGTGAGCAGGGCGTGGGAGAATGGCCCTCTGTCTCTTATCGCCTTTATGCTGGAATCCCATTGAGTTTGCGTGAGATGGCGGGTCGGGCTGATCTGAGTGGCGAGAGTCGTCGAAACATTTCGTGTTGACTGTTTTGTCGCTCAGAAGGGTCAATTGTTGATTCTATCTCAAACAGCGAGGTATTGCCATATGGGCTGCATCGGAGGGTTTAACTAGTGTTGGGGGGAATTGGATAGATAACCAACCTCAGAGATGGCGAGTTCCGTTCGAATCGTAGTTCCACGTTTAATAAATCATTGCGGATGAGGCGAAAATTCATGGGCACAGACGTCGATGGAAATGATGTCTTCAATAACCGAAAAACTAGAATTGGTTCTGAGACGCAGAGTTGAGCAATAAACTTACGTTTAATTCTCCCTTAAGGCAGTCTGAAGCGGCATAGTACGAAATGACCCGGTACTCAGTTTCTTCAACGGTCATTGTAATCATCTGTGAGCTTTTTATCTTCAATCATGAATATCAAACAAAGGTATACCTTCTTAATGAGACCATTTGGCTTGAAGTTGAAACCCTCCTTCGACAGACAATGAAATTGCGTCTCTCTAGAGGCGGCCCTGGGACGAAACTGAAGTTCAGTAATCGTTATATTATATTATCATACTGCGCCTGGTCTTTGCGGCCTATCACTTCTCGTTGAAACTGGCAATAAATGAGTAGTCATATCTAAGACTGAAAATTTGGGTCGCACCACAAAATTTCCTATGGTCGTCGGCCCCGACCATGACAATCCATCTGTGTAATCCGTCAGTAAACTCAGTTTCAGGCTGGAAGACTCTGAAGGATCGCACCATACCACCGTTGTATCTTACTCTCTCCTGGACTGAAAATAAAGACTGCGCCACTCTTGAGTTCAAACTTGAGCTGATGTATGTTGATACGCCGAGTTATACGAGAGATTTTCCCTTCTTGAGCGAGTCTGATGAGGACAAATGCGTCGGCAGTCGTGCTAACATGTCCAAAGTAAGGACTGGCGTCTTGGAGCATGCTACCCAGCGCGACGATGTTCTGGATCAACTTGAAGGTGGTTATTACGAGTCACTCGTTGTCTGTCTTGACGCTCTTCCGATCCATCGCCCCCGACCAAAGTAGGTCGCAATGAACACAGTGAGAAACTTGGTACCCCATCCAAATCGGGGATGATATTCATGACTGTCACATCGCAACTTCCTTTCAACTTTCAATGCACTGTTTTGGGATTCGACATGTCTCGTACGGCAAGCCAGATACCTTCAAACTTGGTATTCCTCATTTCCGTTTGCCGCCGATGTATGTCTTGGTTTACAACGCTCACTCACTGACCATTAAGAAAAGATGGCCGTTTTCTCAGTGTCCATCCAAAGCCTCTCGGCCAGGCAATTCAACTCTCGACGATTTAGTTGATGCAGGCGGCCCATCTGCATCAATGTATGGTAACGAGGATGAGAATTCGGAGCATTCGTGGGAGGTGAGTGATTCCACCGCCGGGAGTGGATCTGTCAATTTCGTCTCACCAGAATAACGATAAATTGGCTTGCACGGAAAAGGAACTCAACCATAACACCTTTGTGGATGGCCCCCAATATCTTCGAGACCGTCTCGCTATCCCAGCTGATTGGGCGATTGGTCTTCATTTAATCGTTGACACAGGAAGACGTCCCAAGACACCAATGTGGATTCTGATTGCCTTAACTCTTGCTGCTAGTCCATCTGGGATACTTTCCTCGCAACAGATTAAGAATGCTCTTTCGGAGCATTTCGTCGCCTTCCGCGAAACAACCTCATGGATGGTAAGGGATTCTTTCTTCGCGACGCAATATTTTCAAAAATTGTCAGAGCAATGTCTACAATACTCTTTCACTCTACACCATCTTTCTTCGGGTCCAAGACTATGTTGACTGGTGCCCAACAAATGACATGGGGTCAAATCGTAGTGCTTACTGGTGTCTCGACTTAACGTCAGGCGAGAGAGTCAGACCGTCGAAGACAAAGAATCGGACGAATCCCAAGGCGTGAGTGGCGCTTCTTCCTATTCGCTCAAATCCAACCAACTACCAGGAAGCAACAGATTGTTGCCCCACAAGACCAGATAGCCTCAACGACATATCACGCAACGGATGTTGACGACAAGAGTGATAGCAGGGAGGATTTTGTGCTGCCTTTAGCCAGTACCGAGAGCGCCTCTCCTGGTGCGTGTTAACCATCCTCTTATAACTAATTCGATATGTTCTGTTAGATATATCCGATCCGGAAGTCGCCCTCCATTGCGCTCATGCCAACTGTATACGCCAGAAAATTGCGCCTGGATGTCATAACAGAATGTGTCGCAACCACTGTGCCCAACGGGGAGGATGCTCGCTATATCGACACAGGAAACATGCAAGCGAAGTAAATGCCGCTCGAGGCTCATTGGCATCCATAGCTTCGGAGTCACTGGGTATCCAGCCCGAATCGCCTTTAAACCGGCCATCTACTAACACAAGTCGAGGCAATTCTTCGGTACCCATACCTCGAGAGCTGCAAATCGCCGTACCTCATTCTAGCGAAGCTCCAGCACCCTGCGTGGTCGCACAAACTTCCCAACCACAACTGTCTACTTTATCTTCAACACTTACAACGGGACCAATTCTTGTCAATGCTTATGAACCTGTCGCAAAACCATTGCCTCTAACGTTGCAAAAGAATGGCACCGACTTAACCCCCATTCTCGCCGTACCTCGTAATCCGATGGACTCGCGATGGAACAATCGTTTCAAGCTCCTCATGTTCATTACCGTTCGTCACTTGTCGTCCTCTAAGTGTCAAAGGACTGATGAATTCCTTAGCCTGGAGAGCGCGAGTCTGCGCTGATCATTGATAACGCTATAAATTGGCCACTATGGCGGGCGTCGGAGGCGGTCGAGGACTGCGCTGTGTTGTTAAACAATTTACAGAAGACGGAAAGAATAGAACTATATGCACCTGGCATTCCTCTATGGTTCTCCATCAAGCCGGATTTCGAACATCACCTCACCCCTGGCTGCACAGTCGCTATGAGGCGCCGCCACCCGGATTGGAACGACCATGATCTGAAGCAGACAATTACTAAATGTATGGAATATGTGGGTTAGCAAGGTTAGCAACGTAAGTTTCAAGGAGTTTCTCAACAATGGCGAAGCTGATTAACGGAAAGATTTTTTATCATGTCCGATCGCAAACCTCCTCCGAGCGACCCTCGTCCACAAGTCGTTGGCTCACATGCTACCGAAAGTTGTCCTAGACTTGTCGTCCTGAATCATCTTAGCCACTCAATCCCGAAGCATCACTTATCGCCCCTTGCACAGTTTTAGTTCGGGGCGGGAGGCAAAGCATGGGTAATTGAAGCTTCTCCCATTGAAAATAGCCAATGTAGCCGATATTTGTGCCTAAGATGTGGTGGGCTCACTCCCATCAATATGATCAAAAGCTAGAGTTGAGCATGTTAATTGTGGTGTCGTTATCGGCCGGCTCGATACCGATGGAAGTGTGACGGAACGGTCACGTGACCGCCCGAGGTATGTTACATATACAATCTGGAAAAAAAACTCCCATTACTGTAGCTCATAAAATGATAAATGTAGGCAAAATGTGGGCAGAAGCACACTTTGATGGCATTTTCTCTGCGAGTACTCATTCAGTTGAGAGTATTTGATCGCCAATGACAGAAAGAAACCACATGTGTCCGGGATCCGGTGTGACAATACCCATATCATGTGAGCATGATTATATTGGGTTATAAGTGACCTATAGACCTAAAACTATTTCGCTTACAGTTACACAAGCTTGGTCGCGCTCTGTTCGCTGACTCATCATTCGGTAAGCGATGTCGCCTTTGTGTAATTTCAAATTTGTGGAGGCTGGCATGATGACCCGGCCCGCTCGATCGATCTTGTCGGTCATCCACATCATTTCACTTCGTGCCGTCGCCTCACTCTGGTCAAATCGATTGAAGAGAGCGAGAAGTCTATCGGATCATTGGTCAATTCTCACCGCCTCATGAAGTGACGAAGCAAAGGAATCAAAAAAGGCATATTCCAGAAGCTTTCTTGGCGAGCAGATACACGATGTAACTAAGACGAACCCGACAAATAAAAAATCGGGAGGAGAGCAGCGTCAAAGTGACTCGCTTTGTGAAAGCGACTCGCTTTGTTTTCCGAGGCAAGTCCACAATAGTCCCAGGACCACATACGACCACACTTTGAATGATCGTCGTCGATGCTAACGCATAATGCATGTTCCTCGAAAATACGTTTAGGTTCGGCCTGCATTGCAACAGGCTCAAGCAAGGACCTGATCAAGCTTGCACGCGAGGCTGGACGCGGGGGCGAGAATAACGGCGGTATGACCACAAGGCGAACATTCGGAAGAGAAAGTGCATGGGCGAGAATTTCAAGGAATTGCGTTTGGATGGAGGCGTTGTGTTCGCTATCGAACGGAAATAGCCCGTCGACATCAAGAAAGTTCAAATGACGAAGCCTGCTCCCTGTCAACGAGGACAAGAGCTTTGCTGGACCATCAGCTGGCTCAATATAGACCGAAATATCGCCGATGAGACGCAGCACAACAATGGTCGAAAGGTGGGTCCCGTTGACCGAGATGAAGCTGTTGGTATTGTGCACACTGGCCAGATGCAATGAGAGACTGTGTAGCTTGGGAAGGTGGATTGGGGAAAGCAAGAAACCGCAGCAATGTGGAAAGGGCGTATTACAAAGAAAGGATAGGGTGTGGAGGCAAGGCAGAACGACTGGTTGGTGGGGCGCAGGCTGGTATGTGATGGACTCATCCACATCAATGAAAAGCGTTTCGAGATGGGGAGTTTGGCGAAGAGAGTTCAGCAATGTCGTCGTGAAAGTGAAAGATGCCGTATCGTCCTGGGCCAAGTCAAGGTTTGTTAAGGCCAACGATATCAGGTTGGGACCAACGACAAACGACGACGGAGGCAATCCGTCAAGATAAAGGACTTGGAGGTTTGCTGCGAGATCTGGAAACGAATGTGGGACGGCATCTTCGAGTTGGTTGTGCAGGGCGGTAGGAGAAGTCGCATAGAAGGATCTGAGCGAGAGAAAGCGGGGTTGAGGACTGGCCGCTGATAAATGGTCGACAAATGTGTTCCAGGCGGAATAGGAAATATATTGAACGGAGATATGAGTGACTGTCTCCGCTTTGGCAACCAGCAGAGCGGCAATCGAAGACAAAAACATGGTATCCAATTTTGAGTCCAGGTCAAGGTCGATGCTCAAACGTTTCGGAGCTTGCTTGGCAAGTCGAAAAACCTTGTCGATGTAATACTGAGGCATTCGCGGGACCAGAATTATGTGCGACCACAAGGCGGGAAGTGACTCCAAGGTGAATTTCCAACACCTGCACACCGCCCCAAGAGCCATCTTTTGCCGAACGTCGTTGTGCCATTCGACAGAAAAGTTCAAGGCAAGACAGGCTTCGAAGATGACCCCAAGGATGTCGATCATTGTCAAAGCTTCGTTTGTTGCGGGTGTGGGAGGTGAAGTGACGCTGGGCGTCATGTTTGAAGTGGGCGATTCAGTTGGGACGATAAGTTCTATAACGTAGGCGCTCGGTCTGCCTGTTTATATAGACCATAACGAGTTCCGCTCTTCGAAAACTTCCGCTCTTCGAAGAGTTCCGATGCCTTGATGGCATGCTGATAATGTTGCTCTGAAGTGATGGCCTTTCCCGAAAACGCGTCGTCCAGTTGGTAAATCAACGAGGAAAGTCTGAGGGGACAGTCCAAGTATGCGAACTCAGATGTCGTCGATCCACTGCATAATCTGCCATAAACCAGTCACTGGGCTCGTCGGCGTCCACGATGACCGGATTGGGCAGCAACACAACCCCGACTTCGTGGAGGTGAGCAGGGAAGCCCGCTGCTCGCCACATTGGGAGTGCTGGTAGCTGAGATAGCAGCAGACTAAGAGCTTGGGAATTGAAAGTGCGAGCAGCCGTTATGGACTCCTTTAGTTTAGAACATATTGTGATCCACGCAATGCGAGGCCCGCTAGATTTGAGAGCACACATTAGATCTTTCAAAGTGTAGGCATAAAACACGCACGAAGTGTTGTCCTTGGTGGAGATGAACAGTGAAACGTGCTGGACGGCGCGCCAAAGATTTGAAGCAGCATTTGGAGCGTCTGTAGCAGCCAACGTGGCGGTAAACTGAGGCGTTGCGAGCTTGCATGAAATTCTAGGCCAGAATTAGCGACGACGGATATTCTCATGGTTAACTCTTACTTGTAGGAGAATTGGGTGTCAGGGTTGGAGGACGAAGACTTGCTGCGTAACCGTGACGAACCAAACGTGGGTTCGCTCTTGGTTCGTCCAACGACAACCGCTGGAGGGTCGCACTGTGGACTTTAGCAAAGAGACCCGTGGTGAAGAATTGGGTGTTAAAAGCGCGAGAGTATGGCCAGTCGATATGGACTCCATTAATTCATTAGTACAGAAAACACATTGAATGTTTGTTCAACGTGAGGCCCCTGGATTTGAGAGCGCGCATTAGATATTTAAAAGTGGAGAATTAAGCACGCACGAAGTATTGGCCTTGGTGGGGGTGAACAGGGAAACCCGCCGTTCGTCGCATTGCGAGATGCTGGCCAAGATATCAGTAGACGATGTAGCAGTAGACTGAGATGTTGCGAGAACGTCTAGGCCAGAATTAGCAACGGCAGTTCTCAATAACACCTCTTACTACTTGTGGGAGACTTGGGTGTCGGGGCTGGAGGACGAGGACTTACTGCGCAACCGTGACGAACCAAATGTGGGTTCGTTCTTGGTTCGTCCAACGACAACCACTGGAGACTTTCCCAGAAGACGTGATCAGGATGTCACGCGATGCGATGATATGATATGTGACCCTAAGTTGCCATCAACGCCGTCTCTGGACCGTCGGTCGTCGAACAGCGGGTTTCCCTGTTCATCAACTTGTCGCGGGTTTATTGCTCGACCACAGCAGAGCTTTGCTTATTTTGCGAGCGGCTCAGCGCTCATCCATAGCGTCAATCAATTTGATTTAACACGTTTTTTGTTTTTAACAGTTCCTCAGCAAGTCTTTCTCCTCCCTTTGGACGCCCAATTCTCATAAAGTCAGACTCATTGTCGATATTGCTCAGATTCTGATGTCTTCCAGTATACCGGGTAAACATTTGGCCGAAAGCATCTGCGCTTCTTAGACCTCCCCAATTTCCTCGCGCCTTGGTGCCCTGCTGCTCTCCAACAACGCCCTTAAGATATCGAATACTTCATCTGTTTGGTGAAAGAGATCAACTCTAAGATCTGTTGGACCAACTTTCATCCCTCGCGCGCAAGCCGAATTGGACATTGTCGTTGGTTTTGACCGACTTGCCTCTTTTCCCGACTATGACTCGCTCCCGCTTATATGTGCTATCCTGAACGAGAGACTTCGCTGGAGACCTGTGGCGGCACTTCTCATGCAAGCACTGAAGGCTGTCTATCAAGCAATATGCATTCCAAAGGCAGCGCAATCATCACCAATCTTTAGGGAATACAATTAAGCCCAGCTGATTTCCCTGGCCCGCACACATTCAATCCTTACCGGTTTATGGAGAAGCGCGACTACCTGGCACCATGGCAGCACTCAAGTTTCGGGGATGTACCTTAGCATTTTCATCAAGTATGTCGTTCACTGATTCTAGTTGTTTCACGCTCATCACAGCCAAGTATTGCGCGAATCTTGTGGGGCTTCAATAATCACGCCACAAGTTAGGTCAAGAGATCACTCTTGTCTACACAATCCGGCAATCTCAATCAGCATTTTCCCAATGTTTGGGAGAATTCTTGACAACTCTCTTGGCTGCGACGAACGGCCGCCCAATCGTAGACCCAATCGAAGGCATGTGTGTATTGATGCGGGCACAAACGAATTGTAGGCTACGCGAAAGGTCAGTTCTTCGACCATTTCTTCCTATCCTCGTTAAGTTGTTGGAGGACTTTTCGATAGTATTCGTCGCGCGGATTGGCGGGCAGATCTTCCCCGTTTCAACAAATTGTAGTGTTTCGATAGGTGGGGGGGGACTGAGAGGACAAGAAATATTCAGGCAAGCTATCCCGAATCTAACATCGGGTCATTAATTCACTTTCGCCAGGTCTCCCAAGTACCTGCAGCACCCTAGCCCATCTATTCAATCTCGAACTGAGCTCACACTTCCGCAACTGACCCATGTCGCCCTTCTGTATTCTCGTCTCATGCACGATACGGCAATTCCACTTAGCATTTCCCCAATGTCTGGGAGAACTCTTATCAGTCTAGTTGATGTTCTTGTCACTCAGGACAGGGTACCCGCCACCAAAATCTTGCTTTATTTGCTGGATGCATTTTTGGATCGACTAGAAGCCCTCCTGGTTGTGTTGGACGTCACTTACAGAGCACTCGAACGAGCGAAGAGCAATTAGACAGAGGAGATATACGACGCAACCTGTGCGGGAAAGTCTTGTCCGCCAGGTAGGGCCGCCTATCTAACGGAAACCCAGAGAAAGTGATCCAAGGTAATTCAGCCCCGGTCATGTGACTTATCTCTGACAGAACTTTGACTCCCGTAATCTCTTCAAAACACTGAATCTTTGTCAAGCGTTTCTGACCAAAGAATCATACTCGCCGACTTTACTGACTGCCATTCTTCGTTCTTGGTAGACTATTGGCCATTGTTTGGTGAATATAACGAAACTGCCGCCAGCGCCACCATACGCTTGTTTAAGATGGCTTTCAGCTCAGTAGCGATTCATCAATCGTGCAATGAGCCTATCCTTGCCCCACATTTCCCCAATATTCTTTGCACTCGCCGCAAAAGCAACAAAGCCAACTCACTACCTCTAACCTTCTTCGATCGTTGTTTCGCTCTACAAAGAGGTGCTACCTCTGCTCCCCGAAATGATGGCCCACCCGTAGATCGCATGGTGCATTTTTTCGTTATGAAGCATTACAAATACCCACTATTTATGTACAGGATATCGAATCGCGTGACTCGGAAGAGGATCCTGCTCTGAAGGTAAGTACCATCCTTGCTGCTCAACTTGCTCGCGTTCCTACAAGCTATAGGATTTTGCACAACGGCTCAAATTCCACCTTCGCAGGCGAATTCTCAACAGGGAGCATGGTAGTTCACTGACGAACAACAAGATCATGATCGTCAATCTCAGGGCGACTATCATCGAAATCACTCATAGCCGCGAATCATCCCTCAAGAAAATCGTCGAGCTTGAAACCCAAATGACCACACTCAGGCTCTCCGGATCCCGCGAGCAGGCCTTTGATCACCAACTTCTCATTCGAGCTGAAGAGACCTTGACGACGGTGAGATTGCAGGCCGATAGTCTCCTCGGTTCCTCGCGGACCGCGGTTCGTGCCATGAATGCTGCTTTCTCTGCGGTTGAGATTGTTGAAGAGGATAGTACCGTTCCTGAAGAAGCCTAAGGGTGCCTTTTTGTATTCCATGCCACGTTCTATACCCGCTTACCAATACTCTACACCAATGCAATGCTGAACTTGACTCGGAAGTCTTTCCAGTGACTGGACTCAGTGAGGCTTGGTGGCACGATTGTGTGACATACTAGTACTAGTTGGCTGCTTCACAACTCCATCTGTCTCGAAGCCATTCAACTCCAACTCCCAGTGGCAACAGTCTCTTTCCAACTGCCATGGCCATACACGTACTCAGGCTATTGCGCACCGAGGGTATGCTGTTCTGTCGTCCATTTACTAGCAAGTTAGACTCCAACTAATACTAGTAATTATTAAACAGTACCGAACTTAAAGATGGTCCTCTCCGTCTGAGGCCTTCACAAGCGTTTTGACGCTTTCTAGTGGACGAGTTGAAGTTCTTTCCTACAGGCCTGGAGTTCAAAACGGCCATGCAGGAATCGAAACTGACATGTCATGCCTCTAACAACAGCTGCCGCCCCGCAAGCACTTTCGATGCCAACTCGAAGCAGTCGACAGAGGAGTCAAGGACTACAAGAAGAACATAGAGGTTTCGGACAAGAACTTCAAAAACAAATCCTGGCAAATTCGTCAGTTGTTTCTCGTTTCTCGACGCCGAAACCAAGCTGAAGTAATATCGTTGCAGGAAGCCGGCGCCATGGTTCTTGCGAGATGGCCAAAAATGGCTCAAGAGTGCCTCGCGTCGTTTGGTGCACCATTGACAGTGCAGATGAGCATCAAAACTGGGGATCTCGAGGCCGGAAATACCGCAAGGAGGAGACCAAGATGCCAAACGGACTAGAAAAAAGGTTCGTCATAGGGCTAAGCTCCGCGAAAAATGCTGATCATCCTCCAAGTCGGTGGCGAATGTAGACACAATATTCATACCACACTCCTCCGCTTCGAACTCTTTCGACCCTCCTCCATTAATGACGCTCCTGCGCTTGTATCAGGCAAATGGGCGCTGGCTGCCCTAGATATAGTCTGTTGCTTCCATCACGTCCGCCGCTTCACGCATCAACACATCGGAAAACTGTTTCTTGTGCAGAACGAATACCCTTCCATCCCGATGATCTCTATACAGAGCTGAAATCGCCACCAACTCCTCCTCATTCAACGACCATCAAACGGGGAACTGAGTTGCCCCTCCCAGTCAATCCATCCAACCGTGCCAAATCACAGCGGATAGTCGGAGGCTGACGAGGAAGAACGGTTTGACATCGGAAATGACTGAGACGACGAAGAACAAGGAGCGGGCCTTACTTATCGACCCAGGAAAGTCGAGACGCGCGAAGTCTACGAGCTCATTCTGTCATCTGTCCATACTTCCCTCGGAAGACGTCGTTCGGAGTGCTGCCGACCTGGTACTCGAGACGCTCAAAAACGAGAAGACTTCAACAAGAAAACCGAGTTAAAAGAAATCCTTTCAGCCCGCGTAAACAAGGAGCAATTCTCGCAGCTTGTCAGTCCTTCGAAGAAAAATCACCGACTACAGCGCCGAAGATGACACCTCAAGGATCTCGACGTCAAAATATGGGCCTGGATGATGAGGTTGGAATTGCGGTTGTGTTCGATGAGGAGGAGCAGGACGATGACGAGGCAGAACGGTTTGACATTGGAGATGACTCAGACGACGAGAAAAGGAAGCAGACGATGGCCCTGTAGAACAAGCAGAGGAGGATTCGGGCGAGTTTGTTATTGGAGGCGAGTCTGCCCAGAGCGCAAAGGTCAAGTCCGACAAAGACATCGTTTCCCCTCACGCCATCGACGCATTCTGGGTTCAACGTCAAGTTTCAGAAATTTACCCTGACCTAGTCACCGCTGCCGAGTAAACAACCTCAGTGTTCTCTCGATTCTTGGCTCCGAGCCGAGTTTGCGTGACTGCGAGAATGAACTCCTCGAATATCAAAGTTTCCATATCAAAGCCAGATTCCTCAAAGGTCGCGATCTCATCGTCGGGTGCACAAATGCAAAGTGATGCTGATGAGCGAGTTAACGTGGAGGTTGCGATGAGGGAAAGGGGCGTGGGTTGGATTCTTCGCGAGCTTTCGGGGAATCGTCAGGCTGGCAAATCCAAGCCGTATGATGTTATGGATGTTGATGAACAGAAACACGACATACTCTAGCTCCCTGCAACCAAAACGGACCGTGGAGAGTATGATATTCAGCCAGGGCGGTCATCTTAGGTCCAACAAGAAATGCAAGCTCCCAGAATGCTCTTTCAAACGCACCAGGAAGGGTTACGATGAAATTCACGTACCCGCTCCCAAAAAGAAAGCCATTCCAGACATGGATTTCGTACCCATTGCGAGCATGCCTACTTGGGCAACCCACCTTCACTGTTCCACGCCTCCATCCCGTCCAAAGCAAACTCTATCCCATTGCATTTGGAACGGACGAGCCGATCTTACTTTGTGCCCAGGCTGGTGCTGGAAAGGTTTGTTTTCTGTAATAATATATATTGTTCCTGATGTCCTTCCTAGACGAATGTCGCTATCCTCAACGAGCTCGGCAAACACCGCGACGAGGAGACAGGAAAATTCGACCTTGATGCCTTCAAAATCGTTTACATCGCCCCGATGAAGGCGCTGACTATAGCCTCCGCAATGTCAGCCATCAACACTTGTCCGACCATCTGTCCGAAACGGTCGAAAACACGCTGAACGACCTTGTCAATTCAATCATTTTCCATCGAGGACAAGATGGATCTGTCCGGGCCGTGCTCAACCTTGGTATGATTGCCCCATACATCTCCATGAGCTAAGTTATTGGCAGACGTCACCATTGAGGTCTACGCGTTGTTGTTGAAGGAGCGCACGAAACTCAAAGGAATCCTCGAAGTTGTTTTGGAGGGCGAAGTTGAAGATAAGTAGCTACAGCCATGACGATGACGACAGCAGAGATGAGATAGATTTGTTCTATACATGTATCATACATACATTTCTCCCGTTATTATTTAATATGTAGTTATTGCTCCTCCTCTTTGGCCCAGGAAAGTGTTGACGACTGATGAAAATCAACGTTTCTGCTGATTCGTGACACTTCTCTTCCGCGCCGCCCTGCGCCGCTACGTTCACCAGCTCTCTCACTCCCAACCATACCATATGGATTCTCCACCGGTTCAGCTTGGAGTCTCTACTAGGCTGTTGTCCAATTAACCTCAGGCTTCGGCTTCACGTGCAGTAATACAATTTTGCTGCGCAACCTTCTTGCTTTCAAATGGCAAAAAGCCCCTCATCGTCGCGGATCTTCGTAAACACAACTTCCGAGCGTTCCTCAAGATAAAAAAGGCGAAGGATGCAGGCGAAGACGAGCCAGTGGTCGAGGAGCTTGAGTCTGGCGAGGAAGAGGAGGCCGTTAGCAACGGGAAAACCAAGCCTACCGACTTCGTCTATCTCCTTCAGTTGGCGATTTCGAGTTAAAGTTTACCCGTCGAAGCTTAACTCGCCATTCAACTCACAGCCACGGACTGCGGCTGGATTCCTCATAAATGTCCTCTTACGGCTCCAAATATCTTCCACAGAGCCGCCATGTCCCCCCAAAGAAGGTGCAATCCAAAACTCTGAGTTGTCGCAAGCTCACCTCCCCATCCCGCCAAGGCCGCTAATCGTTCGGCATCTGCTCGCTCGCCAAACAAAAGGACGAGTACCGGGGAAAGGTACGCTCTCCAGATTGTCACTGTCCATAGTACTCACTTATTCAGCGTTAAACGCGCTCGAGCCCATTGCGCTCGCGTCATATGTCGTGCGCTGAAGGAGCATTACAATGAGCATCAACTTGCGGCTATTCTTGGTTGTCATTCCAACACAATACGCAGGGCTTTTCTTAATTGTCATGACTTGAGCGCAGCCCCAGAACAAAGACAACCGATTGACGACCTAAACGAAGACCCTGAAATTTTGCGCGATAATCGACAGCGCTATCATGAAATCATCGTACGTGGTATTGCGATAATTTATCACTAAACCTCACATTACCAACTACGCCAGTCACGACTCGAACAGGCATATGGACCTCCTACTAGCACATCACCGGAATCTGAGCCTGACTCGGACACGGAAGACCAACCCATGCCAGACATTGACTCCCCAAACCACGGCCGAATTACACAGAGCCAGTCACCCGAGTTCCAGTTCGAAGATCGGTATGGACCTCGCGCTAGCCCGTCACCGAAATCTGGGTCCGACGACCAACCCATGGTAGACATCGACTCCCCAAACCACGGCCGAATTACGCAGAGCCAGTTACCCGAGTCCCAGTTCGAACATCAGTATGGACTTCGTGCTAGCCTGTCACCGAAATCTGAGTTCGAAGGCCAATTTAGGGCAGACTTCGGCCCCCCAAACGACGACCAAATTATACAGAGCCAGTTACCCGAGTCTCAGCTCGAAGATCAGGTCATCCAGACCAACTTGCCCGATAGTGAAAAACGCAACACGAGCTACCGCAGGGCGCTTACATCTGTCGCAAGCGGAAACTCCTTCCATCGAGACGAAACCAATGAAACGATGGCGAGGGTGTCGCAAAAGCGCCCCTTGCAAACAGATGAACCTACACCTGCTCCGAAGAAGACAATATGTACGTCTTGAGGTACCGCCCAAGAGGACTACTGATATCAACAACCTTAGATGCTTCGGAATCCAACCTCAGTCAAACTAACACAATTCGTGAATCGGATGTTCTCGCTGCTGAACCATGTATTTCTACCGTCAACAACACCGTCAACAACACCGTCAACAACGCTTCCATGGCTCCTAATTCCTATTTCGCTCCGTCGTGGTCAACTCTCGAGACGCCTTCGCAGGTGGTCGCTACCTACATGGGCACAATAACTCATCCGTCATCCGGTCGTCTGGAATCCACGGCTAAACCGTCAACTTCGATTGCAGCAAACACCTGCATAGCTCCCAGTTCCGCGCCATCACAGTCAGCTCTTGATAGCATGCCCTCGCAGGTAGTTGACATCGCTAAGGGTAGTGCGATAACTCCACAACAATCCGGCGATGTGGAATCCACAGCCAATTCGTCAGCTTTGATTCCGGCACACGGTTGCATGGTATCCAATACCAACATGTCAGAGCCAAGTCTCGAGAGCTTTCTTGCAACCATCCAACCCCCACTTTCCTCTCACCTCCGACTGCTTAATCATCACGGAATTCATCAAATGCTCGACCTCTCTAGCCTGGTCGCTGAAACATTGATCGACACGCAAATTCGAATCGAAGGTCTTTTTTGGGCCCCTCCCAAACATGAAATGGACGAGTTGCTGCCTCGGTTCGAAGGTCCTCGGATGACGAAAGCCCAATGTGTGGCTTAGGGTCTGTCATGGACAGCCCGGGTCACGCCCGGGCCATGCCCACGGGCAATCGAGCAAAAAATTCATGCCCACACCCACCCGGGCATGGCAATGCGGGCAACGGGCAGTGCCTGCGGGTCATCCGTGGGCACTACGGGTGTCCACGGGCATCTAGATATTTTTGTAGCAAAACACGATCCTATATGTACTCGAACTAATAAATGGACTTGTTCTTGCTCGCAGCAGCCTTCTGACGTCTCTCGCGAGCCTCAAGAATCTTCTCCGCTGAACCAATGGTGCATCATCCCATGAATTCAGAGCCACACGGGCCTTAAAGAGACGACATGCCATGCTGCAGGTGATTGACTTGCAGTCTGCCGTTGGAGAATGCACGCTCCGCGTCAACAGAAGAGGCTATACAAATGGTTGTTGTGGAGAAGCCTGTAGATAAATCAACCCACCTGGTGCTGAAAGGTACTTCAAAGCGAATTTGGAAAGCCGGGGACGCGTCTTCGCTGCTTTCAGCCAGTAGCATAAATGTCCGCCGGCATCTTTGATGTCTCGAGCAGAGACTACTGCTGCGTCAAGGTAGGCTTCGATGGTGTCAATATCACCACTGTCGTCCTTGAGGTCGGTAACTTCCTCCACATTGCTTGCATACTTGTTGCGATGCGAGTATATTTTACTTAAAGTTTATTGTAAATATGATGAGATTTGGGTGGGCCGCCCGTGGGCACCTCGATGTCGCAAGCTTCCTGCCCACACCCGTGTGGGCAGTTTTGCGTGGGCTGCCCACTGCCCACTATACATGCCCGGGCAGTGCCCACGGGTCAAATCCGCGGGTGACCCGGGCAACGACTGTCCATGACAGACCCTAGTGTGGCTCTCGGACAAAGTCTTCGAGCACGGTTGAATATCGATCGGAAGCATCATACTCCGAAGAACCCGTCATCTCTGGCTGGACTTTTGGCAGGAATTTGTCCAGATCTGTCTTCCCACTTGGCAGTATTCCAAGGCTGCGACATACGGACGCCAATTGATCTCTATTCTTTGATCGGCCAAGATTTTACGACGACCCATATTCGCATTCTCAGCTTGTTTCACGTACCATTCGAGCAAAATATTCAGGAGCTGACTGCGCATCTTACTGGTCCAGGACTGTCGAGGGTAGAATGCTTCGCATTGGCGCAGTTACTCGCCAAACTTCACCGCCAGCATCCCACGTGGTCTGAATGGCAAGAAACATTCCATAAACCGATCGGCACGTAGATACTTTCTTATAGTCCTCAGATGCTCTGTTGTTTCGTCGCACTAGCCTAAGTTGTGTACCTATATATACAATGCCATGTCACCTTCGGTCACACTGTGACAAATTCCCCCCCAACTCAAACTTTTTTTTTTTTTTTTTTTTTTTTGTGGCACGTTAGGTAGTAGTGAATAATCGCTTTCGCTCCCCAGTAGCCTGCCGTAGTTCTCTTTCGAGATTCCGTCAGGCATCCCGGGCCGACATCTGTCGGTCATCCACCACCCGTGAAGTGTGAGGCATGGACTTGAAACCACGCCAGCCGGATCAAACCACTCGAGGAAATGCGCGTTCGCACTTGGCCCTTGGGCACCTGGTGTGGGGCTGCGGCCTTGGGAGACTCAGGGCGTGCAGGAGGGAGAAACCCACCAGATCACCACCCATCATTGTCCACCTCAGCCGACACCCACTAAAACCCCGACCTCCCTTGACGTTGGCCAGTCACTCGGGAGTGCTTTCTCATCTTTCAACGTTTTAATCCAAGTTTTGCGGACTAATGCCTTTGGGATGGCCTTTTTCCCATACTTGTTTTCATTCGTCATTTCTCTATCAATCTGCAGCCTATTATTTATTGACCAGCACCATTTTCTAGTTATCTCGGTCTTAGATGCGGGGTCTTTCTCGTTGATTACTCTCTCGTTTCTGAGCTTCCAGATAAGATGTGCTGACTCCGATATCAGGATCCGGAACAGCCGTGTGGTGCCGGCATCGGCCTTGTCAATCATTCCGCATGCCATGATTTGGCCCGAGGTGGGTGTTGGCAGCTCTTGCCCCGTTTTCATCTCCCACAGCTTGCTGGCAAGCTCCCAGACTTCTCTTTGGCCTGGCGCCTCGCACTGCGTCAGGATGTGCTTCATCGACTCATCCACATCTCCACATCGGGGTTCTTTACACGTTCCTTTCCATTCGTGACCAGGTATGTGTTCCCAGTGCTTTCCTACTTTATAGCCATCGTGGACTAACATCCATAGGAAGAATCGGATGTTCTTCGAGATGTCCTTGTGTCTTATTGACGTCCACACCTTTTTATCAGAGACCTCCGCTGCTCCCTCGTCCGTGGCCGCCGCCGCGGGCTAGCGGCAGATTCCTCAGGGTCCCGGCACGCGCTAGCTTTTCTTGATACTTGGGTGCGTTCATCTTCAGTGTCCTTATCATTCTCATCGCTGACGACTGGGTCAGCGTGTTCAGTTTCGCTCCACTCAGCCTCAAGTTGTCAACTTCGTAGTTCCTTATCTCATCCGGTTCATTTTTCATGGCACCCTCGCTCGCTAGGATGTCTGCCGCCTCGTTTCCTTCTATCCCACTGTGTCCTTTCACCCAGCGGAAGAAGGTGGGTGCTCGGCGCTGTCTCAGTCTCATCAATGTTAGTTTTGCCAACTCGCCGTTGGCTACTGTGAGGAAGCCGCTGTCTTCCCACCTCTGTGCGTTTCTCGTCATCCCGTCAATGGCGTATTTCGAGTCACTCAGTATTTCTAGTGGCTGGTCTAGCGGGCACATCTCGGCAGCCTCTTTTATCGCCGCTAGCTCACCAACCTGGTTGGATGGCTTCCACTCCGTCGGTATCCTCAGGGCTCGGTTCCTTGGGTCGTCGGGGCCAAAGAAAACTCCCGCGCCCGCTCTTGCATCTGTCGTTCCATTCCCGATGGCGGATCCATCGGTGTATACTATTTGGGGGGCTTGGGCCTCGTCTTCGCCTGTCGGTTGCCTATTCGGTGCTCTCTTGGACGTGTTCTTGGCCCCGTATTCAAATATACGGAATGCATCCGAGACCGCTCCTTGCGTTGTCACTTTTGCATCAAACTTCACAACATGTTCGTCGTCTTCTGCATACTCGCGTTGCTCATCCATCTCTTCCCAGGTTTGAGGCTGGGCCATCCTTGGGTCCCATTTATCTTCAAGTTCGTTTAGCATGTCTCTTGCTTTGGTATAGCACTTGTGCGGGTGAGGGCATTTGGCTACTGCTTTGGTTACTTGACATGACGCACACCTGCAGTCTCTTCTCGCGGTGTGTCGGGCGGTCTGTAGTTTCTTGGCGAGCTCTTCTGCATCGCCCACTGTCCGGATTTTGTGGCGGGTCTTCAGGCATTCGACCACGGGCTTTGGTTTATTATAGACTGCCGTGTTGCCCTGCGCAAATTTATGATACCATATTGGCATCGATCTTTGGATATTGCGTGACACGGCGATCGCTTCCAGTCTCACCCCATACTTCTTTCCGACCTGCACCATCTGGTGTAAGTCGGTTCCGATTTTCTTTTCGGATGATCGTGGTCTCCAGTCCTGCAGGTATGGGTTTTTCAATACGTCTCTCTTGTGGACCTGCTTTTCATTATTTGCAGCAAAGATCTCGTCTGTCAGGTAACACCATGTTGGTCTCCCCGAATCCAGGTTCAAGTAGTGTTTTAGCCACATGACAGAGATTGCTTCATTCCTGGCATATATGTCCAGTAGTTTTCTCCCGCCTGCCTCGATCGGCGCGTATACAGTCTCTTGATTAATTGTGACTCTCTCTTTTTCAGCCCATATGAAGTTTCTAATTCTCTTCTCCAGCCGTTTTTCGATATGTCCTGGCATTCCTTGTACCGTGGTGAGGTATTGCGACATTCCGCCAACGATCATCGAAATTATCAGTCGGCGGCCCTCTATCGTTGGGTTACTCAACCCCCACTGTGCCAAGGATGCGTCGATCTTCTCCAATGTCCGTGACCATACTGCGGCTTGTTCGACCCCGTTACCAACCCAGGCTCCAAGAGTGCGAATTGGCTCCCCTTGGGCAGCAATTTTAATGTGGTCCGGGATTCTAGACCCATCTTGTCCGTTTACTGTGCGCTTTGCTATAACTGTATCTCGGTATTCACGCTTTCCTATTGGGATCATTTCAGTCTTAGTAACGTTGAATTTTGCTCCAGCAGCAATGCACCACTCGTTCAACACTTTCATTAGGTCCTCCCAATCGTCGGACTTGTCGAGGTATACCATCGTGTCGTCCGCAAATAGGGACGTTATTATTTTGTCAGCTCTACCATTTGTCTTAAATCCCTTTAGATCCGATTTCCTCAAGGCCTCCGCAAGCGGTTCTATCGCCAAGTCGAAGAGTAGGCAGGATAGTGGGTCTCCTTGACGGACCCCTCGAGTGACTTGGAAGGGTTGCTCACTTCGTTCTCCATTGACCATTACATATGTTTGAGCATCGTTATACAAGGCTTTTATTGTGTTTATGAACGTGTTTGGGATGTTGAAGGCTTGGAGTGTTCTCCATAGGTAGTCGTGTTCGACCTTATCGTACGCTTTCTCTTGATCTAAGGCAACAATGACCCCATCCTGTTCGGTGGCTTCGGCCCACTCTATAATTCTTTTCGTAAGCCATACTTGGTCTCGTATTTGGCGTCCCGGGACAAAGCCCGCCTGGTCTGGATGAATGATCAGCGGCGCGACTGCTGCCAGCTTGATGGCAAGGGCTTTGGTCATTATTTTATAGTCTGTGTTTAGCAGGGAGATTGGTCGGTAGTTAGCGATATCGGACTTGTCATTCCTCTTGTATAAGGGGCACATCCAGCTCACTGAAAAGCCTGTGTCCTTAACCATTCCATGTTCTTCAATGTCATTGAACACCTCTCTCATTGCGCCGATTACATCAAATGCGGGTTTGTTCCTCGTCTTCATGGTCTTGTAGCGATCATTCAGCGATTTCCATACCTCATAAGGTATTCCATCTAGTCCGGGTGCCTTACAGTTTGCGGACACTTTGAGGGCGTGCTCGACTTCTTCTCTCGTCATTGGACCTTTGAGGGGCTGCGCTTGTTCCTCGTCTAGTGTTCTCTCCAGCCTCGAGAGCACGTTCGTGGTTGCCGTTTCTCGTACTTCGGCTGGGTTGGCGGCTCGATCCGACTGGAGATTGTTGTGGTAGTTCCGGGCCATAGTGGCCATCTTCTTGGAGTTCGTCTCGTATCTTGGGTTCTCGTGGTCCCCCATGTTGACCTGCAGTCTCCGAATCAAGTCTCTCGGCTTCGCGGGCTTGTTTAGCTTCGACCAATACCTGCCAATTATCTCACCCTCAAGGCGGTGTCTCACTTTGACGGTCAGTCTTGAGCTCTTGTATCTTTTCTTCTGGAGTTCAACGAGCTTCTTAGTGATTACAGCTCCCGCTAGCATCCTTTCCTCCTCGTCCATGGATAGGTCGTTAACTATGTTATTCAGTCTGGCTTCCATGTCAAGTATCTCTTTCGTTATTCGTGGGATGATAATTTTGGCGCATTCTCGCGCTTTCTCACCTACTTCCGCCTTGAATTCGCGCCAGAATGTTTGCACATTCTCGTTTGGGTTCCATTCCGACTCCTTCGATTTCTCCAGTTTCATGAAAAACATTTTGCCACGATCCGCAATGAAGTCTGAGAGGATTCGGTCCTTGAGGATGTGTATTGGCCACACCCACCTTCCGCGTCCAAGGGTGGGGGCATCCGCGGTCGTTACCTTGACTGAGACCATGTCGTGGTCTGTCTCTATCCCTACAGACTCGATTCTCCATTCGAAGGTATCTTCAAGCATCTCTCTCCGAACGTATATTCGGTCCAGCCTTGACCTCGCGCCACCTTGAGCGGCAGTCTGTGAGTATGTGTAGGCTATCGTTGTCGGGAATGTGTCCCGCCACCCATCAATCAGTCCTAAGTACAATTTCAAGTCGTCCAGCGCACCTACGGCATCTGGTTCGTCTTCGCGCGCAGGCAGTCTATCCACGGCTGACTCGACAATGTTCATGTCGCCCCCCATTATATCTGGCCTGCGGATCTCCGGGTGGTCTTCATAGTATCTCTTAATCGACTTCCAGAACTCCTCGTTCTCTCGGTCATCTGTTGGGGCATACACTCCTAGGATGGAGAGAGGTGTGCCGTCGCCATTCTTCAATTCAAGGATGAGCGCTCTTCCGGGTACTATTTCCCGCCTGATGATGTTTTCAGTTTCTACCAGGAATTTATTCAAAACTATTGCCACGCCTTGGGCGTTCGCCGTCTCGGTGGCCTTTGAAAACTCGAGTCTTATTGATCGACCAAATAGGGCATCAACTCTTGCCTTCCTTTCGTCGTCCATATGGGCTTCGCCCACAATCAGCACTCCTGTTTTCTTCTCGCGCATCAGCTGCCATATTTCGGGCCACTTATTCTTCTCATTCCTGACATTTGCATGTCCAAATCCCTTCACGTTCAGGGCTGACACCTTAATTGCTGATTTCACATTCTTCTTCCCAGTCCCGCCCGTTTGCGCTGGTCCGGGATAGAATCTGTTGTTCGTGTTGTTTTCTGTTCTGTCCTGTCTATTAATATAACAATGGTTCTGCTCGTCTTGTGCTTCAGACAGCGTCCCGTTTCCATTTCGGGTTCCGTTTATCACGGTTTCCCCATGATCTGGGGTTGGGCTCCTTCGTTCGGGCCCTTGCACATACTGTGCGTTGTCAACGTCTGTATTGACGTTGCCCGGAGTCTGTATCGCATCCGGGTTGGCATCCGGCCAGCCATCGTCGAAATCCTGTGGGGTTATGTTCCAAGGGAGCAGACCCGTCCAGAATTCCTCCAGCTGGTCGTCCGCCCATTCCCCTCCATCGGATCCACTTTCATTGGAGCTCTGCTGATCGGTGGCGGAATCAGCGTCTCCTCGAGTGTCACCGTCGTTGTCCCAAGCCGTAAGTTCGTCTCCATATGAATCTGCAAAGCAGTTAATGAAGTTGTATTGAGGTTGAGTAGCAAGAAAGGCCCGCCGGGATCCCCGCTAAGGATTCCGGCGGATGTGCCTACCGTTTGGGGTTAGCGGGGTATCGCTTCGTGTCCGCCCGAGCGGACACAAGTCCTACCCCGCCATGCCAGGACTGCTGGCCGGCAGACCCCGACCTGAAAAGGTCCCGCCGTTGCGGCGTCACTGGCTTGGGTTCGAGCAGAGTTTGAGGCTCTGCTCGTCACCCAGTCAATGACGCGTAACCCTCCCCCGTTTCCTGTCCCGTCTCCCTACAGATGGTCAGTAAATGTGGCGGGTTCGGGCCGCGTGTGCCTATGGCGCACGACTTCTTCCAATCTCGGGCTTGGGGTTGTTCATAAGCAGTACTATTGCGTCGAAGAACATGTGTACAGGTAGCATTAGATGGGTCAGGTATCGGAACGAGCCTCCACTAGTTGGACGTAAGTAGCGGTCATGTTGTTTATGCCATTCAAGAGCCGCTCGGCAGTCCATGCTCCACGCCGGGGTACTACAACGGTGCGATGTCTCTTCACTTGATGTTTGTGGAGGTAGTGGTTGGCCCTCAAGTTGAATTTCGGGGTTGGGAGATCGGATTCGTGGTTCCGTATTCGCACATGTTTGCGCCGTTGGCGACGGTACATGTGGAGCTGGGATCTCTGGTGCGGGGGCGCGACTGGGTGATGGCGGGGTCGTTTCGTCATTCACGGAGGACTTCTTGTCGGTTTTCTTCGCCATCCGCGGGTTTTCTTTGGGGTGGAGTTGCTCAGGTAGCGCGCTGAGGGTAACTAGATGGGTTGTTGTCACAGCTAGCTAGCTTGCAGGCCACGTGATTGAAAATTTTCTGGGTGCGAGGTCCAGCGATGTGGTTCGATGTCGGGTCAGTTAGCCGTCGGGTGCTCAGCAAGTATTGCCTAAGGCCTAAGGTCCTTATGACACGTTGGGGGGGAGCTCGTTGTTCTGAGCTGTAGGACTCGAGGAGGGTTCTGTGGTATGTCGACCTCCCCGCGGTGGTCAGCAGGGGGTGATTGGTACGGCAGTAGTGGTATTCCCAATGAATGCGCCGCCCTTCATTCGGCAGGCTTGGTGTTCGACCCTACAGGCCGCCCCGTCTGTGCAGGGTCCACGACGTGTGGCCAGAGCGCGTATATGCCTCCGCACCGCGCACTGCGGTGGGGGGTTTATGTGCGGATTCGTCCCATCACCAAAGAGATGGTGGTGGTTCGTGATCAACACAGCCCCTTGATCATCATCGTTTGCAGTCGAAAAAATTAAATTTTGTTAGAAACTTTTAGCGCCGGGAATTAATTCTGAGCTAGATATTGCTCGTCCTAAGTTGTGTACTGTACTCGTGTAGCGGGATTAATCCTCCCCAATTAATTCCGATGTGCAATTAATCCTACCTCGTATGCGTAAATCCTGCCTGTGTTAAATCCCCCAGGATTAATTATGCCCTCAATTAATCCTGCAGGACCTTCATAACCCAACTTGAAGATTAATCAAACCCAGAATTAAATTCCAAAAATTAATCCTAATCCTGACTTCAGAATTAATTGTGGAACCGAACAGCAAAATCGTGAGTCATGACATTAAGATTGTAGGACAGTTACAAGGCTATCTCATCTCTTCTTTGGCGGACGGCTGTCGTCATCAATACCCACCTCTTCTTGTGTGCGCTTTCGGGCGCGAGTCATATGCACTGTTGGCGTAGTAGGTGCCACACGAGTTAGGCGACGACCACCACGACCGTGACCACGGCCACGATGGACTGGTGTGGCTGGCGGTGGGGTTAGAGGTGAGCTTCCGAATAGCTGCCCAAGATGTGCTGGAGTTCCTTGGAGTGGTGTCACTGGTGGCGAAGTAATCACTGGCAGAGGCGGCACAGGGGTCACGGTATTCGGTGGTGGAGTAGTCGACTGTGGAGTTGTGGGCGGGGTCACAGGGGGTGGAGTCGAGGGAGGCGGGGTCGAAGGAGGAGGTGCCACGAGAGGCGGAGTAACGGGAGGCGGCGTAACGGGAGGCGGCGTAACGGGAGGCGGGGTCGAAGGAGGCGGTGCCACGAGAGGCGGTGCCACGAGAGGCGGAGTAACGGGAGGCGGAGTAACGGGAGGCGGCGTAACGGGAGGCGGCGTCGCAGGAGGCAACAAAGCAGTATCTGCGGAACCCTTGGTGCTAGTACCAGCTCTGGAACGTTGCTCTTTTAAAATCTGCTTGTACTTCCGTCGGATTACTTGAGCTTTGGCATCGTCAATATTGACCGACTTGTCGCCATCTTCAATTGTGAATGTTCGTTGCAAATCATCACCGCCTGGAGGTTGTCAGTGGAATGCAGGCCGGGTTGGAACTGCTCACCCTTGCCGCGCTGCGCGTACTCCTTCAACAGCCGACGAAGGTCTACAACATCCGTCTTGTTGACCTTAACATCCGGTAGCATGATTTTGTTATTTGCGTCGACCTGGAGTTGAAGAGGTGAGTCGGCTGTGGATGTGATTAGAATGTAATGATTACCAGCGCTACAGTACCACGAACCATTAAATGTGCGACGGACCAGGCCATTGAACTCGGCCACATTAGTGTCTTCTTCCGATGGGGCAAACGGCTCTACTGTTGCGCTGGGTCCAATAGTGAAGCTGGATATACTCAGTTATGAAATGGAAACTCGATGCAACGCACCAGAATGAGTGGACTGTGCCCGTTTTAAGGTATCCACCACGAATGAACAGAACCATGTCACCAAGACCTTGAAAGTGCTTTGTCGTCAGCAGATGCTTGAGCGTGTCAGAAAGAATTTCGGGTGCGTGTTCTTGGTTACTGCCACAGATAAGTAGAGATTTGTTGGAAATTAACAACCTACTCTGCAATGGTGTCCGCTGTCGGCCCATTACGAAGCAGCTCGTTCTCTGTTTCTGCGGCAGCCTCTAATTCAGCCTTAAGTTCCTCGTTAGAAGTGGCCTCCGCGAAGAGTCGATTAAGCTCGGATTGGTAATAAACACCATTTTTCGTGCTCCCGCCTTGCGCTGCTGCTGCCAAGCGAGCAGAGTTTGCTGCCTCCGTAATGGCCACCTTGTTACGCTTCTCGAATATTGCTTTGGCGTTGGTGGCACGGGGAGCAGAAAGTCCTTTGGGCACTTTCGGCACGGCAGCGGGACGGTTACGGTCGGTGTTGGCGTATTGGTTGCTCAAAATGGTAGCAAGAGTCTGTGTGGGGCGTTCGGTTTTGATTTACAGCAGAATAGAAGTCACCTTACGTTGGCAAAGTCTCCCATGTTATAGTTCTTCCCAGTAAAGTCAAACTCCGCGTCGAAGCGGTGGAGAAGCGTCGTCTTCGCATACTGATCACGCTTCCCGTCTATACGGCCTGACTTGATTGCGTCGACATAGTCGGGGTAAAGATTTTCGATAATCCATGCACGATGCGGATCGTCCTTGAGCCCCGCTGCGCGATACTGGTGAGCAGATCGCGCGAGATGAATGACGGTCATCGTCACGATGTCATTGACGCAACATCAGACCACTGGAATTGGGATGATTCAAGGTAGGGCCGACGAGCGGTGTAGCACAAACTGATTGAAAGTAAATAAAAAGTGTCCTACATATACAGCATTGTAGTAGCAATTGAGTCCAAGACTAGCAAATGTGGGTGTTTCCAGATTCTACATTATCCTCACAAGAGCTTAAGCTTGATTTTTAACTCAGAGTAATATTTCTTCAAAGTATTGAATCACACCAGGGCTTCTGCTAAAGATTGTTCCCAAAGCAGAACATAATTCTAATGTTTAACAGCTCTAATTGATCATCAAGAAAAGAACACTTAATCTGGTCAAGGAGAAATCAAGTTCTGAAAAAAAGAAAGAAAGTGTATTTGCCGCTTTGGTCCCTACAAGGAAATATGTGGTTTCTGTACCTACGTACATGCCCCCCCCCCAACCATATACACTACAGATAAGTGCAGATGGCAATTGTTGCAAATTGTCAGGGGAAACCCTGATGCCGTCACTTGATCCCATCAAGCGCCCGCGTCTCCGCTTGCGTCTCCGCGTCTCCGCACCCTGACGCTCTCCCTCCACTGCCTGCACCACATCCCACATCCAGTGATCCTGAGTCTTCGACTTCCCTGGCCACTCCCCTCCGGAAGTCCATCCAGAATCACCATCATGGATCACTAACGCCATCGGAGACCTCTCCGGATGTGGACGCACCACTTCCCTCCGAGACCTTGAGCCTATGGCCTTCTAGCCTCTCCGGGCTGTTACTTATCAAGGTCTCCCTACCATCTCTATCCGCTGGACGTCTTGGGTGTCCCCAACCTATGTCAGCGTTCGGGCTTACGTTCGGATGGCTGAGCTTTGCCATGGCTCTGCTCTCTACTCCGCCACCACGGCCCCCGTCATTGGGTCTTTTCCTGGGTGAGGCCTACTGCCGTTAAGGCTCGTGCCTACTGCAGCGCCCCAGGCTGCACGCCCTCACACCTCCACCTCTCCGGAGACGTCCGGGGACGTCTCCGAGTGACCTCCTGTCGCTACCCTCCAGTGGTCATGGCTGGCCGCCATTCTCATTGGTCCTCTTCGACACTTCCCGGCCCTTGGGCTAGACCAGACTCCTTCCCTTTCCGCTCCACGCCTTCCCTCTCCGTTTCCGGCCGTCACGTCACGGTCACACACCCGGAGTCGATTCCGATTCCGATTCCGATTCCGACTCCGGTTGTCACGTCACGGTCACAAGTGGAGACGCCCAGAGGCAGCCTGGACCTCCCGAAGCCCTTCTTGAGCCTTCTAGAGATGCCTGGGCCCCTCCCTTGGCATCACGGTCCCAAACCTGCCTCTCCGGAGCTTCGAGGGCTACTCGACACTCACCTAGGGTCCATTAGCGACACCTGACTTCTCCAACCCGTTATCTGTCGCTACACAGTCACTCTATCATTACTCCGGTCACTAGTATATAGTAGTGCACCTGGGCAGAGGGCTCCTTGGCTTGTTCTCTAAGGATTCCCCCTCTGCTCAGGTGAGTCTGTAGCGTCCCTTCCTGTTGTAGTAGTTCACTAAGGATTCCCCCTCTGCTCAGGACTCTGATTTCGAGCCTCGCAAGGTTGCCCTTACACAAATACTGATGTGCATGACACCAGCATCTCCTGGAGCAACCTATACCCAGGACTGAGGAAATTTCTTGAAGTTATTTGGACTCCAGCGGAGTCCGGCCCAGGAGGATTTGGAACACCATGGTCTATTTAAAACATCAGAGAGGATCTGATACATTACACCCTCTGCTTGCCTTGCGCACCGTCAAGGGTTGCATGAGCAGCATCTAGTTTATAGCTGTCTTCTGTATCAGGACATAAAATCCAGAATATTTGTTAATAATAGATGCATCTCACTTAAGCCTCAATATTTTTCAAAAGAAATATTATTACCTGAATTTTTCTCTTAATATATATATATAATAGCCATTTTTTCACTTATCTCTGATATATTAGGTACATTTTTGCTGCTGGACCTTGCAGATTTGGTCTTATATTTTGTGGCACATTTGCCGTATTTATTTGCTACAGATTATGGTTATAAAATGGTCTGTTGATATTAGCTTTGACTTATATCCTATCTGAGAACTTGAAATGTGATCTCATTACTTGCAAATCAAGTCTACTTTGTTTAAGTTTTATTTTCCATCTGTGCAAGTTATTAAACATGTAAATTGTTATTGTCCCTGGTATGAACTGTATGAGTTGTGCTAAGTACTAGGATTATTTACATTTGTTACCAATAAAATAATATGTCTTGAACATGCATATATGACTTTTGGTTTACCATACTCTGGGAATACTGTCCAAAATATTTTCTAGGCAAGCTGTTTTCTTTTGTAAGTATTTTGGGATTTTAAAGCAAGAGTCTCTACTTCAGGAGGGGTCTCGTGACTTCTCACCACCACCATCTGGTGGGAGTGAGAAGCAAACGAGCTCCCCCCACTGCTCTCGAGCAGCGCGGGCAGCCCCACCTGGGAGTCCGATCGCCAACCGCGAACCCGCAACCTGGGGACGTCAACCAAGGCGTCAGGCGCTCAACGGCGCGGCCTAACGGCCAGTAGTCATAACCCCGACTGCGTGTACCACCTGTACAGTACAAATGAAACACGTTCTACTACCCAAGGTACAACGTGGCCATAGCAAGGCTAAACGGACACCTGGTCAGCCACGAGCTGGACGAGTGTCGCAAAGTGACATCAATCAGGGAAAACTTCTTGCCCACAACCACCACGCTGGCTTCAACCAGCGCGAAAACAAGCAAGACAGCCACCGACCAGGCGGCCACCGACAATCTCCCTCCGTCCCGCACTCACCCAGAACGCGTGACTCCATCCGGCGGAGGAGCGCAGGAGAAAACCAGACGCACTAGTCCGCCCCCCGCTACCCAGCCTGGTGTTCACGGGCGACAGCGGACGACTAATTCAACTCACGGCCTCAGACCTAGACGAACCCATGCACGGACCAGATGATGTTTTTGGGGGCAACGGACCTGACGGCAGCCCAACGCCGCCGCCACCAGATAAACGACGCCAAGACGGAGGCGGGGGCGATGGCAAGGAACCGCCCCCAAAACCGCCCTTCATATTCCCGACCAGGGAAGTCTTCCTCAGAGACCCGCCTGCAGAGCGGCGCAAGAACCCACACCGCAAACTGCCGGCTTACTCCCAACCTGACCCAGAAGGACCGGACGACTTACACGAACAAACCTTCGTCCCCAACAACGGGCAATACAACACGGCCGTCATCGCCAATGAGGACCTTCTTGAAAACGTCCACACCACTGTCCGCGAAGCCATCGAGAACGACCCAGACAACCACCTTGCGGTGGTAATAATGATGGGGGGCTGGTATCTGGTCGACGGGTACAAGGGCGTTACAACCGTAATGAACAAAGTCAAGGACTACCTCAAACGCGGAGGCATCATCACGGAGGAGAGTGTCCGCTTCATCCCGCTCACCCCCAACGACACTAAACCATATGCCGGAGCGTATACACCGCCGTTTGCGTTCGCAGTCGAGACTAAGGACCCGCTCACCCGCGCCAACCTGCTGGGCATCAATGTCTTCCAGTTCCTGGAAGATCCTGACAGACTGACGGTCCGCTTCGTTGATTTCGACAAAAAGCGCATGTCGTGGGCCATGGCTGGCTTCAAACCGACAGTCCGAGGCGACGATAAGAAAAGTGCGGATGTACTGAGGTGGGGGATTGTCAACTTCGCTCTAAACGACCCCCACTTCCGCAACATCTTCGAACGCTTCACAGGCCGCGCAGGAGCAGACGTGCTGAACGCGCGTCTGTACAATTTCTTGAGAACCATCGATGTGCGCTACAACCCGAGGGGAACCAAGGAAGGGATATGGATGGTGTATGGCCAACCTCCCACTGCCAATCTCGACAAATGGGAGGAGCTGTGTGTGCCCTTGCGGGTCCAGCGCATAGTCGGCGCGCACAACAGCTTCGAGCCCCTTACCGGCGGCGCGACCAGCATCGAGTACTGGCGACGTGATCCCTCTGAAGCAGCGCCGCCCCAATGAGATCGAGATGCCATGGTGCTTCAGATGCTCCGAAAACGACCACCTACACTGGTGCTGCGACCTCCCGGAGACGCCGGACTGGGCCGGGCCGACACTCCCCGCCACAGAGATGGACACGGTCAACCTGGGAAGAGGGTCGCTCCCGAAGGACGCGGGACCCCGCCAGAATGCGCACCGACGTGGTCGCGATCTGATTGTGGTCAGGACTGCACAAGCCGGACCAAAAGGCAAGCCAAATCGGGGTCGGAGCCAGCAGCGGGGCCGCTTTTAAATAAACGAGCACAATATATAGACTACAAATAAATACATGCATTCATCTACCTGGTAAATGCGGACCCGGTGCCGGACCGGAAGAAGCCGCCCATAGAAGGGGCGCAGCCCAACCCCGCCACATTTACTGACTACACTCTGGTGCAGGACAGGAAACGGGGAAGGGTTCTTGCGTGCTCGGACCGGGGGGGCCTCAGCCCCCCCGGGATGATGAGCGCGCCGCAACGGGCGGGCCTATTTAGGCCGGGGAACGCCGGCCAGCAGTCCTGGCATGCCCGCGACGAATGCAACAAGCCACCGGCGGCGAGTTGTGGACTAACGGGCCCCCCCCAAACCCCGGGCGCAACAGCCTCATGCCCTAGCGAGGATCAGGCCAGCCCAGCAACGCAGTCGAACAAACCAACCTACAAACACAAAACACACGGGACGAGACAACGGCAACCGGCAATTCACACCCCAGCGCCCGAAGGGACGACCGCTCCGCTACCGGCGGTCGTGGCCCTGTTGACGGTGCCGGGGATGGAGGAGGAACAGGCGTAGATGGAACCCCGGAGACACCGAGGGTTCACGCTCAAAACCAGAGCCTAACCCAAAGACGTGTCGATGAAGGAAACCCCGACACGCCAGCGACACAGGATCGCATCGGTGTACCGCCCGCACTGGCGACACCCCGGCACAACATGCCGCCGACCAGCCAGGTCGCAGACGACGGACCGCCCGATTTGGCGCCGCCCATGCTTAACCAGCCGCAGACTAACCCAGTCGCAAACGACGGACCGCCCGATTTGGCGCCGCCCATGCTCAACCAGCCGCAGACTAACCCAGTCGCAGATCGCGGACCGCCCGAATTGGCGCCGCCCAGGCTTAACCAGCCACAGACCCAACAGGGAGCGGGAGGTGGACTGCCCGGAATGGTGCCGCTCCAACCCAATCAGCCGCCCGGCTCAGCAAGCCCATGCGCAGACCGGAAACGACTATGGCCCAATAGCTAACACAGCCGCGAGACCGATCCCCCTCCGGAGGCGCCAAGAGGAATTCCCCGGACCACCCCGCAACGCCCTGAGCCCAAACCAGGGAACGAAGCTCACTAAAGCGTCCATTAAACTGGGGGCGGTGAATATGAATGGCCTCGGCAACACCAACTTCTGGCACCCCGACAACAAATGGTTCCACATGTGGCAGACTATGCGGGAGAATAAAGTAGGCGTAATGGTGGTAGGGGAAGCGCACCTCGACCAGGAACGACATAACAACGTCGAGTTCTTATTCGGACGGGTCCTCAGGGTTATGAACTCCGAGAATCACCAATCGGCCAACGCGGCCGGCCTAGCATTTGCGCTCAATAAAACGCTAGTCAAAACAGAAACGGCTAGGACGACAGAGATAATACCCGGGCGGGCTATGCTGTTGGAGATAGAATGGCACGACGAGAACCCGCTATGTATACTGGGGGTGTACGCCCCGAACGCACCAAGCGAAAATGCTGAATTCTGGTCAGAAGTAGACAGATTCTTCACTGACAACCCACATGTGCGACGCCCAGACGCCATGGCAGGCGACACAAACATAGTCGAGGATTCAATTGACCGACTGCCAGCCCACAGTGATGCAGCCAATGCGACGGCGGCACTGGACACGCTTAAGTCACACCTAGGTCTAATCGACGGGTGGCGGGATACGTTCCCCACGAAACTTGAGTACACATATCACCAGAAAGCCACTGGCGCGCAGTCACGCCTGGATAGGATATATGTGACGGGCTACATGCTAGAGAGTGCGTACGAGTGGCAAATAAGACCACCTGGATTCAGCACAGACCACAAGATGGTCACGGTGAGACTCACCACAGCAGAAGCACCAACAACTGGGCCGGGGAGATGGTCGTGGCCGAAATGCATAATCGGAGACAAAAAACTTACCGAGTACATAGAGACGGAGGGCAGAGCCTTCCACACGGAGCTGAGATTCCTGAGGAGCCAGCCATGGAACAAGGAACACAACGCCCAGACACTGTATGCAAGATTTAAGAAGAAGATACTTACCTTTGCGAGGAACAGGGCCAAGGAGGTCGTGCCGCGCCTCGACAAAGAAATTCAGGAGCTGGAGAAAAAAATGGCGCAAGTTAACAATAATGCGTCTGCTCCCGCGGAAGAGAAAGCTCAACGCCTGGCGGTTCTAACAGACCAGCTGGCGGCGAAGTATCAAAAACGACACCGCCGGAGAAGGATGGACGCCCAGATTAAGAACCGCCTGATGGGCGAAGTCATCAGTAAATACTGGTCAGGGATAAACAAACCCAGACGGCCGAGAGATGTTATACACCGGCTCAGGAAGCCGGCGAGCCAGGACGAACCACCAGTGTATGAGACCTCGTCACAAGGCATGGCAGACATTGCCCGCGACCACCATAAGAAGCTCCAAGACGAAGGGGTAGCGGACACCGATGAGGCGGAAAGGGCCCGGGTGATGGAAGAAGTCCTGAGCCGTGTACAAGCACAGCTGACAGATCCCCAGAAGGAACTGATGAGGAAACGGACGTCGAGAAGTGATGTGGCTGAGGCGTTGAGCAAGTCGGCCAACGACAAGGCGGCAGGACCAGACGGGATACCGTACGAGGTATATAAGTCGCTAGCGGCGAGGTTTGACACGCTCACGAGTCAAGCGCGGACAGCCTTCGACATCATAGGGATGCTCCAGTCGGTGTACAATGACATCGAAGAACACGGCCTAGTGAAGAACACCGGATTTGCAGAAAGCTGGATGGCGCCGCTATACAAGAAGAATGAGAGGGCGGATATAGCCAACTACAGGCCCATCTCCCTGTTAAACACAGACTATAAGATATTCACAAAATCACTCACTATCAAACTAGGAACTATAGCCCCGAGCATAATACACCCATCACAAGCAGGGTTCGTCCCTGGGCGCCAGATATACGACCAGATCTGGCTGACAAAGCGCATCCTCGACCTTGGGGAGGTATCGGAACTGGAAGGCGCGGTTGTTGCGCTAGACCAGGAAAAGGCCTATGATAAAATTAAACATGACTACCTGTGGAAAGTGTTAGCGAAATTTGGGCTCCCGGGGGAGTTCATAAACACGGTGCGCAGCCTCTACTCAGACGCGCACACCAGAGTTGCAGTGAACGGAGTGTTCTCTCAACACTCGTACAAAGTAGGACGTGGCGTCTACCAAGGCGACCCACTTTCATGCCTGCTATTCGACCTGGCCATTGAGCCACTAGCGGAATCACTCAGACAATCTGATCTAAGCGGACTCAGGATTGAGGGGGTTGAGCAAAAAATCATTGCGTCGCTGTTCGCTGACGACACACTCGTGTACCTATCAGGTACTGACGACTATGGAGACCTTCTCAAGATCCTAGACGACTGGTGCTTAGCGTCGGGAGCGCGCTTTAACAAGACCAAGACAGAGATCATACCTGTTGGGAAACGCGAGAAACGCGAACGCCTTCGAGCGACGAGGTGCCTGAACGGGGCTACGGGGACCCAGATACCTGCGGGACATAAGATTGCGGCCGAGAAGGAGCCCATACGCACGCTGGGGGCATGGGTCGGAAACGACCTAGAACAAGTGTCAGTCTGGACACGAACACTGGAAAAAATCGACAACGCACTAGACCAGTGGGAACTTGGCCACCCGACAATGGAAGGGAGGAGACTAATCCTGCTAATGGTGGTAGGAGGGATGACACAGTACCTGACGAAGGTGCAAGGAATGCCGGAGGAGGTAGAGAAGAAGCTGGAAAGGAGGGTCAGAGACTTCCTCTGGGCCGGCAAAAGATCAAGAACGATCAACGCGGAGACGATCTACGCGCCGAAAGACGAAGGCGGTCGAAACCTGCTCGACATAGTGGCGAGGAACGAAGCTGTCACGGTCATGTGGCTAAAATCTTATCTTAAGACAGGCCACGACCGTCCCCTCTGGGCATTCGTAACAGATGAACTCAATGCCCTGAATATCCTTGGCGAGGACAGAAAAGTTGTCGACAGGGATATGAGACTACATGTCTTCCTCCAATCCTGGAACTCCGGCTCGCACACGAACCCCCTGCCAAAGGACGTCGCCAAGATGATGAAAGCGGCGCTTGACCACGATGTAAGACTGGAGGGGTTGTACTTCAAACGCGAAGTACAACGCCAACTACCGATATGGTTCCACATTAAGTCAAGGGCGACGAACCGCGGGGTGTTCAACAATGGCGCAGAGGCGAGATGCCTACGGGAGCACCACCGAATCATCACGGTAGGTGAAACGGAGAAGCTAGCCTGTAACCTGGACGCGGCGGGACACAGACCGAGGCGAAACTGCGACTGCCAAGGGTGCAGGGACACCAGAGAAGAATGCCCAGACTGTGTGTCCCCTCATAAATGCTTCACAAAAGCGCGCAGCCTGCTAAACACTCTACAGGATAAGTGGAACCCGCTCAAACAACAACCAGGAGATGAGCCGACACCAGACTTAATGGTCCAGCAGGTGGGGGAGAAGGAAGTAGTATTCCGACCAGTACCGGCGGGCTCGGACAAACTTCGAGGATGCATTCCGCGTGTTCTGCGAGAAAGAAAGAGGCATACACACGCCCCCGGACCTTGACGGGGAGGTCGAGCCCGACGAACAAGGGGTAATCGTATATACGGACGGCTCAGCGATGAACAACGGCCAAGCGAACGCCCGAGCAGGGGCTGGCACGTTCTATGGAGATGGCGACGTCCGCAACAGGGCAATAAGAGTCCCGCCTGACCTGAAACAAACAAATCAGGTAGGAGAACTGCTAGCGGTCATAGCCGCGGCAGAGGACAACCCGAAAGACATTCCGCTGAAGATACTAAGCGACTCGAAGACGACCATCGACGGCCTTACGAAGCACCTGGCCAGATGGGAGGGGGAGGACTTCAGACTCACGGAAAACGGAGAGCTCTTCAAGCTGGCAACAGCAAGACTACGTCAGCGGACAGCGCTGACAGTGTTCGAATGGGTGAAAGGTCATTCTGGGAATACAGGCAACGATGGCGCAGATGCACTAGCCAACGCCGGGGCCGCGAAGCCTGAAGCAAGCGACCACTTTGACACGACGATACCGGCCGAACTGCGGCTCCCAGGTGCGCAACTCTCACAGATGACACAGTCAAAGATCTACAAGATCATCCGGAAGACGAAGCAGGCTCTTCCGTCGTACCGCAGAAAGTTGGACCGGGCGGACACGGCAACGAACATGAACCTAGCCCGCCAGGCAGCGGTGGACCCGAAGGGTAATATCCCGACAGCACGCTTGATATGGAAAGGCACGCGAAACGAAGTTCTCAGCCGCAACGTAAGGTACTTCATGTGGATGATTCTGCATAACGGGTACAAGGTTGGGAAATATTGGAGGAATATCCCTGGCTATAGCGAGCGTGAGCTGTGCCCATCTTGTCACACAGAAGAGACAATGCAACACATACTGACGGAGTGTCCGACGACCGGCCAGCACGATATCTGGCATCTGATGTTGGCGATGTGGCAGAAGAAGACGGGGCAAATTGTCAGGCCAACGTATGGAGAGATTCTGGCATGCGGAGCCCTCAAGAAGTACAATGCGAACGGCAAGGTGAACAAGGCACTGACCAGGCTGTACAGAATCCTAGTCGCAGAGTCGGCATACCTTATCTGGCAGCTACGACTGGAGCACCGGATCAAGCGTGACGGTCTGGACCCAGCGAGCGAGCAGGAGATACACAACAGGTGGTACAAGCAGATCGACCTGCGCCTCGAGTTGGATAGGCAACTGACGAACCGGTCAAAATGGAGGAAAAAGGCCTTACCACCAGCGCTAGTCATAAACACATGGCGAGGAGTGCTTGCAAAGGAAGACACACTCCCAGCGGATTGGACGAATCCCGCTGCGGAGCTCCAGGTTTTGGTGGGTCGGGAGGTGACGATGATGGGGTAGCTTGCTACTCCGGAGTGCCTTCCCAACCCCCACACGACGCGACCGGCGAGCCGTAACGGCGGACCGGCGTAAGTGCAGTTGTGCGTTTCCTGGTGGTGGATGTGTCGAATGGGGTTTCTTTGTTGTTTGCCTCATACCCTAACTTGGTTTTTGGAGGACGATTGGATCGGCTCTTAGGATCCCACTGGGTGAAGAGAACTGCTGTATATAAATTGTACGGGAGTGCCTTCGAATACTACATAAGTTCCACATAAAGCAAGAGTCTCTTTGACGTGAGAGCGTGACAGCGGCATGAGTGATGCGGTGGTCGTCACAAATCAGGGCACTTTCGGTTTGGTCACTCCCGGTCGGTATAAGCAAAACTGATAAATCAGTTTGTGAATAAAATGGTTCGTCTGAGTATGTGCCTTTTCTGTCTCTTTTCTTCCGCACTTATCTGGTATCAGCCGAAAGCCTCCGAAATGCTATGCGAGATGCTAAGACATTGGAGCGGACCCGGCGAAGCAATTTCGAGCAATTAGATCAAGCTCACCGACAGCGCCACCCAGACGATGTCCCCAAATGGGAGGAGATTTATGAGTCGCGGAATATTGGCGAGGGTGGAGCAGTATTTCAAGTTCAATTTGGAGAAGACGGTGACGATTTTCAGTATATGTCCTGACCCTTGGTGCTAATGCTGAAGCAGCACCACCGACACATGCTGCACAGTACCTGAAACTCATCGAAGAGGAGCCATTGACCACAGACGGCGAGCTCAAGCACACGGGTGATGTCCTCTTAATTAGTCTTGGCCTTGAAGCCGAGGACACCCAGTACGCTCCCTATTTTGTGTTTTCTTGCGTCTGCTAACCACAAATTTAGAGAGAAGATCATGCGGCTCATTGCTCTCGCAAGCCCCGAATCAACTATCAACTCCATGCGGCAAAAGCTTCTCGCAGACCTGACCGTTTATCGAACCCGACTTCTCCGACGCATCCCACAACTCGACACAGTTATGGATGTTGTTGACCCCGACAAACCGGAATCCGCCTCGCTGTTCCTGCCATCGATGCTCGAACCGGATGCCCGCAGTCGATGGCAGTTGTCAACGCTTGCTCAGCTTGAATTCGATCTTCGACGCGCTCAAGCATTTGATGCTTTGGCTGCCTTGCGGTCCGCTATCCGCACTTTCAATTGGAACCTTCAAGTCAAGAAGCAGGAGGTACATGGGATACACGGCAATACACGAGCTCAAAACTACCTCAAAACACTTAGCAACGACGTCCAGATTGCTGGTGACTGGTACCGACGGCTGCGAGAAGCACTTCTAAAGCTGGGTCTATCGGAGGACGATCCAACGCTGCAGCCACTGTATCGTAGTGATCAGACTGGGAAGGGAGCACTGAGCATGCGCACAGGTGATTCGCGAAAGCAAGAGCCATGGTTTTGGCGTGCGCAACAACCAGCGGGTACGGACAATAAGAAATGGGAGAAAGAACGTGAGTGTGACTTGGTGCTTTGACCATTGTCACTTCTTGCTTATTACCTTCTCAGTTGACCGTGTTCAGTGGTTCTGTGACCATGCACTGGTTGACCGTGCCCGGGAGGAGATTGAAATCCTCGAGGCTGAATTCGAGCGCACACACACTGCTTTCACACGCTACGAATCGATCTGGACGACAATTGCCACCGGAACTTGGGTGCCAAGCACTGCCCTTGACACGACTCCTTTGGACGTTGTTGGCGATAACAGCCAGCTCTGCAACTGGATGGAGAATGGCTCGCGGGCTTACGCATTCAAACAAGCAGCCATGTTCCGCCGATTTGCTCAACAGACAGCAGCAATGGAAGCGTCGCTCCCTGACATGTTCAGAAAAGACGAGGAGAGGGAACGGAAGAAAGCAGAGGAGGTTGTGGCAAAGCTTCGAAAAGCTGGGAAGTCAATGTATAACAATGACTATTCGGTGAGTGGCAAAGCCTTTGCTTTCATGCGACTTAATGTTTCTCAGTGGTACTATACACAGCTGCCGGATTTGTAATGTCATGCGAGCGTGAATTAATCCTCGTTCACTGACACAGGATTAATCTTGGGATTAATTCAGGCGGCTGGTGGACTTGGGCCAGTTCCATGTGCAGCGGTGCGAAATTAATTGTCGGATTAATTCTGACTTTGGACATCTGGTCGTTGGAGTTGACAATAAATCCCACGATTAATCCCCGATTTAATTCTGGTATGCTACCTAGTACTACACCCTTAGCTTTAGCTCTTCCTAGCCTACAATTAATTCTCGTGTCTTAAAAGTTGTTAGAAAATTAAATTTTTTCAACTGATATCACTGTGATCATTTCTTGACTTCACTAGGAACGCGCTACTACTATGGCCTCGTGCTTTTTCTACTCGCCCACCGTGTTAACAACGTCAAAAGTGGCCCATACCCGCGCGAAGTTATCTTCCAGTATATTTTTCTGGGCTTCCCGATTCCCCAGAAGCGTCAGCAATAGACGCGATTTTTTCCGCAGGGTCACGCGTTCCCAAAAAGGGAATTTATGATCCCGTGATACCGACACTTGTCTCATGATCCCCGCCCATGTCCCGCCCTTCCGGTCAAAATATTGAGTTTGGGAGGAAATAATATTAATGTATTTTAATCCAAAACATAATAAAAATGGTTTTCTTGAATATTCTACAGGGAGGGCGGGCCTGGGAGAGTGAGCGGCGGTGCGCCCGGCGGGTGGCTTAATTATCTAGGCCCTTGTTGAAGTCCGGCGCGTGCAGCCCTGCGAGTTTGCATACTGTGGATTGATTCCGCGGCGGGTAGCAGAGACCGCGCAGGGGCTGGACCGCCCATCATTGATGTAGCGGGTGGCTCTGGCATTGGCTCGTCAAGTGATTCAGGCGCGTGTCTGGCATCTGGTCGTGCCTTCTTTCCAGACCGCTCTCCACCGGCATAGGGGTCTGTCGAATTCGGCCTTGGTGTCCGCATACGCCAGCCGCTGCAACAGCTTCCACAACAGCTCAAATGCTGTTGTGTTAAAAATGCTGCAGCCAGGCATGGAGGACATGCCATCGGCAAAGTAATAACCATGCCGTGACGTAGACGCCGAGCACAGCATTGATCTGTCCTCGGTCTCTGTCGCTCATCCACACCCGCGGGACGACCTCTGGCGACCACGACTGAACCTGACGCAGGAAGAACCCGATTGTTTCCTCCGTCGCATTTGAAGAGAGCATGTAGGCAACTGGGCAGCCGTGCCCCCAATCGTCCCGTATAACAAGGGAGAAGAGCGAGACGCCCTGGTACTGCGTTGTATTGTGTGTCGCGTCAATGCCCACGAAGCGGTCGTGTCCATAGCGGTACCAGCACTGCTTCTGGTACCGCGTCTGGAAAATGAGCACGAAGACGTCATCGTGGAGACTGGACCCTGCAGGCGGCAGCTGCTGGCGTGTCTTCACAAAGGTGTGGTGTCCCGCTGCCTTCATCCGCGAGATATGCTCAAGCACAGACAGGTCGTCGTTGGGGTGGTAGCGGTATTCCTCGGCTTTTATCTTATTGGCGATGCGGCGAATGTCCTGTGGTTTGACGCGGTGGTCTCGGTCGAGGCTTGCGAGAACGCCGACACTCGTCAAATCGCCATTTTGTCTGTTGTACTTCTGGTACTGGAAACGAAGAGTGAACCAAGGAACACACACGCGAAGCAAAATTGAATCGACTCACCAGCGTCTTGGCCGTGTCGGAGTCCCGCAATCTATCCTCAATCTCTGCCAGCATGTTCTTCGACAATGTCATGTACGGCAGGTTGGCTACTCCGAGCTCATGCGAGTGGGTGTCGCGGTACTTGACCAACACCCGGGTCGTGCCCGGATAGCTTTTCATTGTGATCAGCGCCGGCGCAACCGCCGGGAAGTTCTTTCTTGAATTCCTTGGTCTGCCGATCGGGCCGTTTGCGCTCGTACTCGTGAAGGCGCGAGTCACCATCCCGGGCACAGGTCCAAACGACGCGTGCCACCCACACACGCTGACCGACAGGGACAAGGCATGGGTATGTGTTCCTCCGCCTGAACTTCGACAGCACGCGTCTTCCGTTGCTGAAGCATCCAATTCAGGAAATGCTCCTCGGATGCGAATTCCAAGGTATATCCATGAGCTTTGTCGTACAGGAAGCCGTGCGGGGCGTGCGGGTCGAGAGGGGGATTCGTAGGAGGCAATGGGGATGCGACGACGCTGCTAGGAGCAGGCTGCAGAGAGAAGGTGAAGGTGAAGGTAGCATTTGCCACCGAGGTCGGTGCGTTTGCGGCCGCGGAGGAGGTGTGGGTGGGCGGGATAGCGTCTGCGACGCGGAATCTGTGTGTGTGGGTGGCCATGACACAACGGGCAGCGTTGGGAAGGTGTCGTGAAGGCGGTGGAGAGGCTCAGAGGACAAGAACGATGGGTGGCAGGGAGGACAATGCACATAAACATTGTATGACAGTATATTCAAGTTTTAGACATATTTATTTGTGCAGAAAGTGCCTAAAACGGCGAGGGCAACGCGCCTATGAGGGCGGGGCGCGCGGTCACATGAGGGATTACCTGATTTGGATACGCGTGACCCTGCGGAAAGATCAAGACCTGTTAATGTACCTTGGCAAACCCTCCACCTATGATCCCCTAGAAAGTGGAGCCCTTCCACTGGCCGGGATCCTACCACCGGATGTGGAGGCTTCCCCACCTGTCACGTCACATTACTGTGGAGGTTACCACCATAACTGCCTATTTTGGATCTTAGTATTGCCTGTATCATTGCCTCTGTAGTGCAGCTGAGCCAGTCTAGGTAGGTGTTAGACCTTGTATAGTATAGTAGCTACCCAGGGCAATGGACCTGACCATGTTCCCTGTACTGTAGCCTGCAGAATGAGAGCCTGATGACAGCCTTATTAAATAAATTGCTCCTTTAGAAAAATTAAAATTTCCCCAGAAATTACTACTAGTGGGCTGGCTGGGAGCCTTGCCTATCAATACATAATCTCTAGAGATGACAGC